AGGACGCGCCGATCCTCTTGGTCGAGTCGAGATTCTCCTTCGCCGCCCGGCCGAAAAAGGAGGCCCACAAGAGTAAATATATCGTGCGCTTTATACATCACATTAATATCTCATGTATTATATATGACGGAGAGGAATTCCTCCGGGGAATATTTGTTTATAATTTACTTCTTATCTTTCCACTTAGTCTTCCTCTCCGCCGCCGTCGCCGTGGAGCGCACAGCCGCCGGGCGTCTTTCTATTTGTTCTTCTCCAAAGGCGCAGGAGGAGAGGAGAAAAAAAAAGTCGCTGCTCCTCCGGTGGAGGGAAAAATTATTTTGTTGTGGCGAAAAACGAGGAAAATGCGGGTGTTTTGTGTGTACAACGCACAAGAAAAATATTCGTTAAATTCAATTTGTTTACTGTTCAATAAGCTCCACACCATCAGAGAGACTTTTCCTTGGGAGAAAGCGCCCACCCACTTTCCATGTCCTTCTTCGCCGTGTGCTCAAACACACTCAAACACACACACACACACACACACACACACACACACACACAGGGAAGAAGTCAACACGGCGGGATGTCTTCGGGAATTCTCTGCCATCATCAAAAGAAACTCCTTCGTCGTTTTTTCCCGGGCGCGCGTTTAGACCCAAAAATCAGATTACATGGAAATAAAAGCTCAAAGTTGCTCGTTTTGCCATTTCTCACCCTCTCTCGCTCACCCTGTTTCCCGCACAATTTCCCTCTTTCCCCGGAGAGCCGGAATTAGGGCTGCTGAATGCCGCCTTTTTGTCCATCCGCCAGCACACACGACAACATTTGACTCTGTGGAATGCACATGAGGAAGAAAGGAAGGAGGATATTTTCATAATAAATATTCAATAATAGACGGGGCGCAGTGCACAAGGGGCAAAAAAGGGAGAGCGGAGGGAAAATTTGCCAAAGGAAACGAAGGCGGATGAAAGGCAGGAGATCGAAATACTTTTGATTCGCTCCGCTTCGATGGCACATTTTATTCTCCTCTCTCTCTTTTTTTTTGTGCCAGGCAGGAAAAAATATAGATCAAAATAATATTTGCCAGCTTTCTGGCTCCGGCTTCTCACACCGCCGCGCCTCCGCCCCATTTCCTCAGCCTCTCCAGGCCGAGGAAAACATCCCGACGTGAGCTGCACAAGGTGCTCAATTTGACAGAGACTTGAAGGATTCCTCGACTTGTGCGCTTCAGTGCGACCAAAGCGACACTTTTCCAACAGATATCTAATGAAAGGATTAATCAAAGACAGTCAATTATCGTCTTAATTGGAATTAACTATATATAATTTAACTGTTTCAAATTAAACCCACACGTTTATATAATTTTGTCAATGCAAATTAGCACTTTGCCTTCGAATTATCACATCCTCAATTTACCGTAAATTTGGCGACAATATTCTCAAATTTCGTAAAATTAAAGCAGATTTTTGAGCAATTTGATAGATTTCAACCAATTCAGACACTTGAAAAGCTCTTATGTTGAGAGAAAACAGTCGATTTAACTTGTTTACTTTTCAGACCATTAAATTTGATTATTTCTTACAAATTTTAAATCCTTTTTTGATAATGCCAAGAAGTGATTGAAATATTTGATTATTGTCTGAATTTGTGATTATTTTCTCCCCATATTGCCACCAGATGGCAGCAGTTTAAATTTCAAAGGCATGTAAAAGTTCCGAATATATTTTCGAAAGGTAAATTTGGCCTCTTCCAATTAATTTTAAGTGTCTTTCTATTCAAAATCAAATAATAATGAAATATTCTGAAAAAATTAAAAAAAAATTTGATTTATTTTGCCGAAAATTTTCTTTTTTTTTTTTAGTTTTTTCGTAATTTTTTACTTGGAAAATAATAATTTTTCGTTTATTTTGTACACAAAATAAAAATAAATATTTAAATATTTGATTGAGACATTAAAATTCCTCAAAAATCGACTAGTTGTTAAATTTTGTTTATTTTTTGTGGATTATTTTTAATTTTTGACTACTTTCAGCTGAAGATTCTTTCAATATCTTTGGCGAAAGTTGTATTTAAAATGATGGAATAAAAACCCCTTTAAATTCATCATTCAGCGATAGAAACATTAAATTGGATTTATTGTGTTTCAGAGTCTGAATTTTTCTATTTTCTGTCTGAATTTCGTTAGCGCTTCGTGGAAGACTTCTTTGATTGTCTTGCACATGACAAGATTGTGCAGAAAATCAGTGGAATCGAAGCTTTATTCCGCGCCACTTGGCGTCTTTTTCCGTGAAATTGGAACATCCTTAGATCCCTTTCAGCGTGTCTCTTAATTTTTATTTCCGACATATTTTATTGTGAATAAATTGAATAAATTAATCAACACTTTTCACGCTTTCTGCATCAATTCAAAGGCTATTTTCATCCTCTCTATAAATTGAGAAACTTGTCGAGTGTCAAATTATGAGAATAAAATTATTACGAGGTTCTTTTTTGTTCAATCACAGAAATTTTTGATTAATTCTTCACTTTCATTCCAAACTAAAATGCCAAATTGCAACTTTTACGTCATAATTACACGGAAAAAAATAATATGAGACATTAATTTGGCAAGTGAAATTTGAACTTCACAATTCTTCAGCGGATTTTCTTTGTCATCTTTGTTAATGGAAGAAATTGATATTCCTTTTCCACATAATCTAATTCACAATTACTCACTGAATTTTTCTTAAAACCCTATTTTCTTTCCACTCAGAATCCTTTGGCAAAATCGTTAGTGTGTTTCCACTTTGAATATCATATTGAAAATTAGACTTTTATTCACATCCTTTTCAACCATAAAAGTGTTGTTGCGAAAGAGAGAGAAGAAAAAAAGGGAACTTCTGAGCCCGCAAAAGCGTCACTTTGTTGCGCCGCGTTGAAGTCGAAAGCTGAAAGTGTCAGCTTTCAGAAACACACGCCCAATTAGGAAGGCAGAATTCACTCTCCTTCTTGAGCCTTTTTCATCCCGACAAATGTCACACACTATAAATTCACCGCCCACCAATAATCAACTCCGCGTGCTTCGAGCGCATAAAATCCCGGCCCGATATTTAATTTCTCTCTCTCACTCTTTTCTCGTCGCCCCGAAGCAAAAAAGCTTCGCACGAAGCGTAAAATTTAGTGGAAATTTCACTATATATAAATTGAGTTAAAAGAAAAAAAAATTCAGTTTTACAGTTTCTCTTTGGGCTAAACTTTGTCGTCGTTGGCGTTAAGCGAAGGAAAAACTTTCAATCACACAACTAATCAATTATTCGTGCAAAATTTCTGCAATAAATCAAAAATTCCCATAGAAGAGATGTTGAAAATTCAAGGTAAGAAAAACTTTGGCGTCGTCGTCGTTGAAAAATCAATCATTTTTGCCAAATGAAAAATATTTGCGACGAGCGCATAAATTCTGCCTGGAAAAACAATCTTTGGGAAAAGTTTTTTTTCCCTTCAAATGCCGCCCAAAACCCAAACATTTCTCTCTTTCTCTCTCTCTGCGACCGTTTGACTCAATAATACACCTTTTGTACTTGCGCTGGCATTCTTCAGTCGCTGTCATTATGAGGAGATTCCCTTTGAAAAATAACTCTGCTGGAGATTGAAAAGGAGAATTGATATGATGAATTTGCTCATTTCACCCCCCAAAAGAAGAGGAAGAAGACGCGCGCTTCTCATTCTCCCGTTTTGTTCACATTGAGCTGGACGAAGCTCGGCTCTATCTGTAATTGCGCAAGAAATCAAATGTCGCAAAATCGACTAAACTGACACCAGGGAGGCTAATTATGACGAAATCTGTCGAAAAAATGGGGATCTTTTGTGGTTTCCGTTCGTCGGTCCGTAGTAAATGGACTTGCAGAGCCTAAACGGTAAGAGATATCGACATGCGGTTTTCACCAAAGGTCAAAAGTCGTACTGCCGCTAGAACTTGGTGATGTCAAATCCAACCCTCCACCCCTCCGACCGCCATTTTGAAAACCCAGCTCTGTGTCTATGGCATGGATCGGACCCAAATTCTAGTATATTATAGCTGGCATCAAGACCTTTCCAACGAACCGTTACTTAAGGACCTAGGTCCTTCCAGACCCTAAATATTAAAACACAAATTTCAAAATTTAAAATAGTCGTAACTCCGCTTCTAATTAACCGATTTAAATGATTTTATATTCATTGGAAAGGTTTCGTAAAATACTATCTCCCTTCCAAACACCATAACTTAATAGGACCACCGCTAGAGGAGCTAAAGTAAAAAAAAAAACCATTTTCAAAATTTCGAAATCGACTAACTTAAAAACTATACAGTGGATTTTCTTTAAATTTCAGTATGTTGTAGCTGAGCTTGCGACCTTTCCAACGAACCCCTATTCAAGAAGATTGAAATCATAGGAGAGAAGATATGGGGGTTCAAAGTTCACGTCTTTACCGACCTCTGTCTCTGGATAATTTTTAAGTCCAAAACTTTATTCAAAGTCAAAATATTTTGAGTGAAATTTTTAGATAGTTTGGTAGTCTAGATTGAGACGTTTCTGAAATGTGCTCATTCTTTTTCATCAATGCCGTAGAATCTGAGATAGAGCGGTTTAAGTTTGGTCCAAGACAATATGCGCCCTCTACTTATGCTTTACGCTCACGAATCTACTGAATTGCCTACTTTGTGGCAATTGAAATCGAAGCAAGCATTGCGAACCAACCCAATATACAAATTAACTTTAATCAAGTATATAACAAACTAAGGATATTAAGTAAATTAGATCCAAAATCACTTTAGCTTACCTACAAATCGAGTCTGTCACATTTCGAGTTGGCAGCGTCGCTCAGCTTACCCATAAGCGAACCTTGGCGTTCAGTTATCACGTTCTTTTACCTTGAGGAACACGGAAAGACGCGGGCTTCTCGTGTATTGGTCGCAACGGTGGAAAATCTCCACCGCGAGCGATGGAAATAATTGGGCAGATTGAAAAATCAATTGCACTCACAATGAACTCGAAAGATGCTCATTTATTTCCACCGAATTTATTATACTTTTCCACTGATGGGCTTGTTTTCTCAGCAAAACTTCCTCACCAATTGTGAAGTGATTTTTTCTCCTCTTCTTCTTCTTCTGCTTTTAAATATACAATTCGCTGTTCTTCTTCTCCACCTCCTTTTTTTTACCTCCTTTTGTGCTCATTGCATCCATTCGTCGGCATTCATTGTGAAAATTGGTGAAATTCGGGAGGCGGCGAATTAATCTCCGTTGTGAAAAGGGGGTGGTTGAAAAGAGGGGTTTGTCTATTTTACCTTCTAACTAAAATGAACATGATGATGTGCAGTTTCGTCCGCAATTCAGCCACTCCGCACAAAACCCCATTTCTTACGACTTCTGCACCATCCGAATTTTCTCTTTGACGGCATTCTTGAGCTCTTTGACCACAAGTCGATGATTCTCCCTGAAAATGCCACTAACAGTCGCCTCAACTTTCGGATTCAGTGACATCGCCGCCAGACTATCCAATAGTTCATTAGAGACTTGTGGCATTTTCCATGAGTCTGCAAAAGGGAAGAAAATAATTCCACAGAGAGTCAGTTAGTAATTATACGAAATTCAGCTGAATTATCAACTTGATTATTTCAATTTGAATTACAGCCGACATTCAAAACGCCCACAATGCAAGAGTGACCCACAAATTAATGAATTGCACTTTATACAATTGTGTGAATACACAAAATCATTCATCTTCGCAACCAGTTCGCAAATTTCCCCTCTTGCACGACTTCAACACACCCTTTAACCCTTTCACGGCGACTCTTGCGATGAAATTAAGGGAAAATTCAGTGAATTTTCACATTAATGTCCCAAAATTTCAACATTCTTCGCTAAAAAGCATTAAATGCATATCAAATTTGTATATCAAAGGCAATTTTCCATTCAAAAATGTCAAAGATAAAATTCTTAGAATTTCAATTACGTCCAAAAGCAAGATTACGAGATCTTAAGTAGACTTTTTCATTGAAAAACATGAGAAAAAATACACATTTGCCTTCCTTCCCAAAGGCAAAAGCTAATTTCATTCACAATGAATTAAATTTTGGATGTTTTAAAAGCATAAAATGGAAATTTCAAGCATTCGCAAAGATGTTTTATATTTTAAAAACACTTCTTCAGGCTCTTTTTCATTGATGAGAATTTTATCATTCAGAAGTTTGGAGTTCTATTTTTGGAAAATTCAAGCATTTTCACTTTATTGACAGTGTCAATAATATTTTATTCTCTTTAATGATTGAAAAGTGATGAAAATCACTGAAATTCTTCAATTTCAACTGTTTAGAATCAGAAAAATGTGTGTAAAAATTGCTTCATCAGTGTTTAAAGTGTCGTGAAAGGGTTGAAAACCAGAAATTGTGCCCTCAAATGTCGCTTCATTGTTAATTCCCTCATGAAAGACTGATAGATTTCAGTCGTTCAGTCTGCAATTGAGCGCATTTCAGAGAGTGAAAAGCCACACACTCACCAAGTGCTGTGTCGCACGCAGTCAGTTGATTTCTCAGACACTTGAGAACATCCACAATTGCCACCAGCCGCTCCTTCTCCGCCACCTGTGCGGCGCCCAGCGCCTCGCCGTTGCCCAGCGACTCGCGCTTCCTGCTCTTCTTGCCCGCCTGCTGGCTGCCAATTGCCGCCGCGCTGAAGCGCTCGTATCCGCACGCCAGCACAAATGAACACAGCGACAGTATCTCAATGCAATTCACCACATTCTCCTGCACGCCGCGCCGCTGCCAAATCACATCACTCTGCTGATTGTGCGTCGCGATGTGCGCCTGCAGGCGCGACGCCACGTCAGTCAAGCACTCACTCAGCGCATCGCCGCGCTCCTTGGGGTTCTCCGCGCCACTGAACACGCACGCCACAAAGTCCGACAGCGCGTGCAGCGTGTCCTCGTACGGCAGCGCCAGCACTGCGTGCAGACGCGACGGCAGAATATTAACTAAGTACTGATCACTGATTGGCCGATAATTGGCCTCACGCGCGCGACTGAACACACCCCGCCAGGCCGCGTGCAGCGCCAAGTGCGTGTCACTCAGTCGGGCATCTTTGGTTGCATCGCGATTCGACAGCAGATTTATGCACGCCGCCGTGAGATGCAGAATCGCCACGCGCAGCCGCAACAGCTCGCGATCCTGCCTGAAGCTCTCCTCGGCCATGTCCTGTGCCGACGTCAGCGTCGTCACGCCATCCGCCGTCGTCACGCTGGTGGGATCCCATCGCACCACCACGGCCAGATCGCGGTTGTCCGTCAGCTGGTCCCACTTGATCTTGTCCTCCTCCGGATGGATTCGCATGCTGCGGAAGCTGGACAAGTTGTGCGCCATCGTGCCGCAGTAACCTGAGGATTGAGTGAATAAAGCCAGTCAGGGAAGAGTTGGAAAAGCTCTAATGGGCGGGGCATGGAAGGGGGCGTGGCATAAGAAGACAAGAAATGACGAATTACTCAAGAAATATTAACTCAACTTGATGTTTTCGCCCCAAAACCACCACAATTTTCAATAAAATACACACAAGATATTATAATCTCACACACACACGCATCTTCTGATTGTTTCCCAAGTGATCAATTCACTTTATCAAGCTGAATTGTTTGCCAAAACCACTCAAACTAATTTGCAAATAATACGGAAATTAACCCCTGAAGATGATTCCAATGTGCCAGAAGATTGCAAGTGCAATTGAGTGTGTGTCGTGAGCTTAAACTTTGCTCACCACACTGAAATCAATATTGAATTAATTAATGAACAATTTCGCATTGCAGCGTCTCATATTGCACAACGACGACGCGATGCACGTCGTCGACAATCTTGTCGATTAAGTGTGCAAACTATCGATTTAACATTTCTCACAAAACTTGACAAGAATGTTGATGATAAACTTTACAAAACACAAGACAGACAAACACACTTGTTGATGTTTTCTCTCACCTGCGATTTCCATTAGAATCGCCTCCACGGAGATTAGTGAATAATGTAAGCTATTCGCGAGCTTCTCGCGAAAGTCCATGAACTCTTGCAGCTTCGAGAAGGAGCCGAACTTGTAGCTCATGGCCAGATACTCGACGCTATCCTTGAGACTCGTTGTGAAGAACTTGAGCGTGGCATCGTACAGTGGCTTGGCAATTGACGGCAGACCAATGCTGGGCAACAGAGCGCAATGGATGAAGCCCATCGAGTCCAGCTGGATGTGCTTGATGTCCAGCGTCTCGTAGATCTTCATGGCGCCCATGCCGCAGCCCAGGAAGTGATACACTTTCAGTGAGAGCAGCTTCGCATGGAAGTTGTTCGGCGAATTGGACAGCAGATACTGCAGAAGACAAAGCGCCTCCACAAGATGCTTCGATGCATTGAAGCGCTGCGACAGATCGTACATCACGTGAACTGCAAAAGGAAAGAAGCGACAATTCTCGCCGTGAGTCGCCAAAGGAAGAAGATTTCCGGGGGATTTTTTTTCCCATCATCTCGTGTTGTAGCAAATTGCAATTATCCCCGCCATTAAATATTCAATCACACCCACTAAGCGAAGCCTGGGCCTTATGTGCAAAAGCACTTTGATGATTGTTCCTCGAAAGTATCCCGCAACTAATGCCCAACACACACACACACGAAAGCAGAGTGAGAGAAAGAAGCACTCGCTTGGATTTTTAGCTTGAATGTTTGATGAAAATTGAATTTTTCTCCGCACACAGAGAATTTTTCATCGCTTCGCTTCGTCCAACACTTTCGCAATTAGCCTTTGTGCTCTCAATTTTTTGACTTTTCTCTGCACTCCACAAAACACTCAGAGAAAAGATTGCAATTATTGTGAAAATACAAAATCAAAAATTCTTGCATAAGAAATCTCTGAAATCAAATTTGAATCTTCCGGATTTTGTGTGATTTTTGTCATATAAATTGATGAAAAATTATGTCATTTCTGATGTGTTTTAGGATTTTAAGATTATTTTTGAGGCCTTAAATTTTCTGTCTTCTCTAATCTTGAATTTAAGTCACATTTTCTAACTTTTTTCTTCACTGTTTCTCATAAGCTTTTCTCTCAATTTCCACTCAATATTTTAATCTAATGTTTAAAAAGTAAATTAATTATTTTCAATTTCATTAAAGTTGGAATATTCTTGAGTAAAATAACTTAAATTTAAAGTCTTTTTCCGTACAAAAATGTAGAATGAATGAAGAACAAAACTTAAGAATTTTCGTCGTAATTTTACATATTTTTTTAGGCAATTTTAACAAATCTTTTAATTCTCCATTAAGCAAAAAATTCTTTTTGAATCCAATTTAAAATTGAAAGTATTTTAAAGTTAAAAGTTTATAAAGAAATTATTCTTACTTTCATTCCTAAATTTATTCTAAAACTCAAGCAAAATCTGATTTTCCTCTATGAAAGTGAGCAATTTTTAGTGTTCGCCAAAGTGTTGCAATTCAAGACAAGGAAGGAAAAGTCTTCATCGCTTCTCAAGTTGAATTTTTTCTTGGCTTCCAACTGACAAAATTGTCTCAATTTCATTGCGATATTTTTCTCTCAGTGCAAAACAGCAAAACAGCAGCTAAAAAGGAGAGCAAAAAGGATCGTCTCACATTGCATTTTCACCGTCAATCAGCGACATGGGGTGAAATTAAAGTCCTTTTCACGCAGCGCTTTAACCCTCAAAAACACCATCGCGCCGATTGATTTTCAAAGCATTCAGCTGATGAACTGTGATTGGCTTTTGCAAATTCTGACCATAGAAAAACACACGCGCGCGCGAGACGCGAAACATCAAACAATCTGTGACACACAACTCAATTTCCACCGTGCAAATCGTGCGAATTGAGGCTCTAGCGAAGGGACAAATTGGCTTTTTCACGCCAACAAGTGGCGGCGCGAGTAGGAAAGGCGATGCGAGACCTAACTCACCGGCCAGCAGCGCGTAAGGATCCGACGGCCCGATCTCCGTGGGCATCAGCTCCACGCCGAACGCCGTCACGCCGTGCTCGTAGTGCAGACTCAGCGCCGTGTGCAGCGCCTCCAGGTGCTCCGTGCTGAGGAACGTGTGCACGCCGACGTAGCGTGAGATTTGCAGCGAGCAAATGTGCTTTTGCATCTGCTCCTTCTGCACGGAGAGAAACACAGAAGAGCGATTATTAGATTAGTCTTGAGCATTTCTATCATTTCTGCAGAAATTGACAGTATTTTTGCAGAGAAATAATCAAAATCAAGCAACAAACAACTTAGTTTAGAGCTCTTAATTCTTGTTCTTGTTCAATGCAACAAAATCAAGGATCTTATTGACGAATCTCATGAGAATTTCACCAAGAAATTTGACCAAAAAGACTCTTATTTGTAAGTATTTTAAAAGAATGTTCAGTGAAACAGATAAAATGCAAACTTTTCAGCATTTATTGCTGACCAAATTGCATTTTTATCTTGATTTTCACTAACCAAACAGTTAAAATAAATGACCAAAATATTTTTCCCCGATTAATTCAATACCAGAATTGCAAAAGAATATAAATACGATACAATTAAGAGGCATTTCTATTGAAAAAAATAACCAAAATCTTTTAATAAACAACGGAAATTACCATTTAATAATTGTATAAATATTTTGAGTAATTTCAGGATCAAAATTTGGTCAATTTTATCAATATGAGGCAAAATTGGGACGCAAACAATGTGTGAAAAATACAGATTCACAATATTTGATACAAAGTCCATCAGACAGATTGTATTTTTCCCTTTCTAATGTCTTACAATTGTCTTTGGATCCTTCTCTAGGCCTTCAGGATCAAAAGAGAGCATAATTTCGGTGTGTTTCAGAGAATCTAATCAAAGACAATTTATAAGACATCATTAGAAAGGGAAAAACACAGTCTTCGCGATGGACTTTGACTGTTGTTCAGTGAAAAATGCTCAGAATTATGCAATAAAGCGGCGATAGAATCGACAAAACAGCCTGAAACTGTGAGAAATTTGCGGCAAATTGCGGTGGAAGATCAACTCACGTTCTGTGGAAGCGTCGTGGAGCTGATTCCGCACTCCACGATAAGACGCGACGCCAAACCGGGGCGCTCGTGCATCGGCAGATACTCGAGGAACATCTTGATGTCCAGTGCACAGCAGGTCTTGTCGCCGAAGAGGCGGAAGTACTCGATCAGCAGCTCGACGTAGTCGCCGAGCAGCGGCGCCGGGTCCTTGTTGCGCTCCCGCAGCCGGCGGTGCAGCTCCAGGCGCGCGAGATACGGGCCGCGCACCTTCTTGCCGCCCTCCATCATCAGGCAGATGAACTCGTGGCACATCTCCATGGTGTGATCCGTGCCCTCGGCCGTGCTCTGCGCGTCCTCGAGGCGGAAGCACGACTCGATGTAGAGCTTGTAGTAGTCCCAGCGGTCCCTGTTGTCGTCCAGCAGCTGCTTCAGCAGCACATTGAGCTCCGCCCACTGGCTCAGGCTCTGCAGCAGGTCGATCTTGATGGACACGGGCGCGCTGGGGTACAGCTTCTTGCACACGGCGCCCTCGAGGAAGTCCAGCGCCTCCTGGAACTTCTCCTGGTGCTGCAGGATGCTGATGTACAGCTGCACGTCCTGCTCGGCGTCCAGCTTGTCCTCGCTGATCAGCTTGTCCACCATGCGCTGCGCCAGCGCCAACAGCACTCTCCGCTTGCCCTTGTCCTCGCTGTCCGGGCCGCGCAGCGCCTGCAGCACGATGCTCATCACCGCCCAGAAGTAGTAGGGGTTCTTGGGGCGCAACTTGTACAGCTGGAGCGCTACCGTTTGCTGGCTCTTGTAGTCATTTATGCGGACGAAGGCCATGAAGAGGTGCGACAGGATCTCCTCGTTCTTCGGCGCCAGCTTCACGGCCTTCTGGTACATGGAGCATATTTTGTCCAGCTGCTCCGTCTCCCTGTAGCAGAACGTCATCACCTGGAGCGTGGGATCATCACAGATATCCTCGTCGGCGAGACTCTTCACGATTGTCTCGCTCTCCTCGTCGCGACCTAACCTCAACAGGGCGAGAGCCTTCAGCGCCCGGCCGCACTGCATCGAGGGGCTCTTCTTCAGCACCTTTTCCGCCTCCTGGAGGGCCTTCTTGTTGTTGCCCACCTCCAGGGAATCTGTGGGCACAGAGAAAACACACATTTTCAGAGATTCTCCTCCCCGGCTGCGGCCAGAGACGACAAACACCGGCCGTTTCTCTGGCCGCACAGCGCGCACGACGCCACTTTGGGACTCTGTCGCGGCGCCACGGCTTCCTCACCTTCGGGAGAGGCAAGAGACACTCGGAAAACAGGGATATTTACCATAAATAGGGCGTAAACGCCTCTCAACGATAGCTTCCTGCACGTGTTGCGCCATGTTTATTTTCCCACTAAACGTCAAACTCTGGCAGCCGACTATCCCAGTGTTTCGGATTATCTACGAATCTCACATTTGAATCAAACTGAAATTGGGGGTCATTGGCACAAAATTTGTGCTTAGAATGATTTACAAGAGTATAATGAAATTGATAAAAGCTTAATTACCGTTGCTTTTTGTGAGATTCGCAGTAAATTTAGTGGGGAATTCAGCCCAAATTTTGTATAGAAGAATCATGAAACACAGATGAAACATCTTCGTCAAGTTTGGCGCGTGTTTGAATTCAAGTGGCTTTATGGCACAAAAGGCAGATTATTGCTACAATAAAACCCACTTTATTCTATTTATTGCATTCATTCTCACAATTCTGAAGAAATAATTCTTTTTCTTTATAAGTTTATCAATGTCTGGATTACCCATCAAAGTCTGTATCACAATAAATCATGTTTATGTTTGATTTTCGAGTGTAAATTTCGTATCTTTTTATCAAGAAAATTTTGAAATTATCACAGTCTTATCACGGAAAATTACACAGATTCCCAAAATCAATTATATTTTTATTATATCGCTAAATCCACAATTCTTCTTGTGTGCCTCTTCAATTAAGCTTGCATCATTATTAATTTTCAGAACTACTAAGATATGATGATTATAGTGTGTTCGTGTGGTTCCAGAGAAATTCTCTCGTCTTATCGTGCTATTTTTAAAGAAATAAGAGAAGGCCAAACGTTGTCACATGTGAATGTAAAAGAAAATCTATCTCCAAGTCGTTTTCCAAACTCTCTAAACCACCGATTTTTTCAGGAACACTTCCACACTCCTTATCAAATCGCCGCCAATGTGTCGATTTCCGCACTCTGCAAACCTTTATAAAGTCACATCGCTGCGACAGTCTCAGTTGAATTGTGGCTTTGCAAAGAATAACATTGAGTCCACTGGAAAAAGTGTTCAGCAGAATGAAAGTGAGTCAGTCATTCTCTATTTCGTCACCACAATTTGTGATTAATTCCATTGACAATTCAGCTGTTTGCTTTCGTGCTTCTCGGGTTGTTCCTGGGCCTCTGCGACGCTCGCAGATATGATGAATGTGAGCTGGCCAGGGAATTGGCGCAATACTTCCCTCGCAGTCAACTGCCGGATTGGATTTGCCTGGTGCAGAGCGAGAGTAATTTCGACACTCGCGCCATGAACAAGCACAACAAGGACGGATCCTGGGACTGGGGCCTCTTCCAGATCAACGACCGCTACTGGTGCTCTGGTCATCACCATGAGCGCAAGAACATTTGCGGCATCGACTGCGAAAGTGCGTGAATCACTTCCTATCGAGGGAATTCGGTGAATTCAAGATAACCGGGCTTTCTTTCCAGCAATGCTGAACTCTGGCCTCGGATATCAGATCAACTGCGTAAAGAAGATCCACAAGATACACGGATTCGAGGGCTGGGAAGGCTGGAAGGCAAAGTGCATGGGAAGGAATCTGCCCAGCCTGGATCACTGCTTCAACACCTCGGCGTACTTTTTCACGATGGAGTACGACAACTTGCCGGAACTGCTCACGATCACCAACGGATTGGGATTGTTGTCCAAAAATTAGAAGCAGGAAGAATAAGCATGTCAATGATGATTCGCCTGAGAGGCAATCCTTGAAATAAATCATTGGTATGTAAATGCGTCTTTAGCTGCTTTTCCTTATCAAATGATGAAAAACTTTACGCACTAGAATTCATTCGCTAGTTTTCTAGAATCAATTCTCTGATAAGAATGAAATATTTGTGAATGGAAGAAAAATCAACCAGATTTCTGTTTGATTTCACCCCTAAATTTCTCTCTGTGTCCTCAAGAGACCCGAAAGGACGAGACATCCTGTCTATAAACACAGTGAAATTCCTGCTCCGTCATTTCCCGCGCAGCACTGTCCGCCGGCGCCCAGGACACGCGGCGCGGTGTGCGTCTGGGAAAAGCGCGCGCGCTGCGAGGGTTTTCCCTCCCTGTCGCATCAGCAGTTTTCCCCGCGTGCCACCCCCGCACCGCCCCGCGGCTGCTCGGCACAACTTTCCCTTGTCGGCTGGCGCCGAGCGCCGCCGAGCAGGGTGTGCTTGAGCAGCTCGTCCTGTCGGAGCCATTTTGTGCTTTTCCATTGTGTCAGCCACGGCGGAAAAGGGCTGTTCTGCTGAAAATTGTCGTGGGTGGAAAACAGTGGTGCCCCCAGAGGTCGCAGGCATGGTGCACTGATAGCGCTGGTGCGTGCGTGCGTGAGCCCAGCTGTGGAATTGTGATAGGGAAGAGCGCGGAGTGATTTTTCCATCATCATCATATACGCCAAAGGACACACAATCGATTTTTCTGCACCATCACGGAAAAGCGCCTCTCTTGGGTGCGTGGAAAAGTCCCTCCTCTTGCGGAGTTCCTCGCGTGATTCACTGCCCGGGCGCCGTTGCTGAAGCACGATTCCGTGGATGTCGGACGACGGGAGCGATTACAAGCATCCGCAGTCGCTCAAGTCCTCCAGCGCCCCATCCGCCGCCGCCAGCCACCCGGACGGACTCTTGGCCACCCACAATGGCGGCCTGTGCGTCAGCGTGGGCTGCAACACCACCATCAGCCGCCGCAAGGGCTCCGCCTCGCACGGCGCGCCCCACTTCCAGCTGGCGCCCCCGGGCCACTCCCTGAAGGACCGCGAGCCCGAGAACGCCTACGGCAACATCGTGTCGCCCAGTCGGTGAGTGAAGCGCCCCCAAAACGGCCCACAACATTCTTCACCTCCAATCCGAAGCTTTTGGGGAGCTTTCACTGAGTGGAAACTTCCTGAATTTCCCCAGAATTCATTAAAATCTGTCATTTGCATCCCACTGACCGTCGAGGAAGTTTTAATTCACATTCGTGGACAGGCAGTGAAATGCCAGAAACAGGACAATTGAAGGCCAAAAGAGTTTTCTCGGGTGATTTTCTCTGGACTGAGAAACTTTTGTGGACCATTAAAATTGTTTTATCTACACTAATTGGATTGCTGTGAAAACTCAAAGAATCAAAAATAACATCTTCCATTCATTAACTTGCTGAAAAGCGATGTGAAAATGCGTAACAAATTACAAGACTACTTCTGAGAAGTGAACAAATATGTGTAAATTGCAGTCTTACTTCCCAGAATTATGTTTATTGGGTGAAATGCTGGGCTTTCATCGCTTTTATGCCTTTGATGCAATAATTGGATGTTTTCAATATCAATTCACGTACGCAATTTAATATTCAAAATAAAATGTCCTTTTTGTGGAATTCCCGGGAAAATCATTTAATCTGGTTAAATATTTTAATTAGCAAAAATTGCTGAAATTTAAAAGGCATGTTTAAAGGGCACATTTAAAAGACGGTTTTGCTGTTTTTTTTTCATGGGAGAAAAAAGAGATCAATTTTAGGACATTAAATCTTCTCAAACTGCCCAAGATGACCAGGACGATTTCCACTTCCGTTTGCAGATACATTCCGCCGGACCAGTACCAGCTGACTGCGCGGATCGCGGCTACGGCGCCGCCGCCGGAGCGCTTCTCGGATGACATCGTGACATGCTGCTTGCCGCCGCCGTCTCCGGCGCCCAACAGCGACCGCTTCGTCATGGGCCTGCCGTCGCCGGCGCCATCGCCCTCCGGCGGCTACGGCGAGTGTGGGGCGGCGCGCTACGTGCACCATCGCACGCTGTCGCCCAATTCGCGCTACCGCGCGTCCTACAGCGACCGCTTCCGCGACGTGTCGCCCAAGTGCGACCGCTTCGCGCCGCCCACTGCCCACTATCTCGCCAACAGCACGCCGCTGGCCTCCGCGGACAACTACAGTTACCTCACGTCCACCGTGCACACGCCCGTGAAGCGGTGAGTGGCTCAAAACCCTCTTAAGCACTGAAAATTCAGATGCATGTTGAAGAATTGGAAAGAAAATTCAGCCTTTTTGTAGTGCCAAAAAGTGTTACAAAAAGCTCTAAAATTGGTTGTTATTTTAATGTTTGAATCTCCAACTGAAATAAACACTTCAGTGGAATTGTTTATTTACTCAATTCTCGTATTTACTGTACAAAACTAACAATTTGTTGCAGCAAAAACAAATCTGTTTCGTCTTTCTCACTGTGTAAATTGCAACTGAGGCAAGAAATTCTTGTGCAGAGAATCCTGGTTCAGGATTTTCCGCCAATTTTCCAGCTCGCGGGTGAGAACAAAGGCCGCCGAGGGCGAAGGAAGAAGGTGTCTGTCCTTTGGCAGTGATTCGCCAGATTTTCTGCTTCGTCGAGACCTAATTCAATATCCCCAATCAATTATAATGAGACGCCCAATTGATTTATCGGTGACCTTTTTGCCTCTCTTCGTGCATCGCAGAGTCTCTGTCGTCGAGATTAGTCCTATTCTTGCACAAACAATTAGTCGACAGCAGGACTAATTTCGCATTATTGTCGATATTAAGGACACTCTTCGCAGTGCAATTGATCCGAAGTGCGGATGAATTATTCAGCTGTTTGAGGAGAAAGTCGCTGAATTATTAACTAATTGGGGACTATCATATCGCAATACGACTGGATAAATAATTCCACAGAGAAATTCATGTTGCGCCTCTCAAAAGTTTGTGTCTCTTTCCCTATTAATTTGCCCCGGAAAAATTGTCCGTGTGAATGCGCTCAAATTTCTGCTCTGTGGGCGAAATTTGACGCCTTTTGGGGGTGAAAATTTCAGGAAATTTTACCATACAAGAGAGAAACTGCCACATAAATCTTCCCACTGACTCTCTAATTATTGTCCTAATAATTAATATCCCTCGTGAGATTTAAGAGGTACATCTCACCTCACTTTGCTCTGCTGAACAAACCGTGTTTCCTCGAGATTTTCCCACAGGGTTAGTCACTCGTCGGCAACTTTCCCCGGCTCTCCATTAGCAATTTCGCTCAATTATTCACCGCTGAAAGTCATTTTTGCACCATTTTCAATTAACTTCGGGCATTTTAAGTGTCCCACGTGAGATTTGAAGGCTTTTCCATGCGAATTTGCAGCATTTCTGCACCCAAACTATTCCTAAAATATTCTTCTGACAAAAATGTGTTGAATTAAAAACATGTTTACTCAATGTTCAATTTATTGAACAGTCTCTGAAAGCACACAAAAATATGCTTCGCACAGCATAATTCTTCACACTGTTAGAAATCATATTCGCCATCCTTTTTTCTGGCAATTCGAAAGCCAAAAAAGGAACAATTATTCCGTGAAAAGGTACCAAAAACAGCCTGGAATCTGATGTTTTTCGCGTCCTTTTCCAGATACGTTCCGACGCCTCCGCCGCCAACTGCCGACGTGTACAGCGACTCTTCCGTGTCTGGCGTCTCCTCGGCCAGCAGCGGGGCGCTCTGCCCCGTGGGCTACTCCCTGCCGCCCTCCGCCGCACCGCCGGCGAACGGAGGCGGCGGCACGATGCGCAACAACGTGCCGTACCGCCTGCGGCTCAAGTGCTGCCTGAACGAGCACCAGATGGCGGCCGTGGGCCCGGGAGTAGCCGATCACTACGCCACGCCGCCCCGCGTGCGCCCCATCAAGTGTCCGGCCGCGCCGCCGTGCTCCGTGACGCCGACGCCGCGTCCCAGCCACGACTACATGCCGCGCACGCCCAGCGTGGAGTACATGGGCCCCAATGCGGGGCGCGTCGTGACGCCCGTGAGCGTGATGAGCGAGCCCGGCGGCGCCACGTGCACGCACTGCAACACCATGCGCCGCACCACGGGCGTGCACCAGACCACGCAGACCACGGGCCCCATCAGCCCCGTGCCGCCGTCGCTGCCCGTGTCGTCGGCCGAGTCCTCGCACTCGGAGCTCAGCACTGCCGGCGACTCCACGTCGCCGCCGAGCCCGCCCTCCACGGCGTCCTTGGCCTCCATGTCGCTGCTGCCGCAGCAGTCCTCGGGCGCCGCCACGGCCGCGCCCACACCGTCAGCCTCCCAGGCGCCCATCTCGCCGGTGCCGTCGCTGCTCAACCAGCAGCAGCAGCCGAACTCCTCGGCGGACGACCTCTCGTCGCCGGCGTCGTCGCACAAGCAGCCGCCGCAGCTGCCGGCGCAGGAGCGCACCGCGCCGGGAATGCTGAACAACCGCTCGCTGGTGCTGCACCACGGCAGCACGTTGACGCTGCAGCGCGGCACAATGCGGCCGCACATGCAGCAGATGCGCATCTCGCGCAAGCAGCGCGTGAAGAACTACCTGCGCCACGAGCTGGCCAAGTTCTTCGGCGTGGACACGATGGACGAGGAGCACGAGCGCATCAAGTGGTCGGAGCGCCAGAAGCGCCTGGCGCTGCGGCGCTTCGGGCCGCTTAACGAGAACGCCGAGGGCGGCGCATTCCCCAGCGGCGAGCGGCGTGAACAGCACGGCGACAGGCCAGATATTCTGCCCGCTCAGACGTCCGAGGAGATGAGCGTGCGCCATCTGAACGCCGATCGGCGGGCGGCTGGCGAGGCCATCGAGAGGAAGGCGTCGGTGGCGAAGATGGCCTGGCAGGGCGTCACGTACATCATCCACGCGCTGAGCAAGAAGAATCCGCGCTCCACGTTCCAGTGGTCCAGGAGCTTCGCGCCGCTGCACTGCACGAGCCAGGAGGACCTGAACAGCGACATGTGCGAGGGATTGTCGCCTCTGCAGGACGACGAGGTGTTCTTCGACTCTCCCTCGACGCCAGGCGCAGCGCCGGCGACCAATGGGAGCGTGACCAGCGCGCCGGGACGGCAGCAGAGCGGCCAGATGATAGACAACGCGCGGCCGATTTACATGGGAGAGCGCGTTCACGGCTGGCGGACAAAGTCTACGGAGTCACAGCTGATGGGGCAACGTAGCCGCGGCCAGAGGATCTCGTCGCAGTGTCTCGACGGAGTGGTGGACAATTCCCGGTAGGTTTTCCCATCGCAAGACGCACTTATCTTTGCTAATCTTGAAGGTTTCTTTGCAGTCGCCCGCTGACGCACTCCCTGAAGCTGCTGCGTGCGCACGAGCTGGACGATCGCCACGACTATCGGCCATTTTTCACGTACTGGATCAACACGGTGCAGATCCTGGTGCTCATCATCTCGCTCATCTGCTACGGCGTGGGCCCCATCGGCATTGGTATCGAGCAGAAGAGCGGCCAGGTGCTGGTGACCAGCCTGTCGCTGCAGCAGGTGCAGCACACGGAGCAGCGCAACGTGTGGATTGGGCTGCGCAACGATGATCTGGTGCATCTGGGCGCCAAGTTCGCCGCGTGCATGCGGCGCGACAAGAAGATCCTCGACGTGACGGCCAAGACGCGACGGCAGGAGCGCGAGACGGCGTGCTGCATCCGGAACGACGACTCCGGGTGCGTGCAAAGCTCACAGGCGGATTGCAGCATCCGCGGCCTGTGGCCCACCAAGTCCATCTCCACGTGGAAGAAGTGGTCGCCGGGCGACTCGGGCCCCGGCGGCCGCATCTCCGGCTCCGTGTGCGGCCTCGACCCGAAGTACTGCGACGCGCCGGCGTCCATTGCGCCGTACGAGTGGCCGGACGACATCACCAAGTGGCCGATCTGCCGCAAGACGAACGCCTTCTCGCAGCGCTTCCGCTTCAAGGACCACACGGCGGAGCACATGGTGTGCGAGGTGATCGGCCATCCGTGCTGCACGGGCGTGTACGGCGAGTGCAGGATCACGACGCGCGAGTACTGCGACTTCGTGAGCGGCTACTTCCACGAGGAGGCCAGCCTGTGCAGCCAGGTGAGCTGCCTGAACGACGTCTGCGGCATGTTCCCCTTCATGGCGCCCAACTATCCCGACCAGTTCTACCGCCTCTTCACGTCGCTCTGCCTGCACGCCGGCGTGCTGCACCTCGCCATCACCGTTGCCTTCCAACACGTTTTCCTCGCCGACCTCGAGCGCCTCCTCGGCCCCATTCGCACCGCCGTGCTCTACATTTGCTCCGGCATCGCCGGCAACCTCACCAGTGCCATCTTCGTGCCCTACAAGCCGGAGGCGAGTAGCCACTGATCCTTTTGCTTTCTAGGACATCAATTCTCGATCTTGGGCTGAAAACATTTCCATTTAGTGCGCAAAACCGATGTTTTAGGAGCTTTTAAACGAGCTTTCTGCTCAGTTTACCACTGATGACCAATGTCTAACCAAAATCTAACTCCTAGTTTCAAGCTAGCAAGGTTTTGAACAAGATTTCACAATTATTAAAGAATAAGACTTGGGAAATAGCGCGGAAAAAGTGTTTCTAAGAAGATTTCCTGCATTTCCCACTGCAAAATTCAGTGATAAAGTTATTAATTGGTTGTTAGCTGGTCATAATTTGGTTATCAGCTCAGATCTTAAAGCGTTTCTATCTCAGCTAAGCTCTCTACTCAAACTATGGCTTCTTCTTAAGGCAAGGACTCTGACCTGATCATGACTCTCTGTCTCGTCCTGTTTCGCAGGTGGGCCCTCTGGCGTCGCTGGCGGGCACGATATCTTCGCTGTCAGTGCTGCTGCTGCTCATCCATTGGAAGCAACTGAAGAAGCCACACTTAGCTCTAGTTAAATTGTTAATTATCATTGGCACATTGTTCGGCATCGGGACGCTTCCGTGGCAGCAGAATTTCGCCGGTCTCATCGCTGGGATCGTCTCAGGAATCGCGCTGACCGTGGCGCTCGTTCCCTTCGTCAGTCTCACCAAATACGGACGCAAGAGTAAAGTAAGTTTGAATACTGAGATGCTCTTTGAGTCAACTTTTCATCACTCTTTTCTTTCCACCAATTTTGCCTCTGCAGATTAATCTCGTGTGGTCAATAATGCTGTTCTATTTGGCCACTTATGTGGCGATGTTCGTCATTTTCTACCTGTTTCCGTCAGCCTTCACCAATCTCGGCTTCGGCGACGTGATCAACGGCGGGACCAGTTTCGGGGGAATCAACAATATTTACGGAAATGGCGCGGGCGGCGCGCCCGGCGCCAATGCGCCCCCTGCGGGCACTTCCGGAACTGGCGGCGGCGGCGGAAGCGTCTCTGGCGGCGCCAAGCAAATGCTCCTCGGGCAGGCATGAAATTACTTCTCCGGAGTTTACACACTCCGTCGCACTTTCCGGTGAGCATTTCGTGGACGACGCATTAATAAGTTATGAATATTGATGAGCAGAAGAAGGAAGAGATATGTATTCGTGAATCAATAATTAAAATAATAATTTAAAATATATTCCCAGGATATTATTAGACGGGATTTAACTTTGTGCGCCGCGGTGAAAAGTTTCATCGCCTTGTTTTGAGTGTCTTGCGGCGTCACGGAATTAAATATTCAAATGGCTTTTAAATGTCGAGGGAAAAATTCAGGACACTTTTCAAAGTGTTTTGTTTTTTTTTTGTTAGTACTGAGAGAAAATATGAAACTCAAGGAAATCCATTTTAAGAGCATTCAAAACGCCTTTATTCTTCTGAGTGTGTAAAGTAACATTTTCTTCTTAATGTTGCAAAAGTTTCGCTGAGAGTATAAAATTTACGTATAAATTGGCTACTTTCGCTCACGTCACGACCTTGTCCTGCTCCGGTGGGACTTCGTACTGCTCTCTGGCGCCCGGCGGGATGCTCTTGGTCGCCGGCCGGAGGATGACGTGCGCGACGCCGGTGAGAAAGGCGCCCGCAGCGAAGACACGGAAGCTCAGCCGGCCGCCCAGGCGCTTGTACATCTGTCCGCCAATCAGACTGCCGACGGCGAAGCCCAGGCCGTCGTCCATGCCGGCCACGAGGCCCTGCATGGTGGCGGAGGCGCCCGGCGGCGCGATGGCGGACGCGTAGGCCACGATGCAGGTGTAGCAGAGCGCATACGTGGCGCCCTGCATGAACAGCTCCACGGGCACGAGGTACCACGGATTGGGGATCACAGAAATCAGCGCCAGGCGCACGGAGTACGTGAAGAAGCACAGACTGAGGCAGTGCACGAAGCCGATGCGCTTCAGGATGCGCCCGGAGACCAGGAAGAACAGAATCTCACCGCCCAGACACTCGGCAGCCACCACGCAGCCCTCGATGAGCTTGATAGAGGCCTCGAAGCCCGTCTCCGCCGCCACTTCCTCCAGATGCCAGAACATGTAGTAAATGATGAAGGAGTCGATGATGCCAGCGATCGTGGCGAAGACCAGGAAGATGAAGATGTCTGGGCGTCGCAGCACTTTCATCACATCCTTCAGAATCGACTCGGAAGACGACAATTTCGGAAGCTGCAGAGAAAACAGATCAATTAGTCCAAGTATTAATCATGGATGAGAAGGAAAAATAACTCACTTTCAGCTTCGTCACCGTGAAGAGATCCAGAACACTGAAGATCACCATCACCAGAATGGCCGGCGCGATGCTCTTCACCGCGCCGGCGGTGCTCAAGTCCACCGCAATGCCCGCGATCAGCGCCGTGAGGCCGAAGCCGATCGTGCCCCAGACTCTCTGCTGGCCGTACTTCATCTCCTGACTCTCGCCCAGCACGTCGAAGCACACGGCGTCGCTCAGGCTGTTGATCACATTGAACGCGATCGTGCCGACACACATCAGCACCACGAATGCCCAGAAAGCGCCGGGATCGAGCAGCGCCAAGTCTGAGTGTTCTTCGCATTGCGCCAAGCAAACGCCAGTCAGAGATTCAGGCACTTTTCCATCGACACAGAGGCCACTCTCACTGGGATTCGCCAATCCCTCCAACTCCTGGACGACATTTGAGCAATTCGTCGAGCACTTCACGGTGAGCCACTGACTCTGAGCCAGTTCTGAGGCGTTGCAGACGAAGATTTGCGAAGCATTGATGGAGAATTCATGGGATTTCCCAGCGATTTCCTTCGGCTGAGGCAAAAGATAGAAGCCAGCATAGCAGATTGTCATCATCACGATGATTGCCATGAAGATCACTTTCCTGAGACTCTGCAAACATGGACAGCATTCATATTTCATACCAATATCTTATCCAAGGGGGAGAAAGTGAGCTTGAATCTGTACACAACTTAAACTCCTTCAGAAAAGGGAGTTTTTGATGACTTTAAAGAGAATTTTGATGAATTTTTGAAATCTGTAGTCGATATTTTCAGAAGAATTTGCTTTCAATTAATTTTCTGCGAAGTTTTTTCACCGTAACCTCAAAAATAGCATTAATTGCATTGTTAATAGCTAAGCTAGAGTAAATCCATCTGGTTTAAGTCGCAAAAAAGCTTCAATTTACGGATTTTCATTGTTAAATCAATCAGAAAACTTTGAAAATAACTTTAATCCAAGTCTGAAAGACATTTGTGAGGTTATGTTTGACTTTTGAACAATTTTCAATGTTTTTCATAGACTTAGGACCCAAACTTGTGATTTTTCTTGTTATAATGATTGTTATATTCTTTAAAATTCAAACAAATACGCTTTTAAGACTGAAAAAAATTTCTTACTTCAGTTGGCAATATCTCCCCCTTGAGCTTATCATCTCTCCACTCGAGGAAGTGATTATGTGAGAAATAGTGGTGGGATTAGAGCAGTTTTATGCCTCAACTTGTGCACAAAAAACTCCCCCGAGTGAAGACAGACGAAAGATCGGCTTTAATTAGCATTATGTGTCAGTGAGAAGAGCGCAAATAATGGGCGTTTGTGAGCGCAAACAACAATATGAGAATGAATGCAATGAAATTGAGCCTCATATCACAATTGATAGTGTCTTATCACCATCAGAGAGACTCACCGTGAAGAAGTCCGCCAGAAAGCCGACCACTGGCTTCGCCAGGACGTACATGATGGGCAGGATGGACGTGATGAGGCCCATGATGTCCGGCGGAATGCCCATTTGCTTCCCGATCACGTTGATCTGCGGCAGAATTGGTCCCATGGCGGCCATGAAGAAGAAGTAGTGCGCCTTGATGGGCAGCAGCTTCAGATTCACGTGAAACATCTTGGCGCGCTTCTTGTTCGGGATTTTCACTCACATTCTTCGCCGGCGAAAGTCCGCTTCCAGAGAGACTGAGACTCCCGACAAATTTCACCTCTCACGCCAGACTGAAAAGAAGAGGCCAAGAGACTCTGAGGTGCGTTGTCATGCACAACCAGATGATTGTGTGTGTCGTGATAAGACAATTGGATGCTCTTGTGTTTGTTTATTATCGCCTTATCAAGCCCGCCTGGTGAAGATTACTGGCGCAAATCTCTCGCCAATTTCCCAAAGTGATTTACAGGAGAGGAACGCAAGTTTTAGAGATCATCCCACAATCTCGTGGCATCACGTGTGGCAAAAGAAAAGCCATAGAATGTGTGTTGAACCTCTTTTTCATATGCATTGTTTTGTGTCACAATCATCAAACAAAAAGCCCAAAACGAAAATATAAATCAAACCTGGAGGAATTCTTCGATGCCAAAACCTGCGCGCAGGTTCTCAGATCTCCGTGGCGTGATAAAGAAGTGGAGGAGCAAGAAAAGTGCTCCATAGCGATGGAGATTGAGATGAGAGGAGACTTCTTTTATTGCCCACTGAAGGACACGTGAATGATCGCGCGCGAGAACTGACTCGACACACCATCGCGGAGAAGGAAGTTTTTAAAAGTGGCTGAAAGCCAAACAAACATTGGCTTGCAAAACATCTTCTAAAAGTAGAATTTGTGCCCACAAGCAAACAAAATTATTGCATTTTTATGTCGATCTATGCATTTTTCCCCCTTCATCGCCGCCAATCGAGGAAGTGTGTGACGCGTCTTTTCTGTAACTGACCTAACTGACCCAAGGGAAAGGTGATATGCCTTCGATTTGTACACCACTTTCAGAAACTTGAGATCTTCAGACTGTTTGCGCACTAATTCACAAATTATAATAAATCTCTCAAGTTTCCATCCAATATTTTTATGAAAATCAACTTTAAACCGCTGTTTTTGAGTAATTTTTACGATTATAACCTCAAAATATCACACAAAGATCTTTAAAGTCTCAGTTTGGAAGCTTTCTAGATCACAAAATCATCTCTTATGATTTGCAAATGAATCTTAAATTGCTGATTTTGAATTAAAATCGTTCAGAAAGTTTTCTAAATAAACATTTTCTAAGTTTAAATTACTCTTTTAGAGGTTATGTTCCATCCTAACACAATTTTCAGTGTTTCTTGGCATCAAAGATTCCCAAAATTAATATTTGTTGCATGCAAATGCTTAATTCTGCCAATGACTGACGATTTCTTTGACTTTAGAAGAATAATTGATGTCCTTGATTCGTTGCATAACCTAAAAAATATTATTGTGAGTATTTTTACGTAAAAATTTAGAGAAAATCCAATGAAACTAAACAATTTAACAGTAAAAGAAACGATCAGGAAATTAATACTGTAAGTTTTTGAACACTTCCACTTCCTAGCACTTCCGCTAAGCTGTACACCACTTCTGAATAAATTATCTCCCCCATGAAGTGACCACCGAAAGGCGGGAAACTGAGAGAACGTCCAGAAACACGTCAATTAACTCCATAAAAATCCCCATCGCATTAGCATTAAATTGTGATGGCATTTTAGCGGAAATTATGGAGTTTCTGTGCTTGAATGTTGGACGAGGAATTCCCCAAATTGCAGAGAGCATCGCCAAGTGGGGCAGAACATCAGCTGGCGCAATTCTGCCCTTCACTTTCTTCAGCGCGCGCACGAGAAATTGTGATAAATCGCCCGAGAATCGTCATCTTTTTGGCACACCTTTGGAAACTGGAATCTCCCAGACGCCTTTTTTCTCTCACTGCAAAGCTCTCTTGGGGCTATTTTTATTTCCTCGACACATTGTTGTCGTCTCGCCAACAGAGCTTTGCATTTTTTTCCTAGTCTCTTACTTATGCGTGTGTGTTGTAGTTGTATAATTTGCCTCGAGGGGTCTTAAGTACACTTTCCTATGAGACTCACATGAGTCAACAAGTGAACATTTCGGTCATTAGCATCATTATCGCAGGTAAATAATCACTCTTGATGAGTGATGAAACGCAATTTTAGCTATTTTGGTACATTTTCATTAAACATTCCACATGACAACGCATCAGAATTCACCATAAATGCAGACACAATGTCTAGATTATTGCGGGAAAAACTGCATTATACTTTTCTATCTAAATGCCAATCAATATGAATAAAATGAATGAAGATTATGAATGAATATTTAGATTTTTATTGTGAGAAAAATACATAGACTTTAGGTTGAACAGTTAAACATCTAAGAAATGAGCGGGGCTTTCAAATGCAAACATGTTAGTTTATTGTTTCTAAGGCTTTAGAGAACATTTTCGTTTGGGCGGGGCTTGAGATTGGGCGGAGTTTCGAGTAAACTATTCAAAATCGAACAGTTTATTATAGCGCATCTCCAATTTCGGGCTGCGGATGACACTGTGGCTCTCACGAGGAAGTTCATGATACACGGTAATGTCCAGTCGTTTGTTCCTTCCGTCCAGCAGCTTCAAAATGTCCTCGATGAGATCATCAGTGACGCTGAAGCGAAGGTATATTAGGAACACTGTCAGAAATCGGCACTTTTCGATGACCTTCAAGATGCCATCATGGGTGATAGTTGTGTAAAAGTTAATATCAAGATCTTGAAGAGTTCTTATTGATGACAGCCAGTCCAGAATGTTTCCGCCCAGATTGCAACATCCGTCGATATGCAGCTTCTTCAATTTGGTGAAAGTAATTGGAATGATCACATCCTGTTCCTCATCTTCTCCAGCATAGCAACTAATTTCCAGAGACTCAAGTGTATCTCGCTGGGCTAGTTTTTGCAGCAGAAGTGTAGCATTGAACTTGAGACTGATCTTAAAATTCAGATGCTTCAAACACGGCAAGTCTGCGATCGAATTCAAGCCTGACCAATCGACATAATCATTGTAAAATTCCTCTATGACAAATGTCAGACTCTCTAGATTCTGAAGATTCGCAAGTGCATGCCATGATTGGACATGAAACAGGTGATCTGTGTTGAGAATCTTCAGTCCTTGATTGCGATTAAGGAAGGGGATAAATTTGGACAGTCTCAGTCTTCGGCAAAGGCTCAGATTAATCTCTTGGATATTCTCCAACGCTGCCAAACAATCTCCTTGAAGTTCCCAGTTATTGAACAAACTCAGTGTCTCCAGCTGTTTCGCCTCTTCTAACCACATTTCCACCTGAGAGTCCTGCAGATCACAGTTCGTTATATTCGCTGACTTGAGATTTATAAACATCGTGCGCAACAGCTCGAGCTCTACGACGTAGATTTCAAAGTTAATGAGCTCTAGTTCCTTCACATTGCCGCACTCACGCAAGAAGACGTGGAGACTTAGAGTTGGGTCGGTAAAGGCATCACCTGTAAGCTTTAAGGTGTGAATGCGAGAAAACGGCAATATTTCTGACAAATGCAGGACTTCCTTCACTGTTAATGGCCTTTCCACCCTATCCCACATATCATTCAAGAGTATCGAGCTCATGTTGCTGTAGATTTTCCTGACCAACGACTGGAATCTCATGCAAACCTGCTCCATAGCCACCAAGCCATGCAGACTCAGAAAGGAGAAGATTGTCAAGATACAGTCGTCATTAAGCATGAGCATTGTCGACTCCACATTGATTTTCTCAGAAGTACTCTTCACAAATCCATCCATGACTATTCTTGCGTCGATTTCTCGTGTATAACGATTAGTAGAAACTGCAGATCGCCGATGAAAGCTCTTCTTTTTCACTAAAACTCGTATTTTCTCCCCAAATATTCACAGAAATAGCGCAAATAGCTTATTTTTCACACAATTCCTCCTTAATTGCTTGGCGTCCTCTTTGACTGTCACTGTCGAAGTGAGCTCCTTTGACAATATCGCTCAGCAGAGCACTGGAAAGTATGTGTTTTAGGCTGCGGTGCAGCAATGGCTGCGTATAATGCAACAACCAAAATTGGGATGTGAAGAATGAAGAATTATTCTTAAGGACTTATGACATATAGATGAGGAATACAGATTTTCAAGGTTATATTTCCACTTAATTGTGGGATTTAAATGGTTCAAATCGAAAGATCACGACTTAATCAGTAATGACGATGTCGAAATGGCTTTAATGCCTTAAAGTTTAAGTTCTTTGAGGAAGGATTTGAAGGCACAACGAATTAAAATTGGGCGGAGCATCGCGAGGGGCGTGGCAATAAATTGTTAGCAGCAATTAATTTACTAACGTATCTATAATCGCTTGACACCCAATGTGCCACTTATTAGCCCCTCAACACACCGACTCTTGGCCAGACTTCATGCTTCAGTGGACTTTTATTCTCCTCACTGGAAGTGTTCGCCTTCAGTCTATCGCCGTCCGTCCGCCGAGTCGCTCGCAAATCACCTTGGGTCACCCTAAAAACCACCCAAATTTCTACCTGTTGCTCTCCCACGGCATTTACTGTGCATTTATGGTGACTAGCAAAAAGTGAATTTCTCCCAAAAATCGACAAATAATTGGACGTGTTCGAAAATCTAATAAAAAGCAGCATTTTCGTCTCTTTTTTCTAATCTCGCGTTTAATTCACTATTCGATGTGCCATCGAGGAAGAAGTTTTGGGCCATAAGTTTGAGTGTTAAGTAGTTTTTGTTTCATCAAAAGTATGGCCGATAAAATGCCGATAAAACTGAGTGTCCAGCATTTAACATTAGCACTTCACACGATCTTTCTCACAACTGTCTTCATTGCAACTGCCACAGGCCTTCCGGGCCCCAGTGAAGATAAATGTAGGTGATTTTCTCACTCTGATATTGTGTCTTGAGATTTCGTGAGATGCGAGAAGAAGAAAAAAATGCTAAATGAACAGGTTTCGTGCTTTTTTCACACATCTTTTTTCCATACTTTGCGCGCCTCTTCGCGCCCAATCTTCTGCACACCTCTTGATCACACCAGGTGTCCGAAGAAACTGCTTAACAAAAGCTGTGACATCCCATTGAAAGTGAAAGCATTTTTGTGTAATTCAGTCATCTGCAATGTCTCTGCAATGGGAATTTTCCCAACACATTCTTCTCTTCAATGTCGCAATGCTTCGCCAATGTTGGTGAATTAGATAAGAATCAAGGATAAATTGCTAAATTTCGGCTGTTCTCAGTGCCCAAAAACTTGCTGAAACCTCCGGGGAATTCCCTGGGCTTACACTGGGTGAACTTCCGAGAAGGCTTGCGCCTTTGAGGCGTTCGCGCGCGATCTTCTCGCGCGCGCACAACACTTTCCGTTCAAGGTCGCCGTGGTGATCAAGCAGAGACATTGCGATGTGTACTCGCGCTGCTCTGGATCTCCTCGACACGAAATTGTCGCGGGAATTTCTCATGCTAATCACTCAATTGTTCAACAGTGCGTGTCTGCATCTTGGACGGGCGCGGATCGTTCAACAAGTCCCACAAGTACTGCCCGATCCTCGAGGAGTCGTCCAACATCGAGTGCGTGATCGGCGTGGACAGGCTGGATTGCGTGCGGCGCATCCACAAGGGATCGGCGCACTTTGGCGTCTTCTCGGCCGAGGATCTCATCGCCGCGCGCTGGGCGGGCGTCGAGGTGCTGGTCACCAATGAGATGCGCTTCAATCACGCGCCGTTCGAGTACGAAATCGTCGCCGTGGTGGACAATGAGGCGGGCATCAACACGCCTCACGATCTGCGCGGCAGCAAGTTCTGCCATCCCGGCCACGGACTCCACAATCACTGGACGGAAGTCCTGGCAAACGTAAGAATCTCTCTCAAGATCTATATCAAGATTTAGAGTATTTTTCGCAGCTCAAAAGAACAGCAATTCATGAATTCTTACGTTGATTCTTCGCTAAAGATTCCTTTTTCACAATTTTTCGTGGTTTTTGGGCCCCAAAACGACCCAAACTGAGCTTTAAGGGCGAAATAAATCGAATTTAGAGAATTTAATTAAAAATTTAACTGTTCAACAGTTAAGATTTTGTGTTTTCTGCAGCTTTAAAGCTATTCTGATTAGCATTTGGGACCCAAAATTACACAAGAATTCACTTCTTGTTCCTTTTTTTCCCTTAACATTTGCTATAAAAATTGGACCTTTTTGCATTGAATTAAATCAAAATTGTCTTGAGAAGGAAGAATTTGCCTCTCAAGCTAACTAACAACTCTTCTTCTCCTCCGCAGTACTTCGAATCCATGCTGGTGGCGAGGCAGTGCGACGAGGATCTGTCGCTGGCGGAGTCCAGGATCAAAGCCTCGTCGAAGTTCTTCGGACCGTCGTGCAAAGCTGGTCCGTGGGTTCCGGATCCCATCGAAGATCGCACACTAAGTGAGTAAAAATCCTGGCCATTTAGCATGACGATAAATCGTCTGCACAAACAAATTTGTCCAATTCGTTTGCACACACAAGTTCTTTTGTATCATTTGCGTGTGCGCGCAATTTTTCTATGAATTCACACTCGATTCGTTTAAATATGTGTTTTTCAATTAATTACCCAGAATTGTTTTCCACCGCCAATTCTGCGGACTTGAACTCCCAAAGCTGTGACCATGAGGAGTTCAGGCTCTCTTTTTTTTCTCCTGCTCCGCAATCAATCACAGATTCTTCATGTCTTTGTCCCGGAAACACTCCCGGAAATCCAGCAATCGCGCGCTCTTAGACTGTTTTGGCACGTTTTTTTCGCCACTTCTCAACAACAGCGAATAAAAGTTGATTCATTAAGTCCGCGTGAAGACTTTGCAAAACCGGTTTTCGTGATGTTTTATGAATGAAAAATTCTTGCTCACGCAAATGCGCCGCTTGTTGGGAAATTTCTCATCACGCCTCTTTTCCTCACCACTTTGCAGAGAAGCGCTATCCGTCGCTGTGTCAGATCTGCGGCAATCCTGACCACTGTGGCATCGGAGACAAGCACTGGGGCCGCCGTGGGCCGTTGTACTGCCTCACGAGCGGCGCCGGCGAGGTGGCGTGGGTGCGGCTGGACGACGTGCGCAGCCACTTCGGCCTCAGCGGCCTGCCGGCGGAGACTGATCCCGCGGGCTACAGCCTGCTGTGTCCGGACGGGCATCTGCAGCCCATCAACACCAAGTACCCGTGCGTGTGGGTGGCCAAGCCTTGGCCGGCGGTGGCCGTGAAGCGGGAATACTCGGAGAAGATCCAAGAAGTGCTGGAGCAGCTGTCGCACGACGACCAGAAGAGCTGGCAAAACGCGCTGCTCAACCTGCTGGAGACTTATCACGTGGACGTGACGCCCATGGACATCTCCATGCCCATCGAGGACTACCTGGACAGAGCCGTGGGCTTCCAGGGCTCCTACTCCTTCCCCTCCTGCAATCCTCCGCGCTCCGTCGTCTACTGCACCACGTCCATCATCCAGCACGCCAAGTGCTCGTGGCTGCAGGAAGCCTCCTCGGTGTACGGCATCGAGCCCAATCTGCAGTGCATCCGGACGGAGCATCTCGATCGCTGCATGGACGACGTGAAGCACAGAGTGTCGGACGTCGTGCTGGTGTCGCAGGACGACAGGATCCGCGCACAGCGCGACTACTCGCTGAAGCCCATCCTGTACGAGTTCTCGTCCAGCTTCGCCAAGAGATACGCCGTCGTGGCCGTGGTCAGTGCCAAATCCCGCGTGAAGAGCTTCGAGCAGCTGCGTGACAAGACAGCCTGCTTCCCGTCCTTCGAAGGCGCCGCGTTCCTGTCCGTCGGCGAGACGCTCCTCAACAAATCCCTCATCCAGCCCTCGTGCAATCTCTCCAGCGCCATCAGGGGATTCTTCTCCTCACAATCCTGCCACTCGCACGCGGGAAGTGACCAGAATTGTCGCCTCTACCACGGCGACGAGGGAGCGCTGAAGTGTCTCGTCGAGGGTCACGGAGATGTGGCGTTCCTGGGCATCGAGACGTGGCAGAACTTCGTCGATGGCAAGATCCTGGGCAACTACAAAGCCAGTCACTTCGATCTGCTGTGTCCCTTCGGCAGCACCAAGAAGATTCCCACGTGTTATCTCCACTGGACAGCTCCTGGCCACCTCATGATCCACAACACGACGAATCTGATGCGCCGGAACGAGATCTACAACTCCCTGCGCGACATGGATCGCCTCTTCGGCAAGACGTTCAGCACCAAGACGCAGACTTTCACCCTCTTCGGCCCCTTCGACAAGAAGAACAACGTCCTGTTCCGGTGAGTCTTCCTCACTTCTGTCCTCTGGCACAATCTCAAGATCTTGTCTGTCTTTCAGGGACGCCACTGACGGGCTTCGGGGCTCCGTGGACATTCTGAAGGATCGCGCAGAGCGCAGCCTGGAAACGGTGTTCAGCCAATATTCCCACGCCAAGTGTATCGCCAGCGCTGGCGTGAGTTTCTCCGTCAGCAACTTCTTCCTCCTGGGCGCTCTCCTGACGCTCAGACTCTTCAGCAAATTCTCCTCAATGGCCAGTTGAATAGCAATTTTTTACAGAGTGTGATGAGAGAAATTGTGATATTAAATCATTAATTTATACGCGCAAATCTTTCAAACTCGACACGTGTTGGACGACAAAATGTCTCATAAACACACTGCTTAATGATCCGAAAGGCATGTTTTTCACCGCACTTTCCCCGCGCCTGTGCCAGAGCTTAATTGCCCCGTTTTTTTTGTCCATCTTCAGTGCCACAAATTCATCTAATTGAACGTGTGCGGAAAAAAGTGTGACATACCGAAAAGGCGCCAACAAACACTTCTCAGCCATTCGCATGCGCGCTGCTGGAGAAATCCGATGAATCACTTGAGAAAACACATGATTGGCACAACAAAGTGCAATTAAATCACACTGACAAGTTGAGTTAATTCAGGGAAAATACGTGTTTTTGCGTGAAAAACTTGCAAGTTCAACTTCTGATCTTCCTTCCAGCGCAACTCCTCCTTTCCACTGGAAGGCCGACTTCCAACGTGGAAAACCCCTCCATTTTTTCCCACTGTCAACAAAAATGCCTCGCGACATACAAAGTAATTTCACCAGAATGACTCTCAAAATCCCGGTAATGCGCCACAAAACAATGCTAAGCACTTGGAGAAGAAGCTCAAGAAGTATTATCAGTGCAAATACTCACAATTGCATTCCGAGAAAGATGACTTTTTGGCACTCTTTGCAGCGTCCGAATCGCAGTTCTTATGTAAATCCCACCAAGTCTCAATATTCACTGGCTCAGCGTTTCTTCTCCCGCTAATAGATTCCCTCAGCCTTGATTGAAATTCAAGCAGCAATTTTTGCGGTGAATCAATTGCGCGGGACACTGAGAAAAAAAACCACACAAAGAAGAGCAATTTTCCCAACTTTTCAGCGACACTCGCGAGTGACAATCACGACAAGCTGCAGATCGATGGAATGTTAATGACAACAATATTATTGAAATGCAATCGCGCGACACGAGACGAAAAAGCTCATAAAAGATCGCGAGAGAGCGAACTGAACCGGGGAAAAACCTGAAGAATCTTGCTGCTTGAGGAATGTTTGACTCATTTTCTGCTTGATGTCCTTAATAAGCTCCGCCCACAAGAATGCTCCGCCCATAAATTCACTTTCTTTGCAAAAATTCCATGGAAAACGTAATAATTTACGGAAAATCATAATTTATTCTGCTGAAATTCAGTCGATTCAGCCAGACTAAAAAGTTCCACAAGAAAATCCGACGAAAATGAGCGATAATAAGAAGCTGGAATGCCCAGAAGACTCCCATTGTTGATGATTTCAAGGAGAAGAAAGCTCTGAAGAAACGTAAGAATCACAAAATCTCTCGCAAGAGATCCGTTTTCAAGAGACTTCGTAATTAGTGATGAAATGAGCGGAAGAGGAACTAAATTATTGTACAAAATCAACTATGAACGCACGGCAAAATCACCCAGACTCGCTTTTGACTTGTGAGATAAAGCGAGAATCATTAAGAGTAACGACCTCGTGGACGTGATAACAATTCGCGGAAGATTTGGGAAGTTTGTAGGAAGACGAATTGGGGAAAAATAACACCTGTTTCAATACTTAATGGGATATTTGTGGCCCAAAGAGGCAGTTTGATGAGTAAACGATGACAAATGAGGGGGTTTTTCACCTCAGCCAAGCATCAATTCGTGATTCCCAGTCCTTTATTGTCTCTAAGTGGCACTGCGTATGTGGAAATTGACGATGTAGTCCGTGTTGATGCGCTGCACGCTGATGGCGAAGGGATCCGTTGGGTGGAAGGTGAAGGCGACCAGATGACGCGAGGACGGCTGTAGATATTTGCCTTGCAGTCCAGGGAAGATCCTGAACTTCAAGAGCCCAGAATCCCTGGCGAAGAATCTGCAAAACGACGAATATTATTAATTCATCAGCAAATCATGCTGGAAATCCGAGGATTTCTTGTGCAACAACACTTGAAGTCTATTTTTGCTTATTTGAAATGGAATTTTCACTGTTTTCTGCATTCTTTTCACCTGGATTTAAACAATATTCTTCAATATTTCCTAGTCTAATGAATTTTTTACCCTTTCTTGCTGAAATTTGCCCAAAAAAAGGGGGGTTTTGGGTGGGTTTTTCGAGCTGATCTCACCTGATTGGGTACTCCGTGCACGCCTTGGGGCGCTCCATGACGGACACGAGCTTGTCGTCGTAGCTGTAGAGCGAGAGATCGAGGTACGGCGAGCTGCTGAAGCTCTGCGAGCTGATGGGCAACTGCGCCAGGATGCGCTTCGTGGCCTCGACCTTTCCGCCGCCCTTGGCGTTCATGATGGTCTGCTGAAAGCGCTGCTGGATGAGCTTGGCGTACATGTTGTTGGACGGAGACGCGGTGAACTGGAAGCCGGAGTTCGCCTTGGCGTTGCGGAAGTGATCGCAGAAGTTCTCGAACAGATACAGCAGCTCCTCGGATGCGTTGTCGTAGACGGCGAGGACTTTGGTCTCCCAGATGTTGTAGATGACGAAGAAGCACGGCTGACTGCTCGGTTCGGCGTGCTTCAGCGTCACCACTTCCTCACTCGAGTACTTAATCAGCAGGTGATTGTCGTCCAGCAGCTGCATCTTCCACATCCTCAGCTGCCGATACTGCAAAGGCACAAGGAGAGATAAGTCAGAAGTTGGTGGAGTTTGAGAAAGCTTCTCTTCTTTCTTCTTGAGAAACATTCTCCCCCTTGCAGAGGGGGAAAAGAGTGGATTTCTGGGCTTCTGGGACAACTCACGTGGTCAAAGTGCTGGTAGAACTTCCGCAGCGCCAGCTTGTCTCCGAAGGTGTCGTGCAGGTGCTTGGCGCGCCGGAACAGGAACACCAGCAGTCTGTGCTTGAGGGTGTTGATGGCCACCTCGCGGAAGGGCGGCGGCTCGGCGCGATCCGTCTGCAGCTGGCGCGTGGGCGGCGGCTCGCCGCAGCAGAAGCGGCCGATGGTGCGCAGGCGATGCAGCTTGCCGCGATGCACCTCGAAGATGTGGATGAGCTGGTGCTGCACTGACAGCACGGCCAGCGTGTTGTTGTAGAGGTAGAGGCCCTGGTTGTGCGACAGGAAGATCTTGTCCACCTTGAAGTCGCGGCAGTCGGACAGGCAGCCGTTGTGCAGATCCACCACGTAAAGCGTGTAGTCCTCGAGCGGGCAGCGCTGCGTCGGCGTCAGCGACTCGTTGTTCCTGTACATCTCGTAGAAGTACGGTCGATCCTCGGGGATGAACGTGGCCGCGCCCACGATCACGTACCGGCCGTCGTTCGTGAACAGGCTGCACTCTCGGTTCAGCTGCTTGTACGTGCACGTCATGTTCACCACGTGCTTCAGCTGTGAGGAAAGCAACGGAATCAGCCCAGAATCCTCCCGCAAGACACCCAAGAAACTCCCTCTCACCTTGAACAGCTTGTCGAAGATCATGTGGCGCACGAGATTGGGCACTCCGGACTCCGAGTTGGGAATGATGTCAGATTCCCAGGAGTAAGTCAGCGTCAGCGCCGACGTGACGCCCAAATACTTGTAGATCTCCAGCGATGTCTGGTCGAAGGAGAAGGCAATCAGGTACTTGCCGTCCGGCGTGAACTTCCTGAGGAAGCACGCGGGCTTCTCCACATTCACCACCGTGAGATTGGGGAAGATGTTCTGGTAGAATCGCTTTACATTGTAAATATTGCTTCCGGGCCTCCGAAAGCCCCACGTTTCGCGCTCAATCAGGCGATTCACGATATTTTGGGGCTTGATTTTGCGTGGTTTCGCCGTGTCACTGCATATCACACTGTCATCCTCGGGATTCAGCATGCTGAACAGTGTGAGAATCACTGAAAAAAGCCCCGAAAAATGTGCCCCACAAACACACTTCGCTTGTTTATTTCTCCGTCGCTCAACAGCTGATTGTCAAACGATGCTTTCCAATTGGACTTCCAGTGGCGCATTCCAAGAATTCCAGGCTGGGCGAATTGTTTTGATTTCTCACACTGATTATTTTCCTGATTTGTTGGCATTTTCCGGCACTGAAAGTGAGTAGAAAGTGATGAAATGGCGAGAAGGAAGCATTTCCGAGGTTGTTGCATTGCAGGAATCACGCTGAAGTTGGTGAGAAATGGTGCGAGTTCTCTTCCTGCACCCGGATTTGGGCATCGGAGGAGCGGAGCGTCTGGTTGTGGATGCTGCGCTGGCACTCAAGAGTCGCGGACACGTCGTCAGCTTCCTCACCAATCACCACGATGAGTCGCATTGCTTCCAGGAGACGCGCGACGGCACACTCGCCGTGAAGACGGTGGGAGATTGGCTGCCCAGGAACATTTTCGGGAAGTTCAGTGCTTTCTGTGCCTACCTGAGGATGATCTATGCTGCGTTCTACACAGTCCTGGTGGTGTCACAGAACGAGCGCATCGACGCGATATTCTGTGATCAAGTGTCGCTGGGAATTCCGATTCTGCGATTCGCCAAGCACAACCCAAAGATTCTCTTCTACTGTCACTTCCCGGATCAGCTGCAGACGAAGCCTGGCGGCTTGCTGAAGCGAATCTATCGAGCGCCACTGAACTTCCTGGAGGAGAGGACAACCGGCCAGGCGGACAGAGTGCTGGTGAACAGCAAGTTCACGCGCAGAGTGTTCAAGAGCACCTTCAAGCGTCTCTCTCTGGATCCGGACGTTCTCTATCCATCGCTCAACACGAAGTTCTTCGACTCTCTGCCGCCGGAGGATGAGATTGCATCGAGGATTCCCAGCAAGGCCTTCATCTTCCTCTCCATCAATCGCTTCGAGCGCAAGAAGAATCTCACGCTGGCCGTCGACACGTTCCGGGACATCGCCGGGTGGGTGTCGGCGGCGGAATTCGACCGGATGCACATGATCGTCGCCGGTGGCTACGATACGCGCATGGCGGAGAATGTGGAGCACTTTGAGGAGCTGCAATCGCTGGCGAAGCGCTACAAAATCCAGGACAAAATCACTTTCCTGCGCTCACCGAAGGACACCACGAAGCTGTGGCTGCTCAGCGCCGCTCACGTGCTTCTGTACACGCCGGAGAACGAGCACTTCGGCATCGTGCCGCTCGAGGGCATGTACATGGCGAAGCCCGTGATCGCCGTGAACAGCGGCGGCCCGATGGAGACAATCGTGGACGAGAGCACGGGCTTCTTGTGCCAACCGACGCCTGGGGACTTCCGCAAGCCAATGCTGAAGCTGTTCCGGGAGCCGCAGCTGATCGATTCCATGGGCCAGATGGGCAGAAAGAGAGTGCAGCAGAAGTTCTCCTTCGAGGCCTTCACGGCGTCTCTCAACAGCATCATCGAGGAATTGCTGGCGGACAACCAATAGCCTCTGCTGACCGTCGTGGTCAGGAGACAGAGATGAACTGAGATAGTAAAGTCTAGAAATCCTTTTATTCCATTCATCAGTGTGAATTCAAATTGGTCAGGAGTGAAATTTAGCTCATAAGTTACACATTTTTGTGGCTTCTAGTCCACTTTTTTTCTCTCGGAGGACTTCCTGGACAGACTCTGTAATAAATTCCGGGAATAAATTCTCATATTAGACATCTTTCTCTGCTAGAAATCTAGCGTAATTCTCTGCATACGCTTCATCTTCCCTCTTCCCAGTGCCTGGAATCACTTCCAGCTGCACATCGAACTGCTGATCCAGACCCATGAAGCAGTCTGAGACCAGATAGAGTGTGTAGATCACTCTTCCCTGACGCTTTGGGGCGTCAAAGACGAGATACTGCGTCGAGCGTGATCCTCTGAAAGCGGCTCTCTTCAGGGCGATCAACTCCTGGTCATTCTGACAGCCCAGCGTGAGGAACCATCCCTCATCCTTGCCCTTGGGGAATTTGGGACAGTAAATGCTGCTGCCCTGCTTCGCTCCCAGCCGATGAAAGTTGATGGCCAGCGTGTATTCCTCGCCGGCGTGAATCTCCAGCCAGGAATCGCGCTTCTGCGGCTGCACAATTGTCCTGTCCGCCTGTGGATCGTCCAGATGGGGACCTTGAAGGGCAAGATTGACACTAATCACAGGCAAATCCTTGAGTACTCGATGAATCTCTTCAATTTCCCTCTCCAGAAATCCATCTCTCAGCGGCGACGCCACCAATTCGAACTTCCTCACGAAGCGCTCTCGCAGCACCGGCAGAGACATCCCACCGCAGCCCGCAAAGCCCTCCGTCCTGTCGAACATGGCCACGTGATGCTCCTCCACGAAGGGCAGACAAGTGAGTGGAGAATCGTCGAACCAGCGCGCCTGGATGACGCTCTGCATCAATTCCTGCACTCTCAGCGCCGAAGCCAGCCAAGCTTTCTCCGCGCACACGTCAATCATGGCCTGCAGGATCCTGATGGCCTGATCCAGAACGGACTTCGTGTCCGTGTGATAGTCCGCGTTGGGCAGTGGCAGCCGGCCGAAGTGCGCCTGCATGAGAAGGAAGGTTTTCGTGTGCGGCGAATCACAGATTGAAGCGGGAACGGAGAATCTGCACATCTGCGACAGTTCCTCATTATACTTGTCCTCATTGTGTCTCACCGGCTGCTGATCGAACTCAAAGGAGTCACACATGATCCTCAGCAGTTCCTCACTCTTCAGCTGCGCTCCCAGGGAGTTGGAGAAGTGATTCATCGTCTTGTGCGAGAGATAATAATAGGAGGAAATCCTGCCCAGACTCGTGGGATAGATGTATCGATCCTCCGGACTCCACTCCACACATCCCGCCGCGTCCAACTCCTGCAGCACACTCTCCACCAGACTGGTGAGATATCTGTTCACATCCTCCGGCTCAATGGAGTCCAGATTGTAGTACGTGGGATTCCTGAGCAGTCGCCTGAAGAAGTACGTCCACGTGAGATAATCCAGGATTCCCTGCTTCGTCTGCACCGTCCCAGCCACAATCTCCGCATTCACGTGATCCGGGATGACATTGTGCAGACTGGACTCCACCGGGAAGGGATCGTAGAGGAATTTCTTGTAGAAATTCTTCTTGATATCGTGCACCAGCACAACTGCGATGCCTTCATTGCCGAATTGCGGTCTTCCGGCTCTGCCCATCATCTGCAGCACATCCGTAATGGGCATGTCCACATAGCGCTTCTGCTTCCCATCGTAGTACTCCGTGCCCTTGATCACAACCAGATGCGCCGGCAGATTCACGCCCCACGCCAGCGTCGCCGTCGCCACGAGAACCTGAATCTTCCTGTTGAGGAAGAGTTCTTCGCACGTCTTCCTGTCCCTCTCCTGCAGACCCGCGTGATGCAGCCCAATGCCGAAGGCCAGCGTGAGCTTGAGATTGGCATCGTGGATGTTCTGCAGGATTTGCTCCATTTCATCCTCCGAACAGTGCAGAAACTGCTTCGGATTGTCCTCCGTGGCCAGAAAGGCGATCAAGTCCAGTGCCGTGAGTCTCGTCTGTCGCCTGGAGGAGACGAAGACCAGAGCCGGCGTGCAGGGCGAGTACTGCCGGATGGCCTGATAAGTTGGCCTGTTCATCGTCGCCATGCGCGGACAGTAGTGCTTGCCAGGATAGCCACTGATGTGCACTGTCAGCGGAACAGGACGCACGGATGGCTTGAAGTTGTACAATCCCATCTGCTCAATGCCCAGCCAATTGGCCAGATCCTTGGCATTCGCCAGCGCCGTGGATAAGCCAATGATGCGCAAATTGCGCTCTGTGTGATTCGAGATGAAGTTCGTCCGGGAGACAATCACTTCCAGCACAGGACCTCTGTCCTCGCCCAGCAAGTGAATCTCATCGATCACAATCAGCGCCACATCCTTCACATAATCCCTGGTCTGCCAGGATCGACTGATGCCATCCCACTTCTCTGGCGTCGTCACAATCACAGTTGCATCACGAATGGCGCGAATGTCTGGCGTCACATCGCCCGTCAGCTCCACAACCTTCTTCCCCAGGCGATGCTCCAGTCGCGTGCGCCAATCCTCAATCCGCTCCCTGACCAGCGCCTTCAGTGGTGCAATGTACACAACTTTCGCCTTCGGCTGCTTCTCAAACACTCTGAAGATGGCAATCTCCGCCGCGATGGTCTTCCCGGATCCCGTGGGCGCGCCCAGCAGCACATTGTTGTCCGTGTGATAGAGACAGTGGAAGATCTGCGTCTGGATGGGATTGAAGTGACTGAAGGCGAAGAGCGATTCGTACTTCGGGTTCTTCAGCACCGCCACGGGAAGTGGCTGAAGTGGCAGCAATTCCGTGTGCGGCGGATGAATCTCCGGCAAGATGAGGTGTTGGAAGGATAGCGGATGCGTCGTGTGACTGCCCAGCCACAGGTCACTGCTCACGCGGATGTAATACTGTGGCGGCAGAGGATCCTTCAGCGGAATTGTCATCACGAGCTCCTGAGGCTCACGCGTGATCGCCTGCTTCTTGGTCAGCTGGAAAATCTCCGAATGATAGATGAAATTACTCTCGGGATCCTCAATCCACACCCAGAACGACTCCGAATGTCGTCCATGCACGCGATCATTCCACTTGAAGCTGCCCGTGAGGAAGATCCTGATTCGCAGCACAGTTCGCGTGATTGGCTGCAGCGAAGCGTCAATCTCCAGAATGGGAAACTCCTCAGCACACCTCTTCACCATGCTGCCATACTTGTGATTCCTCAGCATGTCGCCAATCTCCTTGCTGTCCATCTCGCGCAGGGCATAAATGGACAATCCTCGATTCTCAATCTTCTCAATCACATCCTGCGGAATGATGTGAAACTGCCTCAGCGGCGTCTCAAAGTCCCACATTTGCTTCTCAAACATTATGCTCATCATCAGCAATCTTCCCGCCAAGATGGGATTGTTCTGCCTCAACACAATGGTGAACAGCGCTCGGGCGATTCGCACGGCGTTCTGCGTGATGTACGACATGTCTGAGATCAGCGAGAAGGACTTCACGAAGCCCCGCGAGAGATAAGTCTGCATCAGAATGTTCACCTTCCCGTGCAGATTCTCACTTCCTCCGCGCACCACAACTTCACAGTACTCGTGCGTGAGCAGATCCAACTCGTCCATCTCGTCGTCACGCACTTTCAGCTGCTGGAACTCCTGCGCATGTGACATCATCTCCAGGATCTCCGCCTCCGTCATCAGCGGCCTCATCATCTCATTAAACACCTCCACAGTGTCGTATTTCACGTAGAAGTGACTCGCCGTCCTGCCCAGATCAGTCACGTTCAGATCGTGCGTGCGCGTGTTGTATCTGTTGAACAGTGAAGAGTCTTAATAAAGTCAAAAGATTGATGCAAAATAGGCATTACCTGATCATCCTCGCCTTGTCCAGCGCCATGGCCGCCGCGTGAATCAGCTCACGCCGCTTGCGCTCCAGCGTGAAGTCCGCCTGCACGTCGGTGTAGTTCATGCCGTAGACCTGCGGATTGATGCGCATGCGCACGAACAAGTACGTGTAGCTGAGCCACTCGATGGCCTCGTCCACGTTCGAGATCGTGCCCAGCGTGATCTCGGCGTTGAGATTGTCCGCCAGGCACTGGATGAAGTTGGACTCGATGGGGAACTGATTGGTGAGCAGGCTGAGATAGTGCGACAGCTTGTCGTGCGACGTGAGGATCATGCCGACGCCGCTCTTGTCGAACTGCGGCCGTCCGGCGCGCCCGAAGATCTGCAGCACGTCGAGGATGCCGAGATCGATGAATGTGCCGTGCTTGGAGTCGTAGATCTCCGTGCCCTTGATGATGACCGCGTGCGCGGGCAGATTCACGCCCCACGCCAGTGTCGCCGTGCACACGAGCACGCGAATGTGTCCATCGGCGAAGTACTTCTCCACCAGCGATCTGTCCGTGCGCAGCATGCCCGCGTGATGCATCGCCAGGCCGGTGTGGAAGAGCTCCACGAGCTGCTTGTTGCGACTCTTGGCGATGGCGCGCTTAGCCAGGCCGTACTCTGGCGTGTCCTCCGGCGCGAACACGCCCAGCTGCTGCTTCTGCTGCGCCATCTCACGCAGCACCACGGCCGTGCGCACGGTGGCGTTGCGCGCGTGCACGAACACCATCACTTGATGGCCCTTCTTCAGCATCTCCACGCACTTGTCATAGCAGATCTGATCCATGTCCGCGAGCTGCTGCAGCGGCTTCTGCGCCTTCACGCCGATGAACACCTGACCGAGTGGAATCGGCCGGAAGCGTGAGTCGAAGAAGAACAGCCCAATCATGGGATTGACGCGCAGGAAGCGCGCCACGTCGATGTAATTCGGCAGCGTGGCGGACAAGCCCACGATGCGAATCATGGACTGTGATGACTCCACGAGACGCAGCGTCCTGGCCACCAGCGCCTCCACAACAGGCCCACGTTCGCCGTGCAGCAAGTGCACCTCGTCGATGATCAGCAGCTTCACCAGACTGATCATCGCCACATCGCCGGCGCCTTTGCGCGTCACGACGTCCCACTTCTCGGGCGTCGTCACGATCATCTGCGTGTCCAGCATCTCCGCCTTCGTCAGCTGCATGTCGCCCGTCAGCTCACGCACGGCAATTCCTAGCGCCTTCAGTCGCTTCCCGAAGTTTTCCGTCATCTCGGCGGCCAGCGCCTTCATTGGCGCCACGTAGACGATCTTGAACTGACTCCTGTCGATGATTCCCTCCGTCACGAAGCTCCTGATCGTGTGCACGATCGCCAGCATGGCCACGTTCGTCTTGCCTGCGCCCGTCGGCGCACAAACCAACATGTTGTCGTTGCTGTGATAAGCCGTGGGATAGACAACGCTCTGAATCCTGTTCAACTCCTTCGTGCCCTTGAAGGCGATCTTCCCGATCTCATCCAAATCCTCCACCTTCACGCGCACATTTCCCACCGCCAGCGGCGGCGGATCGCACGCCGGAATGCGCACTTCCTCGAACGTCTTCGAGTCCTTGCGCTCCACATTGTCCGGCAGCATCAGCCGCCCGCCCGACACGAAGCCCACGTGACTCTTGGCCTCCAGCTGAGAGTCGTAGACGTTCGGGTAGCGCGGAATCACTGACTTGGCCGGAAGCTTCGCTTTGGGCCGATCGTGCAGCAGCGGATTGAATTTGGCCTCGTGCGACAGCGCCTGATGGCCGAGAATACGGAACTTGGCGGGATCAATCTCCTCCGGAATGTTGAAGTCCTCACTGTCCACCTTCGCTGCGAGCTTCTTCAGCTTCTGCTCCTCCTTCCGCAGCTGCTTCATCATCTGCTTCTCGTTCTCCGACTGGATTATCACCTGATTTCCCACTTGAGGCCTGTTGATCTTCTGCATGATCGCCTTCTCCTTCAGCTGCAGCCGTTTCTCCTCGTTCTCCGCCAGCTTCACGATCACCTGGCGATTGCGCAGGATCTCCTGGATGGCCTCGAATTTGTCGAAGCCCAGCATGTCGAAGAGCTCGTTCTGCAGCTCGTCGCTGGACTTCTGGGACTTCAGCATGTTCACCAGCGACTCCACCAGATCCACAGGCACGAAATCCGCCAGCCAATTGCGCGTGTACTTGCGCTCGCTCACACCGTTTGTCGCGGCCGCGCTGGCCGCCGGCGCGTAGTGGTCGTAGCGCATGGAGAACTCACTAGCCGCCGAGCAGGCGGCGACGGCGCTCGGGCCCAATTCCTTGAGATTCTCAACGTCGATCGCCTCCGCCTGAGGCATTTGGCACTCAATCGCGGCGCCCCAGAGCGCCTTGGCAGTCTTGTGGCTGAAGCACTCCTGCAGGAAGCTTCTGTTGTCCGCCCTGAGGCAAGATCTCAGATCCTTGACGAACTGCGGAGAGGAAGAGAAGACAAAATCAAGGATGATTCAATCAATTTTGCCTCAGATTTTTGGCACCTCAAATAAACTATTGGCAGCTTGACTGGAAAACACTCCGAAGATCCTCTTCATGGCGCTCACGTGTTCCATGGAGACCTTCGTCTCCTCCCAGAGGAGCTTCAGGATGAACATCACCGCGTCGTCCACAACTTCCGGAGGCTCTTCCGGGCCCAGAAGTTCTTTCGCTTTCCGCCACAGATTCTGCAGGTGTGTCAAGGATTTTGAGTCGCCGGACGACTGGAGGCGTCTCGTGACATCCTTGTACGCGACTTCACTGGAAAAGCCAGAGAAGATGAGGATCAGAAGCCGGGAAAAGTGGGAAAACTCAATGGAACTCACTTCTCATCGCCGGGAATCCTTTTCACAGCGAATTTCTTCAACGGATCCTGGAAACTATTGCGCTCGCCATCCAAATTGGTGGACACTCTCATTGCACGCGATAATTTGGGTAGTTGAGCCATGATTTCACAATTTATTTAACTGAAAAAGTGAAATTTCACAATCTTGTTCAACGAGGTTTGGAGGTTATTTTCCCAAAAGACTCAATTTCACTGTGAATTTCCACGATTTTTCACAACTTTCGCTGCTAAATTGACGGAGAATCTTTAAGAAATACTCTACCTATACTTATAAGGAAGTTATTGGAGAAAATCCTTGCGAGAAAACTAATCTTATCACCTAATCAACACCGAAAGCAGCTTCTCGCGCAGCAAATCGCGAACCCTATAGAAATTTCCTCTGCAATTCCAATGAAACCGTCAAATTTTGTCCACTTTCCAGCGGAAGTTTTCCCCCAAAATCGACAGATGTCTTTAGTGGGTTCTGGAAGTTTGTTGACAATAATAATTTCCATTGCAATATTTCCTCAATTTCTGCTTGTTTTTCACGATTTTCACGCAAAGATGAACGCCCAGGGAGAGGATGAAGATTACTGGAACGTCTCGGACAGCAAGGCTTACAACTTTGATGAAGATGACGTGACTTCCGAGGCGAGTTATGAGGATTTCCCACAAAGTGACTTTCCCCTGAATCTCCTCATCTCTGACCAGGATCTCCAGATGAGTAGGTTTCCCACCGCCATGAGAGACTCTCTCACTCACCCTCTGTTCTTGCAGTCCTCGAGGAGCAGTCCAGGCAAGATGTTTTACCGCGCAATGTGAGTCAGGAGGAGGAATTGCGCTTCCTGCGTCGCAAATTCCAGGAAGAACGCAATCCTCCGCCCGCATCTGTGATACTCTCGCGCCTGCTGATCGGCAGGCATGTCCAGCTGGAGGTGTACAAGACGCTGGCACAAAAAACTGAGCTCCTGGATGAGGCGATCGCTTCCGGGAGTGGCGATGCCATCCTGCGAGTCGTGCTGTTCCTCAATCGCACGCTCAAGCGAAGGATCGTCTATCAGCTGCTGCAGAGCCGGCCGGAGGCGGTGAGCCACTTCACGAACTACCTGAGCACGAGGCTGCAGGTGCAGGAGTGCGTGGATCTGTGGACAATGCTGGGGAAGCCGCACGAGGCGGCGATGCTTCAGTATCGACTGGCCGTGAGCACAAGCAATGCGGATCTGAAGCGACGGAAGCTGTCGAAGGTGCACAATGACTACTTCCTGCAGCCCGGCGCGCCGATCTTCCACACGCGCTTCGTGTCTGACCAGCTGAGTCTGCTGGAGTGGCAAGCGACGGAGGCGCTGGCGGACAAGACGGTGTTGGAGTCTCTCTACCACGCTTGCGAGCGACACAAGTGGACGGACAGCAAGTCACTGAGCCCGGGGAATCCCTACAACATGGCCAGGAAGTATCAGATCAGTGCGTCGCAGTTTGAGTGGATTGCGCTGAATGAGCGCGCGAGGAGCAAAGCGTGGAAGGATTTGGACGCGCTGTTCGAGCGGAAGACGTTCATCAAGTCCTCCTTCGCCATCCACATTCCGCTGGACAAGGTGGTGCTGCGGCTGCACCAGCTGGAGGCGCCCGTGCCGGTGCTGAACGCTTTTCTGGCCCGAATCGACGACACGCCGAAGAGATTGACGCTGGCCAGGAAGGTCGGCGCCGTGCGGAGTGTCATCGACTGCCTGGTGGCGCTGAAGGACAAGGCGGAGCTGCTGACGGTGAGGAACAGCCTGGAGCAGGGAACGCCGGACAGATTCTACGCCGACAACTGCCTCGAAGGCCTGGTAAGCATTGGACATTTCCAATCGAACTGCTCAATATTTATGATTTCTCTCTCTTTCCACGCACCGCAGAATAGCAAGTGGTCGGCGGAGAGCATAAAAGTGTCCATCAAGAAATGACCTGCGGCCCGAGATGTTATTTGTGGGCAGAATTTTGATGATGAATTACATATTTTTGCAACGTGACGCGGAGGATTTTCATTAACTCGTTTCAATCTTTATCATTGAAGATATTTTTCCTTTATTGTCCAAGAGATTTGGCATAAATAACATCCAAAATTATCACATTCATTAATTGTTGGATAGAATTCACACGTTTTTTTTTTGCAAAATGCACGCGTCTTTTTCCGCGGACAGAATTTTGGTTTGAAAACATCGAGAGAAACACGTAAAAACACTGAGATTAGAACAGCGAAGAATCTCACATCTTCCAGTTCGTGGAGTTGGGCGTGTACAGCAGTGGCAGGATCTTGCCCTGGGATTCATCTGCAAAGGAAAATAAAGAGTCTTTCATCTGGCTATACTTCAGGAGAGCAACACAGCGAGGCAAAGGAGAAGAACAGATTGAAGATTCGCGGCTCTTCGTGCCCGAAACTAATGAGTAAGGAAAATTACCGGGTCTTGCTAACACTTGACCCACATTGAGGGACGTTCGGGTCCCTCAGGGACTTTTTGGCGGGGCACAGGTCGTCCTCGGGGCCCGCGCCTACTTTTGCGCGGCGCCCCAGTGAAGCGATCTGCCCAATAAATGCAGAATACTCGAAAATACGAAGATTTTGTAGGTCTTTTTGCTAAGAATATTACTTTAAAGCGCAATTGAAGCACATTTTAACAGTTTTCTTTGGCTTGAGAACTGTTTTGAGGGTTTTGAGTGTCTTTTGTGACCATTTAAGACGTTTTCAATGATAATTTGAGTCTTTTCCGCTGTTAATTGTGCTTTTCTTTCTCTAAAAGTGCCTCAGAAATCGTATTAAGATTGAAATTCAGAAGTTATATAGTCAATTTCTTGATAATATTCTGTTCAAGCTATTCAATAAATCCCTTATCGAAGCAATTTTAATCGATATTTACTGCATTTTCATCATTTTCACCAAAATAGGCGCAAAAAGTCAGAAATGAGAGATTAGAATTGCATTTATAATCACTTCAAAGAAGATTTTATCGCACTTTGCACACTAATAATTGCATCTAACGTCCTTTAAAATGTCCTTTGAGTAAAGCAATCTCAAGTTGGAGAGAAAAAGTACTAAGACGAAGAATATTTGGCGCCAGAAGCGCGGTTTTCTCACCTGGATTGGAGTTGGTTAGGCCATTTGCCGTGCCCTCGGCGACGCCCTGCTCGTTGCGGCGCCTCGCGAACACTGTTTGCCATCCTTTGATGCCGATCTTGTCGCGATAGCGCGGCGTCGTGAAGGTGTAGAGCAGCGGATTCACGGCGGAGTTCAGAGGCAGGATGAAGATGACGATCCACGCGTAAATGTCGGCTGCGAACGGAGAGAAACACCCTGTGAAACACATTTTTCACCCCTGAAAGCATGCAAAAGCGCGCGCCAAAAGCACGTCTTTGAGCGAAGCCGAGTGTCTCGCATGTCCCACGTTGTCTAGTGGTTAGGATACCTGGCTCTCACCCAGGAGGCCCGGGTTCGATTCCCGGCGTGGGAAATCTTTTTTCCTTCTTTTTTATTTCCCTCCCACGCAATTGCTTTTCTTTTGGCCCCTTTTTAATTGCCGCGCCAAAGTGATTTCTCTGCACCATTGAACTTTACGAGCGCCCTTCGTGATTGCCAAGAGCTCTTCTGCGGTGTCATAAAGCGCGCGTCTCACCTGAGATTTCATAGCTGAGGAACGCGAGAATCTTCAGCGCGATGATTGGTGCCCAGCAAGTGGCGTCTGTGAGGACGATGAAGAAGAATCTGCGGGTGACAAAGTGGGTCAGAATCGCCCCCAATTTGATGTTATCTCACTTCAATCAGTGTTGTGCGCTTTACATGGTAAGAAATGTATTTTACGTGGTCAAATGGGTGAAGATGTGCTCTGAGACAAATTATGTGTTCTAGAAAGTTGTAGGCCGACTCTTTCTCTTTCTAAAACGCTATTAGTTTTGAAAATCCGCCCACAGATGGCGCTTCCATGAATATTTTTAGTGTGTAATACAAAGAGAATTTGTAAAAATTCTAGTATCATGAAAACAGGTCATGAATCTCAATTGGAGGTCATTTGGCGACCTTGTTATGTTCTAGAGAGTTATAGGCTGTGAAATTACCTTTCCAAATCCGTATTACACTTCACAATCTGACCAAAACTTTGGAAGAGATGGAAGAATATAGTTTTTTTTACAGAAAAGCATTCTTTACCATGTAAATCGTGTAGTTAAATGAAATGGAGAGGAATGTAAAGCCCAACACTGGCTTCAATTCACCGTCCATTTGAGGAAGCAAAACGTGAAGGCGATTGATTAGCCAGATAAGGCGGAGATTGAGAGGGATTCTTACCTGATGGCGAACTCGCAGTCCAGCACGGCCAGAGGCGTGGCTCTCCTCGTGCGCCAGATGGACACCAGGAGGGCCGTGTAGAGGCTGGCGATGAGCATCAGCAGCGACAGGTTGACGCCCAGGAAGACGAACGCCGAGTACTCCCAGCCGAGCGGGAAGCGCTCCTGGACGTGCAGCGGGAAGCACGTGCCCGAGTGCATGCCATAGAATCTCGTGCTGGAACGCCAGTGAATCACCGGGATGATGGCGATCGTGCCTCCCACTGTCCAGATGGCAATCATGGAGGTCAGCACATTCCGCGAGTCTAGCCGTCGATGGCCTCCGAAGGGATCGGCAATCAACAGGAATCTCTCCACAGACATGAAAGCCAGAATCAGCATGGACACTTCGGAGGATGTCATGGCCAGCAATCCGGCGAGCGTGCAATTCCAGGAAGAGGCCCAATCCTGCGCCACCTCGTGATACTGTGAAATACAACCAGGACATATTTGCTCTGTCGTCACCAGCGGCATTAATGCCTTCCGGGGAATCAACTCAATCCTCTGTCACGAATGGCAAACAGAGGAATCAAGAGTGGAATTCAGTGGAATTTTGTGATCAGATATGGCAGAAGTAATCAGTAAAATGATGCACTGCAGAAAACTCTTGACTTTATTGCTCTTCCTCTTTTCTTCACCCTCTTTCTTAATCAATTTGATGTGTTTTTTTTCTGCGGAAAAGCTGAAGAGCAATAAACAAATAATAAATAACATCCTCTTTTACGTTTGGTCGCAAAACTCCATGAAAATATATGGCAAGGTTTGCATCTTCGCCTAATTAATATTTATGGACTTTAGAGGGTCTCGTCATTCATCAAACTCACCCTGCTTCTGTAGCGAAAGTCCTGAATACTGATAATGACGAGGTAGAAGCCCATCAGCATGTCTGCCACCGCCAAATTGCGGATCACCATCGAGACCGCGCGGTTTTCGTCGCGCAGCGCAAATCTGCCCCAGAGAACCAGGCCGTTTCCCATGCACGTCACCAGAGCCATGAGCCAGGCCGAGTACCTGAGCACCGGCTTGGACAGCAGATCCGCCAGAGTTGAGATGCCGTCGGTGTTGGGCTTGCAGTTCTTCACGTGCGGCGCGTAGCCGCAGTAGTAGAACTTGCTGAACACCACGGATTTCAGCGTTGTGAGGCTCGAGAGAGCGTCAGAGTCGATATTCTCAATGGGAATGCCGTCCAGATTCCTGGGAAATTAAGTAAATCTAGAAGGCTGGCAAGAAGGGGCGGAGCTTCCGAATGGGCGGGGCTTAGAAGGCATTTAAACATAGCATTTTTAGCCGTTTTGAATACTTTCTGGAGTGAATATGTGATGAAAACTAGCAAATGCAATTCATAAATCTGATTTTTGTATCTTAAAATCTTGATATTTTAGTGTCTTAGAATTTCAGCTCATTTGTGTAAAAAATCATGCTGTTTTAGCTGAAATTCAGCTGATTGCTTCAGCATTTCTATGAGTGTAATTTCAAGCTTGTGGCCAAATATTCAATTATGCATTCCTTCCATTACTTACAAATACAGCAAACTGGTGAGATTCAAGAGTGGCGCCGTGATGAAGATGCTGTTGTTCTGAAGATACCTGAAGAAAGACAGAACACGTCATCGCGACGGTTTCTTCACTCAGAGAAGAGCGCGTCTGAAAAATTGGCGCAATTCTCGCCCCACCCCCAAAAGAAGGACACGTGTAAGAAATTTAATTTGCCAGAGTGTCAATTAATCCCATTTTAATATTCCATGTAGCAGAGATTGATACTTGTTTGTCCTGTTGTTGCTCTGCGCGCGTGATTATGTTGAACTTCCATGAACGTGTTATTCTGCACAATCACACCGAGTGAGAAATATTCCATCGCCACCCCATGGGTGGCCATCGGTGGGAGAGGGTGAGTTTGTGTGTGTGTCAACCCCCAATTTGCCGGGGAGGCTAAATATTTGCCCACCACTAAATACAGCCTCGCAGGATTTTCTGCCGAAAGACTCCACGGAAAACTGCTTGTTGAATGTGTTTGTCCTCTTGATTTTCTACTGTGTAGAATTTCCCCAAGAAGCTTTCCGGGGTAGGAAAAAACCCCCTCTTTTAAAAATGCAAATTAAGTGGAGACTTTCTCAGAAGGCACAATTACAGCGCTGAAGCTCACAAAGACGGTGTGTGTTTTCACAGTCTGAAATATTAATAGATTCTCGCGCGCGCAAAGGAACGAAAATCTAATTTGTCCAGATTAAATTCATTAAGAAAAAGTTCTCTTCGCAAATCCTCAGATTGATCTTCGCGCACGCAAAAGAAGTGCATTTGCAAAATTAATCGCTCCCAACATCCCTTAATTACAGTCCTTCTTCGGCAGATGGCAATCGTCCAATTGAGATGCACTCGCGGAGGGATTTAGCATTCCTTCATAACTCTCGCAAGTCCTTCTGTTCAATTAAGTAATATCTGTTTAATTAAATTCCCCTGAGTGAAGGCACTAAACGCTTCACAGAGTCTCGCTTGAGACTCACAATTGTGCTTAAATTGCCATTCTGCGACTGCAAATTGAGGCGCTTTCAAGACATTGTCTTGAAATGTTAGTGTTTTAGAGATGATAATTTTTTGAAATATGGAGAATTCTAAGCAAGGGCTGATAAGCAGTGGAATTTAGGGGTGAATAATTGACGATTTATCAACAATAAAGATAATTTAACCATTTAAAGCAAGTTGTGCCCTTGAGATTCCTTATTTAAAGAGTTTTAACTCTATTTTAATGGGATTTTTGCAATATTTTTTAAAATTAAAATTTTTATTCCTCAATTTTAACATGATTTATTTAGTTTTTTCCATAGAAAAGGCTTAATTTGTTCGATATTTTGAGCAAAATTTGAGGAAAACTGATGTTTTTTCGATCCAGTAATTTAATTTTAAATCCATTTACTGGGATTAAATTGAAGTTTCCACTGGGAAAGACACTTATTTACCAGTTCTTTAAGTGCACTCTGGCGATTTCTTGGGCGAAACAGACGCCGTGAAAGCCTCCAATTTCTCGACACTTCGAGGGCAGACAATGGAGTCACTTTACATGTAATTTATCTCCGGCGGCACGGGATTTCTCAGGTCCCCAAGAACACACACACACCCCGAGAACAGTCGCGGCGTGACGAATCCCATCGTCCCTGATTGCTCCGTCAACACGTTTATGGGCATTTACGGGGTGGGATTTGCAATTCACTCCTGGCATGAATGATAATGACGATATTTGGCTCGGCAAAATATTTGCCCAGCGCACGACCCTTTCGGCGGTCGATTTATAAACGCCGACACGCATTTCACGCCCTCCCACCCCCTTTGCCATCCCCCTTGGGGATTGGCCATCGATCTCCCGGCCGATGAATTGATGTCTAATCCATTGGCGTGAATTGGGTGGATTCCCCACGGAATTCTGTTTGTCTTACATGGACAAATTCACACGAAGGAGGCGCGCGCGGAGGTCGAAGACGCTTGAAAATACTCACAGCGCTTCCAGCAGTGACATCGAGGCTAAGACCGTGTCTGGCAGGCGGAGCAGCAGATTGCTCGAGAGTCCTCTGCAAAGAGTGGGCAGGAGAGAAAGTAAACCGCCATTAGATAGCATCCGAGGGAGCAAATTGAGAGCAATTATTTGCCCCCAACCCCGCGTGGGATTATGCGCTTCCACCCTTCCACATTTTCACCTTTTATGCCAAGGCACAGGGCAATTGCCGTGTAACACTTTTCCTGACTCTCTCTTCATTCTCTGGCTGTTAATTGAATTATAATGAACACAAGTTCCCTCCGGCGCGAAAAGCATGGGAAACTTTCACCCCATTCGCCTCATCCTCAATGGCGAAAAATATTTATTTTCTCCCTTTCGAGAGCAATCCTGACTATCAGTAGGAATTTATCTTTTATGTTAGCTAGCTTGATTTACTGATATTGCACACTTTTTCACCAATTACAGGTCATTTTGTGACAATTTAGCAATGACAAAACTATTCAACACAACGAATTTGAATACATTAGCCTGAATTCCCATGATTTTATCAATTTCTTATTTGCTCTCTTCCCACGAGTCTTTTAGCGCAAATATTTGAGGAAAAGACTCAACTTTCAATAAATGCAAAGTTTGTGAAGCTGCGATGTGAGTCAGGAAATTAGTGTTGCCAGATTTGGGGGAGTTAATGAGGTTAGAAACTGTACAGCATTTCCAAAACTAATTTCAAGTTATATACTTTTGGTATTACTGAAAATTTAAGGTTGATTTGTAGAAAATTTACTGAAAATCCCTTTCTTCACATAATTTTTTCGATCTTAACCTAAAAGTTTTCTTCTAATTGATCTTAAATTGTCAAATTAAGAACATTTTCAACATACAGTTAAATAATCTGATGTTTCTCGACTTAAATTCAGCTGAAAATATTATTTCTCAAGTTCATAAGCAATATTTTGAGGTTATGTTCTACAAATTCACTGTTTTTTAACCTCAAAAACTATTTGAAATCATTTCTCAATCAAGTATGTTAAAGAAATTCAAAGTATTGCTCTTATGTGGTAAATAGAAGACTTCTGCTTGGCTGTACACCACTTCCAGCCCCAATATCTCCCCCTTGGGACGTGCGAGGGACTCAAGAGTGCACTTACAGTTCTCGTAGGTCAGTCAACTCCTGGAATGCACGCGGATGGATGCTGCTGATACGGTTGCTGTGGAGGCTCCTTAAGTGTTTCCATTGCAGCGCGTGTGGAAAATCAACAAAACATCACACACATATCATTTTCCTGCGGGGCGCAAAGGGATGGGGGAAAATGAAGGGAGAATCAGCTATAATGAGAGAGCATCTGTGGATGTCGAACGGTTATTGCTGTCGACACTTTGAGCCAGCAAATTGCTTCTGCATCGCCTTTTATTGTTTTTTAATCGATACATGGCGCAAAAATTGTGCTCTCTCTGGCATGCAATCTCAGTGTGTGTATTGCAAAATGTTTTCCACCCTGAGAAAGACGGTGGGCGACTTTGGGGTGGGTGTGAGAAAGCGATGTGGCATGTGAATGTGACAGAGAGAGAGAGAGAGAAGTGTACACACAATATTTAGCACAAATGACTGAACAGCATTGCGATGTTCTGTGGGGGCGAATTGAGGAGGAAGCTGAATGTTTGCAGACGAAGATTATTTGGTGAAATATAAACACGGCACTTGTTCAATTGAAAAAGATGCCACCGCAGAGTGTCTGCGTGGGGATTTCCATTTGTGCCGATTGCTGGGAATGGAATTGATTGGGAAGCGCGCCAAAGTAGGTCATCGGAGGAAAAGAAAGCTTGTCCATGATGGAACACCCCAATTCGTGTGTGCGATCGTATTTCGGATGCGTGAGACTCTCTCTCACTGGGGTGTGGGTCTAATTTAGTTACAACATCCCCATCAGTGGTGATTGTCTTGCCAGCTCATCACGGAGAGCGCCCAAGTGAGGACAATCTTCACTCAATTGTCTCCGGAATGAGCCACTTGAGGATGTGTCGGAGGAAGTGGAGCGAAGTTTGCCACTCGCGCGCCTTATTAAATTTCACGGAAATCACCACAAAGTTGTAAATAGCAAACAAAGTGTGGCAGTTAATGAAAATTCACGCTCATGTGAGGGATTTTCCGGTGCGCTTGGGTTCATTGAGCTCTTCATGGGGGGCGAAAATTAGACATTTTGTACAATAATTTCCTGGCAGAAGCTTTCAAAGAGCGTCATAAATATCACCGTGCAACAGTTGCGCTCTTTTGCACTCTCAGTTGAGAGCTTCAATAAATCGATGCCACTTTGCAGCCCTGCAGCGATGAGTCAAAGAACTCGTCGTCACAAACAGCTTCGCTGGTGACTTCATCTCGAGAGATTGAACTAATTTATTTTAGAGAAATATGTCTGCGGATCGGAATCTAGGGCAAGGATGAATCATTGCGCTCTGGCACACACACACTTACAGGAGGTGCAGACGACCCAAGCCTGCGAAGAGGTCCTCGTCAATCATCTCAATCACATTGCTGTCCAGGATCAGCTCGTAAATGCTGTGCAATTTGGGGAACTTGTCATTGGCCAGACTCAGTCTGTTGTCAGACAAATCCAGCAACTTCAGCGACTGCAAGTCTCTCAGTTCGGCGAGAGGGAAGCTCGTGAGTTGGTTGGAGCGCAGCAGAAGCCACTCGAGCTTCCTCAAGTCGGCGAATGTTCCCGGCGTGATTTCCTCAATGTCATTGTTGCTCAAATACCTAAAAAAAACACCCAGGAATGTGAGCAACAAGGAGGAGAGAAGATTCAAAGCAAGCAATTTGCGTGTGAAATTCCTTACAATTTCGTGAGATTCCGCTGGCCTTTGAAGGTGTCCTTTGGAATGCTTGATATGTTGTTGAATTTTAGGTCTCTGGAATAATTTTCCCCAGTTTAATTAACTTTTTCCCTCATTCAAAGAGCCTTTAAAGCTTACATATATTCAAGACTGAGGCCGATGAAGGACAATTCTGAGAGTTTGATGGTGTTGTTGACCAAGTAGAGTCGCTTCAGCTGCAAAATAGGTGGAATATTTGATCAAAAAAGTGAAAAAAGTATTTTCTTTCGCATTTTCCACCTTATTGGAATGGATTTCTGGCACTGTGGAGAGTCTGCGGTCGTTGCAGAAGAACATCGACGAGTAGAAGCAGCGACAGCGCGCCTGATTCGCCACATGCTGGAGCGTTTGCTCTGCCAAAACGACAAATTTCACCCATTAATAACCGCGCAAGGAGGCAAAAGGAGTGGATCTTAAATGAGAATTTATGAAATCTCACCGCAAGTTCGGTTGTTGGTCTCGAGAACGGTGCCGTTCTTGTTGCGCACCTTCTGCATTAATTCCTGGACGACAAGCGTGCTGCCATAAAACATACCTAATGTTGTGTGTGGGAGAGGAAAGACAGTCTTGGGTCTAATAAGGATATAAATTCTCGCGCTGAGTGGCAGCCAAAAATAAACGGACTATTGACTCACCGCACATGACCGGATCCTCGTCCTCGGCGTCCTGGCAGTCGCTGTGATTGTCGCAAATGTTGCGCTGCGGGACGCACGCGGTGCCGTTGTCGCATGCAAAGGTGCCCCTGGGACAGGGTCCTGAGGCGAAAACACACCGAGTTAGGCGCACATTTCCACTGTTATCGCACGCATCGTGCCAATAAAAATGTGATGAGATGTGTAAATAAAGTGTCTTGAGAAAATTGGCCGAAATGGCTTCACTAAAGGATACAAAACAACTTATAAATGCGACACGAAGTGACATCGGAATTGGTAAATGGACACGTTTGGCCCATCAAAGAGGCAAGAAACAGTCCTAATTCGCCAGCCTTTTTTCACCCCCGCCCCAAAAAAACCCACCCTCGTTTATTAACCTCTTCACACCCCATTCAAGGGGGCGATAATATTCATATAATTTGTACACCCTTTCCTATCGCTAAAAACTGAAAATTTCTTTATTATTTCGGTACTTGGAGATATAATTTATTTAAAATATTCACATAACTTAGAAAAACATTGTAAAGAAGTATTTTTAAGACATATTGCAAATAAATTTGTTCCAGGAATTAAAGTAAAGTTTATAAGTAGGAAAAAACACTTTGTACACCACAATTTCTCCGCCTTGCACCCACCAAAATACTTCCTTCCCTTGTTTTCTCAGGACGCGCTCCTTGTCGCTTTGTGATGTGCCTTTTGCTGTTGCCAAATGATACACATTTAGACAATTTCATGGTCGTTTGAGAGGGAAGTAAAATTTCGCGAGCAGATGTGCTGGATTTCACACTTTCTTATCTCCCCTTCGGCGTCCCCATTGGAGTCCTTCATGCCCCATGATCACACGCAATTCCGGGGGGTGGTTGGGAGTAATCGACCAGAGGGATTTGGGCTCATCCAGGCGAGCTCGAGTGTGTCGGCATTTCTCTAAAGCTTTTAAATGGCCGAGTCTGAAGGAATTTATGAATTTATGGCGCGCCCATGATTAGATTCCCGATGTAAAAAGCTCCACTCTGGCAAAAGCTCTCTCGCTAGAGAAGTTATCATTGGCCATCGTGAGGTTAACAACTTTCGCCCCACAAAACAGACAAATGACGGGTCGCATATTGACCGAAATGGCACAAAAAGTCGCCTGTTCGTGAGATTAGGGCTAAAATGCAAAACGATAAACTGGCCTAGACTTTCGGCACACACAGCGTGGAAATCCTCGGCAATCTCGAGAATGGTCGTGCTAAAAAAGAGGACCTAATATTAGCCTCATGGCCAGTAAAAAGCTGCGCTCCGACTCAATATATAAACAGTGGCGAGCAAATGAAAATAAATCTGAAATCGTCGCACAGCTGAATATCAATTGCTGGACACGTGGAAAATCAAGGGAAAATCCCTCTTTGGGGCCTTTATTGATTGTATGAAATATTGCCAATAGGCCAACATATTTTCATGCTCATAAAGCTTGTCTCGATGCTTCTTCACGTGCTTTCCCAGAGCAACTTTTTCGCCACATGAAATCTTTGGGGGTTGAATTTACGGGAGAAATCTCAAGGGAATTAATTAAAGCTGCTCCAGCGCTTTGGGCAGAGAGAAAGAGAGTCTGTCTTTGGTTGTCGTGCAAGAGTGCAATCATTTGTAGATTAGAGATTACAGGCGGGATAATTGTCTCAAGGACTCTCATGATGGATTAGGAGGGTTGTAATTGATTTAATTTTAGAGTTTTGCCCTCAAACAACACGCCAAGTGACTTTAGATGGGTCAGACTTGATGATTTATCGCGTCAATGAGTATTCATTGCACTGAGTGAAGTATATTTAGAGAGTGATGATAAATTTGCTCGGGAGTTGCATGAAAAAGGACGATCATTCATGCTTAAATTCCGTCAACAATTAGTGATAAACATTCGCCAGATTGATGAGGAAATGTAGGTCAAATAGGTGGTGAAAACTACCCGTAATCAAACGGTCAAATTGCCAAAAACTTCTTAACTATCATATGACTTTTAGTAACTTTTACTCTCTGAATTGAAATAGATCATAAAATTATGTCAATTAATTTGAAACTACAACTTATTTATTGAATAATCTCAACTACCCTTAAATATTCTCATTTTTTTCCCTTAGAAAAGCCCCTTCGAACTTGTTCTCGTCTTTTCCTGAGCTTTACTCGGTCTTAAGTAGAGCAAAGAGCGCAAAGCTCTCTTGGGCTGGAGTGTGAGTTGGCTGGAGAACAAGAGAAAACTGTGACTTTTCCCGCAAATTTCCACCTTCTCCACCCACTTCTGTGGGCTGGAGTGTCTTGTGTCAGCCACACGCAGAGCGACACGATGTCATTCAATTATGTTTACACCCGGCATTTCATTGACTCTCCGCCGGCGGGTGGATCTCTGTGGCCCTCCAAACGATGGCATTTTGATGTGTGTCGCCCAGGGTTTGGGGCGTCCCTTCCGGCCCCACGGATTCTCTTCGTCATACATTTCCGCACGATAAAATTCACGCCATCACTCACGCATTGAGAGGGAATTTTTGGGGCGCGCGGAATCACACTCGAGATGGCGAAAGAGAGCGCGCGTCTTAATTGACAATTAATTGCAGTGTTTCCGCAGAAATGACACACATTGTGGCGAATTATATTTCCCGGAAAATTTATAGCGTCGCGGGAGGCGCGCAGAGATCATTTTTCACTTCCGCCCACAACATTTTTGGCGCGCGAATTATCTCTCTGCAGGTAATATTGTTACGCAGGAAGTCAATTTATTCTTCTGCCCCATTTATTAGCCAAAACAATTGTGAAAATTCTCCCTCGCATTATCTCGTCATTTCTTCTGGGTGGTGAAACAGTCCTCGAGGCCTTGTTGGCCCCACAAAACAAATCTGCTTGAGGGTAATTTGTTGGTGAGGGAAAGTTTGAAAAGTCTTGCAGATAAATGACTGCAATTTGCGCCTAAAAATACCACCACATTCACCACTTGGCAGCCCTTCGCATTTCACCACCCCCCGCGTGCAGAATATCATATGCTTGCGACACACATAAAATTTTGATAAAGAAAATTATTTATGTAGCAATTTGTGAAAGAGAAGCTCAAGCAGCGCCGGAAATTTGCACCATGTAACACCAAACTTTTCCCCTTTTTGCGAGCTCATCTGATAATTTTCTCCTGATAATGTGTGCGCGAAAAGTCCCACAAGTGCTGACAGAGCTTTCGTCGGCGTGAAAGAAGCCACAGTCGCGTGAAAATTGCCAAATGAATTGAAATTAGTTTGCGTTGGCAATAATATTAACGAACGCAATTCGCGCATACAAGGGTCGAAGCTCTGCAAATTGCCCATCTTAGTTCCATGGGGGAAATATTACTGCCAGAAGTGGCTTTACAGCTCTGTGAATGTCTTAAGAAATGCAAGTGAATTTGTGCTTAACAAAAGCTTCTTTCTCTACAAAGTGACTTAAATTCGACATTATGACAACAAGAAACTGTTAAACGGGTCAAAAAGTTAAGAAAAAGAGTCATTTTTGAACACTTCTTGTCATTGCTACAATTTCTTAGGGTTTAAAGTGCTTATAACATGCGTTTTCCTCGTTTCTTCTCCTCTTTTGAAACTTTATAGATTTTTCCAAGCCGCCTAATGTCTCATAACCTCAAATTTGGGAGTGTTTGTCTTAAAAAAGACGCTATTTTCATTTTTAAACCCCCGAAAAAACATACAAAGAAATAGTATTAAAGAAATATTTGAAGTTTCCAGCGGATTTTTTGATGTGATTAAATTTTCAATCACTATTTGGATCATAACCTAAAAATCATCTTGAAATATTTTTATAACAATCCTTGAGAGAAACTTTTTCGGAATCTTTTAAAGGCAATTTTGCTATTTTAGAGTAGAAAATCAATCAAACAACTCTTAAAATAGACAATTTTGTATCCTGATACAATATTTTAGAGTTTATGATCAATTTGGGAAAAGCAATTGGAGCTTTTCCACTTCTGACCATAATATCTCCTCCTTGTTTCGTCGCATTATTCATGAAGTGCGCCAGATTCTGCATGCAAATTTGTACAGATTTTGGGCATAATTATCTCTCCCTTGTGAATTTCTCAAGTTGAGTGGCTTTTCCTGTTGGCCAAATGATGTCTAATTCATCCTCTCGAGTCAAGTTGTGAGCTTTCGAGGGCGGATGAGTGAAAAATTTAGACAAAAACCCTCGGCAAACAGAGTCATCAATATAGTGTGTGTGCAAAAACGACTCAACTCCAATCACGAAGTCGATAAATCTTCTGGCTCTTGCCGCCTCAATTGTTCTGGTTGGTTGACCTCAGCAGACATCCCATGAATTTCTATCTCTTCTAATTGGTGTGCCTCGCAGGAGGAAGAATGGCTACAGTGATGCAAATGTATCTCAACACACCCTTAATAACTCACTCCTGCCTTCGCCATTTATCCCAAAGGCTCTGGCGGCAAAGGAGTCAAAGGGATGAAAGCTCTGGGTGTTCAAGTGAATTTGCAACACTGTCTTCAACTCTTCCACATTTTAATGGCACCTCATAAAAGGCAAATAATAAGATGATGAATAATTCCACCACACAAAACAACCTTTCTCTCTGTGGTCTCATGATCGATTCTCTTAAAGCTCTGCACACATTCATCACCAACTCCCCGAAATCCCTTTTTTCTTCTCCAAAAAGGTCCCGAGAAAGTGTCGTGAAAGGAAAAGTTTCACCCCACGCCGCCGCCTTCTGAAGAAACTTGGCCAAGAGGCACAGAGAATCTTCTTAATTCAATAGAATGTTGCACATCATTGTAAATCACTCGGTGCGATGGAAAAATCATCAAGTGAGACCCAATAAATTTCCCACGGGCACGAGAATCATCACAGCTGAGTGGAGTTCTTGAGGGGAAACGCGTGGAAAATGATAAATTGGCAGCTTCGCATTGAAAATGGCCCGAAGGAGGAGAAGAAAAAAGTGCTGATGATTTTAACGGCTTCGATGCCTTTTCCTCTAATATCCAGCTGCCCTTCGCCGAATCTTATTTTCCGCCAGATACCAAACTGTCCCAAGGGAGAGATAATGTGGCTGAAATATGTACATCACTGCTAAATTTACTTGCAGAGTCCTTAAGAGTCGTTTTCTTGTATATAACTTTATTTATATAATTGAGAAGTTCAAGAGTGCTGTTTAGAGTGGAAAATAAGGCAAAAATCTTTAGTTAGAGGCAATCTTTAGATCTAAAATGACATTCTTCTCGACGTTACGATCAAATTTAGTGCTGTTTTATACTACAATAATCGCGATCTTCATCGAAAGGAAGCGATTTCGGCATAAGAATTAATATTTGTGATGCTATTCTGTGTCTCAATTTGTAATAAATCCGTCATAGAATCAAGAAAAGTGTCGTCAAATCACACAACTAAAGCTAATCATGATTATTCTGATGACTAAAATAATTTACATGTAAAATTCGACGGATAAAGCATAGTTTGTGCGCCTTGGGAAATCCTTTTGCCCAGGGATTGGAATGCGTGTTTTGTGTGCTTTTGCCTTCCGCACCATCGGAAACCGGAAACTTTAACCGAAGAAGGCATCAAACAGCATTTTCTATTCATTCGTCACACTTTCCTGGAGACGAACGAGAGATTGAGGATGCGGCGTGAACTCGGGCGACCTCCGCCTCATGAATCAGCATACGCTCGGGCCGACGGACATAAAAGTCCCCTGGCTGGGTTTATTAGAAGACAGAGGGATTCATATCGGACGTCCTGGCAATGCGAGGGCGGCCATCGGCACTCCGCATCCTCCGGCTCAATTTATTCTGGTGATGTATCATGAAAATCATAGGCGATAACACTTTCAGCGCCCCGAGATGCCCAGCGGGCGGCAAGCAGGGGGTGAATTCGATTCGAATTGATACTGCTTTTCCTTTATTTCCCATGAATTTCCTCCGTTGGCATGAATGGGAGCTGCTAGGTGTTGCAGACTGGCGAAATTTCACGGGGAAAAATTGCATCGCATGCGAAACAAGGGGGAGATAATGCCACTGAAATGTGTACAGAATTTTTGGGAGTGCATAAAAAGGCTTCTAACACTTATTCTGACATTTTTCGGAAGGATTTCTCTAAATAGTCTGCGTCACAACTAAATAACGACCGGCAAAACTGGTTAGTTTTCGGTTAGAATTCGGTAATAAACCTAAAATTTGATCAATTTTATTACAAAAAGGATTGTAAAGCTTTTAAAATAAAGCTTCATTGCCAGTAAATTGTAAACTGGCGGTTATTTGGTAATAATATCTGCCCCTTGATGCGAAAAAAGCCAATGGCAGAGGCGGTGAAAAGTTGAACTTTCACTCCTTTGGCTGGCGAGCTTTTTCTAATCTCCCCAGAGTCCTGAATAAATTTACACACACGCTGACTTTCATGAGCTTCTGTCTCGGATTGCCTGTGAATTATGCATACGGCGTGGAATCATTACAATTTGTCCACTGGGGTGGAAAGGGGCGCCGGAGATCAGTGCACAAGGCTATAATTTGCAGGGAATCATTGCCACCCGGAGAAAAGCCCGGGCGAAAGCTCTCCCGAGGAAAAGCACAAACATATATGAAATGCGGAAATGATGTAGTGAAGCAAACGAGCATTTTGTCTGCGTATAAGACACACGACGTGATGAGATTTCCACCCCCATCGCAATCCATATTCTGGCCTCTTTCGTGCCGTTTTCCCATGAAAGTAAAAATTTCATTTTTCCTCCAATCCCACCCCCCACTTTTGCGCCCCAGACGGGGATTTCCTGGGGCGCGTGCGGAGGCGGCGAAAGAGGATACATCCGATGCCAATTTCAATGCGGGAAGGGTGGAAATATTTAAATCAGTAATATTGTTTGTCTCTTGGCATTTTTCACACGTCTAAAAGGGTGTGACACGGAAAAACACCCCCAGTCGAGAATTCAATTTGTCTCAAAGCGGTCGGAAAAAAGCCGCATCTTGAGCGGCGTCTCGACGCTCGAGGGATACCAGTGACCAATTACACGGTGGAACACAGATGGAATTATAAAAACTACTGCCAACTTTCCACCCACGCAGCGTTTTGATACATTCTCTTGTGCTCGCTTGCGACGAGATTCCAGCACGTGAGGATCATAGATAAGATGAAGGAATTTTTATTGTCATATTCAGTGTGTGATTGTCTACAATTGGGAATGAAGAATCTTGAAAAAAAAGGCAGCCTAGAAACTGAAAAAAGTGTCGAGATGACAGTAAAGTTATGAAAACAAATGAGAAAAACATACAATCGTGTGCATAAACATGAAAACACTCTCATTTCGGAGACTTTCTTTGGTTACTTGCTTAGTGCGTTATCACATTTGCCTTGAAGTTATCGACAATTGCCGAGACTTATCGATGTGAGCAATTTTATGGGAAAAATAGTTAAATTCAACATTTTAAGGACTTTAATCAGTCCTTTTTTGCCCATAAAACTGCGCTAAAAAAGGAAAATGCACCTAATTTATATCGATAAGTGTCGGTAAGTGTCGATCGTGTCGATAACTTCTATCATTTTAGCGTGAAAAATAGTTAAATCGACATTTTAGGGACTTTTATCAGACCAAATCACGTCTATTTTTCCCTAAAATTGTGGTAAAATAAAAGAAATTCCAGGAAATTCGTGTCGATAAGTGTCAATAACTTACCGACACTTCATCTTAGTGGGATAATTCCCTGATGCACAGAATTATTCTTCAATATTTCAAATTCTGTGTTGAAATAAGAAAATATCATTGTGAAAATGAAGCAAGATTTAATAATAATTCTTCAAAAACATCCGAAAAACATAATTTTCTTGCAAACGATGCACAATTGTAATGCAAGAGGTCAAAAGGAGCATCAGACACATTTTAAATAAACCATGGAATCTTCATTGTGTTTCTCGTGCTGGAAATTCTCCGAATTCCTGCCCGAGAATGACTGCTCGTCCACCAGCCGCAATGGAACGAGGGCTGAAGTCTGGATGTGGAATTTTCTCAAGATGTGCGGTCACACGGAGGCTGCCGAAGCACCCAAACTAATCTGTGTTTATTTAATAGAGGCTCGGATATTGAGGTGATGACCCAAATCCCCGGCATCATCTCGGCATTCAAATAGTTTCCATTCTCTCCACGCTCGCACGCCAGAAGGCGAGAGTCCTTGGGTGGTCCTTCGGAGGACGGGGGGCAGATGCCAATTAATGGGGCATTCTTCTTGCTCACCGACACTCGGCGACGGAATGTGCAGCCGAGGACACGCCAGACGACACAGTCTTTCCACAGGAGTCATTAAGACTCATCACTGATTGTATTGTTTTCCATTGCTTATTGCGCTGAAGGGAATTCATTCAATTAAGCGGACGCTTTCAGAGTACTTTGTGAGCGCTTTTGCGCCAGTTGGAAATTCCTCAAGACAAATTTCATCTTGAAGAACCACGCGGATTAGCGCGGCTTTTTACGAGTCTTTGCGTCTATATTTGTGCCCGCCACTGTTGAATTAAGTGTCTTTATGAGTTGGAAAACCACGGAGGATTTGCCAGAGTGTCTCTGGGCTCATCATTTGTGCGGGGATTTCGAAGGTGGGATCTTGTCGATTGCTCCAGTGGAAAAGGGTTTCACCGCACGACTTGAGCGGCGAGATAAATCAATTAAAGTGCAGAAGTGTCGAGTGGGAGTTTCGACTTCACAACAAAACACTTTCTCGGCAGAATGTATTAAATCCCAGTGATGAAAAGTCATGCGGGAAAGAGTGATTTATCTCTGCAGACTCATGATGTCATTTTCAATTTTCTCCACTCTTTACACGCAATTTATTCGCGCCATTCAATGCATTCGCTCTCGAAGGTATATATATCCCTAAAATTGCCATATCTCTTCACTCGCGAAGCACTCCGCGAAGCCTCTCGCGGGACATGATAAGGACGTTGCGAAGGAAGGGGTGTTAATGTACATTTGAAATTAAAGTTTATGCTGGTGCGGCATAAGGAGCACCAACCGTGATTATCTCTTCCTTCAGCGCATCTTGCGCCACATTAAATATGTGGGATAAGAGATGCTGGAGCATAAAAATTTTTCGGTGTGACAAGAAAAATGAAAAATTTTACGACGGCTCGTGGCGAGGCGCGCGCGAATGGGCGAAAACCACCCTCGAGAGAGCTCAATTACATGAATGGGAATTTGAGTGCAGAGACAACACTTGCAGTATCGCGACAGAGGACAGTAAAGTTTATCTCAATAGTCAGAATAGCGCGGTTAACCCTTTCACGACCCCCAGAAAGTCACGAGCATCGCTTGAGTGTCAATTGAAAGTGCAGATTTACGGTTTTCTAAGAGTTTTCCATTCTGCATAAAATTCTCTAGAGACTCAAATGTGACTTAAAATGTCGTGAAAGGTGAAGAAAATCAGCAATTTCGTAGGAATTTTCTGCTCAGGAAATTCATTTTCTTGTTCTCATTCTGTCTTGAAAAACATTTCTGAGAAAAATTTATATGTGAAGAACTATTCTTAAGGGATTAAAGAAGAAGCTTTTGGCTTCAGTTTATCTAGTTGAACTGCTGTTTTAAGGAACTCAAACTTATTTTTCCGCATCAAATCTTTCCATTCATCACTAATTAAGGGTCAGTTTAGTCAGAATTTCATTGAAAATTAAAATTTTGTCATAAACGGTGACAAAGGGAAGAAACAATAATATTTTATGACTTTTTCTTGAGACAACAGATTTAATACTGATAAAATTAAACGCATTTAAGTAATATTTCTCAACTCTGTGGCAAATAATAAGTCTTAAAGGATTTATAAATGAGCTTATCTGGTATAATTATCCTCTATTTTCACGTCCTGATGCGATTTTGGCCAAAATCATGATAAGATATCCAAAAGTGCCGCCAGAAATCATCAAAATGGCTCAATTTTGACTGCTTTCTGAACGCCGGAAGTCATTTCATATTTTATTTTAATGCTTCTCCCCATCGAGAGGGGCTCGTGAAGGGGTTGACACTCACCCAGACTGAGGTAGAACGTGACGGTGGAGAGCAGGATCAGCAGGATGATGAGCACGCCGCCGACGACGATGCTGCGCCGGAAGGACATGCTGAAGAGCGAAGGTGGATTTGGAGTCCTAAATCATGTCCTCGCACTCAAATCCACACCATTATTCACCCAGAGTCACTGTCACCGCTCAGCATTCTGCGGAAGTCGCACTCACGCACGAAAGTGTGCGGCGAGAAGGGGTTTAAAATTTAAACAGTGATTAAAGCTTTGAAATTTTGCAGCAAATCTGCGATGTTCATCGCATCTTCAGCGCGAAGAATGCCTCGGAGGGATAAAAACCGCAGAATGATGTGAAAAAATGAGAGTGATTTTTCATTCACACAATCTCTTATCACTACACGTGCTTCAATCACTGAATGCCACTGCCGAAAAAAAGTAGTTCAGACGGGTAATATTTCGGTGGAATTTTCATAAGCTATGCGGGCTTTTCCACGCCAAAAATTCACCCGTGTGCGAGAAGGACGAGGGAAATGTGCAGAGTGCGAGATAGAATTTCATCACACGCTTATCAAGACTTTGCGCGTAGTTCAGCTCCGTCGACCAGCACCAAACTGAATGCGTGGATGCGATTTCGTCGTTCTTTATAGCGCTCTGCCAAACCACCCCCAGCTGAGGGCGGCCAGCCAACTTGCCTCCCTCCGGAGGCGAAAGAGTGAAAGTTGCCGCTTCTCTTCGTCACCATTCGCCGCCTTCAGCGGCACTCGCAGCAACTTGTGCTCTGCCAAGGCGGCAAAATCTAACATTTCTGGACGCAAAAGAGGACATTTTGCAGTTCTGCAAGCAGGAAATTATTAATATCTCGTGAATTATTCTGTCATTCTCATATTTATCGACATTTTTAATAGTGTAATAAAGTTTGCAGTCGAAATTTATGTAAAATTCACTTAGAAACGCGGTTTTTGGGAATCTTTTCCACACATAACCTCAAAAATAACACGCAAGAAAGTTTGAAATTTCTTTTAAAGAAGAGAATGAAAGAAACTGAACAATTTAATACAATAAAAGACAGCCAAAATTATGAAAAAATGAACTTTGCTGTGTCTTCAGATTGTTCAAAATTGCAATGATTGCAATTATCAGTGCAAATTCTAAACTCTACCAACAGAAAAATTAGCAATTTAGTAACTAAACCTCTTTTTAATTACTCACATAACCTTAAAAAGTATAAGCATTAAATTTCTAAGGAAGATTTTGTACATATTTTCCACTGCCAAATACTTTTCACTGAGTTTTACACAATTTCTCTGTCTTTTCCTTCCACGCGATGATACAAGAATTTGCGTCGTAACGACTTTCACTCTCCGTGGGCTTTTTGCTGCCCATTTTTCGTCTCATTATCAAACTCTATTCGCTCTGACGGCAGGAAATGACGGTGAGTTGTGCGGAAAGATGTCGAGGAAAAGGACACTCGTGGGGCTCATTTGCATTCACAAATAACAATTTTTGTCACTTCAGGTCGAGTGAATATCACCGGTTAATTCTGCATTATTGTCACGAGGGTGCTTTTTATCTTGCATAGCAAATTCCAGGGGGTTAATTAATCTCTACGATGATAAAATCGCTATGAAAGTGAGTGAAAAGCGCGGGAAAAGCATTTTTTCGCACTGCACAGAGATCTTTGTCTGTGATTATCTAATTAAATTTGAGAGAAAGTCAAGAAAAAATGGGTTTTTTGAACCGTTTTGAATCTTTTAAATGCTCTGAAACCCTTGAAACATTTAAAAGGCAACATTTCATGAAACATTGCTGGGCTTTAAATTTCGTGAAACATTCGGTGTTTGATGTTTGCGATCAGCTGTTTGGTTGAGTGACAGTTTTTCCCCTCGCGACGCTGCACATTTTCTCAGTTTTTCACTCTGAACACTTGCTCAAGATGCCCGGGAAGGTGAAGGTGAAGGTGCTGGCGGGGCGCAATCTGCCCGTGATGGACAGGAGCAGCGACACGACGGACGCATTCGTGGAGCTGAAGCTGGGCGGCATCACGCACAAGACGGACGTGTGCCGGAAGAGCCTGAATCCGCAGTGGAACTCGGACTGGTACAGATTCGAGATGGACGATGCGGAGCTGCAGGACGAGCCGCTGCAGATCCGCCTGATGGACTACGACACGTACTCGGCCAACGACGCCATCGGCAAAGTGCACATCTGCCTCAATCCGCTGCTCATTCCCAGCGCCGCCATCGATCCGTCCGGACAGTCGGCGGGCCACGGCAAGGGCTCCATCATGTCCGGCTGGTTCCCGGTGTTCGACACCATGCACGGCATCCGCGGCGAGGTGAACCTCATGGTGAAGGTGGATCTGTTCTCGGACGTCAACAAGTTCCGCCAGAGCTCGTGCGGCGTGCAGTTCTTCCACTCGCCCAACATCCCGCACGGCTACCACGCGCCGGCCATCCACGGCTTCGTGGAGGAGCTGGTGGTCAACGACGATCCCGAGTACCAGTGGATCGACAAGATCCGCACGCCCAGGGCGTCCAATGAGGCGCGACAAGTCGTCTTCCTCAAGCTTTCCGGCGAGGTGAGAAATTTCCACATCTCTCTCTCTCTTCAGTGTCTCTGACGGGAATTCCCGCCTTTCCAGGTGCAGCGGAAGATTGGGCTGAAGGCGCTGGACATGGGCGCGAATGCAGTGATTGGCTACAAGCTGTGCCTGGATCTGGAGGGCGATGTTGGCGTCGTGGCGCGCGGAATTGGCACTGCTGTGACGCTGATCAAGATTCCGGACGCGCCGCCTCAGCAAGTCGCCGACTCGGCGCTGATTGAAGAGTGAGTTGACCTTCTCTCCCGGTCAGATCTGGCCACAAAATATCTCTCTTTCTCCAGCTCAGAGGATGGGAATAATTCAACAGTTTCTCTGTTCTTCCTCCCGACTAATCTCTGGCTCTTGCTAATCCTCTTGATTTGCCCACACATTCTTGTGCTTCACACACTGTCACACAATGTCGCAGACGAACACTGAAATACCTGGAGTTTCTCACTTGCACTCCCTCTCCGAGGCCCTTCAAGGATCCCTTCAGCTTCGACGCGCCTCGGGAGATCGACGAGTGCCTCCTGGAGCGCCTCACGCAGGAGGATCTGCGCGGCACGGCGCCCGGGCGCTTCGCGAAGAAGCTAAAGAACATCCACAACTCGCGAAATGCCCTCAGTCGGCGACTCCTGGCCAAGGCGCCAGAGTTTGGCTTCACCAGCGCGCCCAAGAGCACCGTGAGTGGGCCGCGGATCGAGATCGAGGGCCCGAAGAGGCGCCGGAAGCAATTTCAGCGCTCTTCGAGCGAGGGTGCCGGCATGACGTCTCTCCTCGTGGCGTCGCTCATGTCGAGTCAGACGATGGGCTTGGACAGGATCTCCGAGTCGCACGACCGCAAGAGTCAGTCCATCGACACGCTGTGCATGTCGCAGTCCTCCAAGACGAGCCTCTTCCCAAGCCTGGAGTCTGATTCCCTGAGTTCCGACGACGAGGCGTCCGACAGCACCCCGGAGAGAGCCGAAGTGTGCTTCGACGCCGACACCGTGAGCATGGTGATGCGGAGTGTGCACGAGAAGGGCGACGAGACGTGGATTGAGCCCAGGATTCCGCATCCGGACGAGGATATCAAAGTGGGAAGTTCGAGGATCGTTCGAAGCGTCGCCACGCATCAGAACGAGACGATTCTCATTGAGTCTGGCAGGATTTCGCGTGAGGAAACTCTGCATGAGATCATGAAGACGTGCTCAGAGAATCTGGAGACGCGGGATGATGTTTCCTGGATAAAACCCGGCTCAACTCTGGAGGAACCAGAAATTTCTACACGCGAAAAAACTCCGACAAACTTCCTGAACGCCTTACGTGGCTTCAGGATCTTCAAGCCGAGGGAGAAGCGCTCCAGGCGGAGTCTGAAGAGCATCCTGAAGGAGAAGTTGGGAATGACGAGGAAGCCCAGAGTGATTATCCAGGAGTTCACACCGCCCAGGCAGCGAGCTGAAGCGAAGGAATCGACGAAGGAAGCCTCGAGGGGAGTGCCTTTCATGTCATTGATAGAGCTGGCGGACAAGGATGACCTCAATTCTGCACAGAGTGTCGTCCCTGATCGCCACAATTCACTCCCTGTCACGCTGACTAGTGCGTCTGTAGAGCAGCCTTCCATGGCGTCTAACAAGCACTCGAATTTGTCTCACACTAACCAGATGTTGCTTGCACCTTCTCCTCTTTCTCCCGTTGTCAGGCACGAAGCTAACTCGTCCGGGAGCGGCGCGCCGGCCAGTCCGGGCGCCAAGGCGACCGGCCACACGCGCGCCGAGTCCACGGGCTCCAGGATCACACAGAGTCCGGCCAAGAGCGGCGCCTCAGTCGTTCCCGCCAAGGATTCCGGCATCTATCGGCGCTCCTCCGACTCAGATCTCAGCGTCACGCCCAAAGGTGAGTCCCAGAGTCCTGATTAAACACACCAGAATCTCCCTCTGTCCTCCCCAAGGATCCTCTCTGGTGAGGAGAAGTGATTGTCCAGCTGTGTTGCGTCCTTTTCGTGGTGAAAAATGCATTTTTAGCGTGTAAAGAAAGTGTGGAAAAATATGGTAAAAATCTATGCAACGGACAAAGACGTGATTGGATAGAATTTATGTGCTCTAGAGAGTTGTAGGCCATTATATGACCTTTTCAAAGCCGTGCTACTTTTTGAATCTGAACAAGAACTTTAGGATTTTTTTTTTAAAGTAAAGTGGTAGAAATTGTAGAGATTTTGCTAATTTCGCACTTTAAATTGCCAATTCGTGAAGAAATGCATTTTTTACCACGTAAAAAAGTGGCGCAAAGGTTAACAATGTTAATAATCCGTCCAACACTGTTGTCCAGGAGTTGATTGGCATTTGAGAGTCCAAAATTGTTGTTGAGTATTTTCTCTTCTGATCCTCTTGAAAAAATGATTCTTCACTCACTTAATGACTTTATTTGATATCATTTTATCTGTGGAAACGCATGTTAAGGGCAGTTTTAGGCAGAAAAAGTGAGTACTTTGCTGGTTAAATGGAAGCGCGTGCTGAAGGACGATCGCAGGATTGTTTTTTAGTGTCTCTCTCTCTGGAACTGTAGATGTTTTGCTTGGATCTTTCTTCTCTATCACGATCTTTTCTCAAAAAACTCTCTTCTTGAGTGTGAAAAAAAATGTGTGTTGATGTTTGATTGATCACGCAACATGAGATCATGTTGTCAGAGTCTTCAGAACCTCCTTCTGTTCCCCTCCACTCTCGCATGACCTGCAAATTGAAGGGATGTTCAGGATGTTTGTCTGGATTGGAGATGCGAAGCGAACTGAAGAGAGCGTAAAAGACATCAATTAAAAGGTCAAAAATTGAACGTCGCTCTGAATCTCTTCGGTTCGGATCTCTAATCTGGATTCTCTCTCTTCCTCGCCAATGTTTGCTGATGATGTTTGGCGGATTGTTTGCCGCAGGGAATTCACTGACGTCGTGCGAGAGAGGAACGCCGGCCATCACGAGAGTCGTGGGCGCGACGATGAAGAGCGCCAATGCGGACAATCTGGACATGCTGGAGTATCCCTTCCTCACGCTGGACAAATACCCGCCGGGCTTCATCATCCACCTGGGCTCGGCTGTGTGCTCGCGCTCCGTGAAGCTGCTGGAGCGCGTGCCGAATCCCGACGAGCCGGAGACGCGCGACAGCTGGTGGACGGAGCTGCGCATGGAGATCCGCTCGCACGCGCGCGCGCTGGGCTGCAACGTGGTGCTGGGCTACTCGGAGACCACCACCATCACTGAGGACGTGTGCGTGTTGTCCGCCACGGGCACGGCGGCGCTCATCAACTTCCCGTACGCCGGCGAGCAGCCGGTGCGGATGACGTCGTCGCTGGACCGCGTGGAGTTCGAGAAGGACGTGAAGGAGGGCATCAAGGAGCTGAAGATCGCCAGCACGGCGGCCAAGATTATCGAGGGTGTGGCGTCGAAGCCGATTGAGGAGGTTCCCGAGGGCGGAAGTGACAAGGACACGTCGGGAAACTGCCAACCGTCGCCGACGCTGGCGTGTTCGCTTCTGCACTTGCCGTACGCCGCGAATTCCGTGCCGTTCAACGTGTCGCTGGACAATTGTGCTCTCTGTCGGCGCGCCAAGGTGCCGAACGTCTTCCTGGCCACCATCGAGATCCCCGAGAGTCTGCAGATCACGGGCAGAGGATGTCTGGTGCAGGCGCAAGTGTGTCGGCAGAAGCGTGATCTCAAGGGTGAGTCGAATGCCAAGGAGATCTCCGATGGGCTGCCGTTCCTGGAGTATGAGCTGTACAGGGTGTTGATCAACAAGATGAAGGTGAAGGGCATGAATGCCATCTTCGGCCTCAAGTGCTCCATCGCCGTGGGCGAGAAGATGATGACGATTGTGGCCACGGGAACGGCGGTGTACTTGAGTGCTCTTCCCACGGCTGTCCAGCCGAAGATCGTGGGCGCTGGGCAGTCGTGGTCGAATCCGGAGAAGCTCAGTGAGATCCAGAAGACACTCCAGGACACCATCGAGAAGAACCGCGAGATTTACCAGCTCAAGAGCTTCGGCGATATCGACGCCACGCGACCGCTGTCCGAGAGCGAGGAGAGCGACGATGAGCTGGCGGAGATGGACTTGAATGTGGGCAACAAGGACGCGTGCATCCTGGAAGTGGACGACATTGAGGATCTGGAGGTGATTTCGCTGCTGATGGAGCCTTGTCCGCCCGAGGGATTTCACGTGGTGAACACACAAACTGTGCCCGGATTGCTGGATCTCGAGGTGGTGAGGAATCTGCAGTACTTCGCGCAAGTGTGGCGCGGACACATCAATCAGCAGAGTCATCTGGCCAAGAATCTGCAGCGACTGCTGCAGTGCATCTACTACAAGCTGCGCAGCATGATTCCCTGCGCCATTTGCGATCTGCGCTTCACCATTGATCTGCCGGAGGCGGATTGGATTCAGGTTCTGGTCACAGGAATGGCGCTGGGCCTGGGAGAGCCGTCGAAGATTGTCAAGAACAAGCGGAGACTCCTCTCGGGATCGACAAGCAAGGAGGGAATCAAGAAAGGTATGAAAAAGATGTTTTTAGCAGGAATTTCAGTGAGTTCTTCATGTGTTTTCCAGGCGATGATGAATTAATCTTCAGCCTGGAGGAGGATCACGTCTTCGACACTGTTGGTTCCACGGCAGGAATCTCTCAGAGCGTCACGCCCACGCCGACAAGTCACAATCCTCCAGTTCAGTTCGCCCAGACAGGCTCGCTGAAGCTGCGCAACAAATCTCCCACCAGAGCCAAGAATCCCATCAGGCTTCCCAGACACGTAAGTTTCTCACTTCCACCGTGAAATTGTGACTTATTCCCGGATTTCTTGGCTTCAGATGCCGCTTCGCGAGCGCTATGGAGTCGACGTGACGCCGCTGAGTTACGTTCCCGGCGGCAGAATTGAGAAGTACCTGGGAAATCTCAACTTCTTCTTCATCCGCGAGAGCACGTCGATCAGGGAGAATGGCGGAATTTGTGGCTTCGTGCACGGATTCGTGACTGAATTGTTGGCCGTCGTGCGAGCGCATGTCACGGCGCTGGGTGGAAATGCCATCGTGTCGTTCTACATGACTGAACTCCTCCTCAACGAGAGCATCCACAAGAATCAGGGCCAGAGTCTGGTCAGTGTCGGCGGAGATGTTGTCTTTGTCTCTTACTACGCCGACGACTGAGCTTCTTCCCTTTCTTCCTGCCCAAAAAGTGTGTGAAAGACGCACAAATTGGAATATTTCTATCAAGTTTCTACTCGTGTTATTGATTCTTTTTTTCGAGATGTTTTCATTCAATAGACTGTGTACAATTAAATGTGTTCATTTTGAGTGTTTTTCTGGGGTAAAAAAAGGAATATTTTGGGTGGAAAAACAGCGGAAGAGCAAAAAAGGCACCGGCGAGATTCGAACTCACGATCTCCTGTTTACTAGACAGGCGCTTTAACCAACTAAGCCACGGCGCCGCAGATGACGAAGCCGGCACAGAAGGCCAACTCAAGTTACGCTCGAGACAGCTGACAGGGTGTTCCGCAAGGGATTATCGCCGGTGATTGATGAGGAGACGAAATCAAGTCATTTACTCACAACCATTGACAGTTTTCTTATCAACCGAGTCGGGAGGAGTATTTTCTGCGCTTTCTTATCAATTTTAATGAGTTTTCATGCCTGAAATTCATGAATTATTCACCCATTTGGTTAATTAAGTCGATGTGTGTGAGTGTGTTGGTGCGAAGCGTAGCGATTTGAGCTGGAAAACATCGGCAGAAAGGCCTTTTATCGCCGAAATAGCTCAGTTGGGAGAGCGTTAGACTGAAGATCTAAAGGTCCCCGGTTCAATCCCGGGTTTCGGCAAACTCTTTTGCCTCTTTTGCCCTTTTTCACCCCCAAAATGCATTTTGTGTCTCAGCTAACTTCAATCAATTGCAGAGTTGAAGCTGAAAATGCGATTTTCCCCTCATTTTCTACTCAAATCACTACTAAATTGACTCAAAAATACTCTTTTTCTCGTTTCTTTTCATGTCTTATCAGTGTTTTTGCGACAGTGATTCGCATTAGGGCAAAAGATTGTGCCGAAACCCGGGATTGAACCGGGGACCTTTAGATCTTCAGTCTAACGCTCTCCCAACTGAGCTATTTCGGCCGTTGGGAGCTTTTTGGCTGTGCACAAAATTGCACCAGATGCGATTTTCCCGGAGCAAAAAAATACACTTTTGGCGCGAAAGCTCTTATCGATGATTGGTCAAGATTACAAGCCTTTCAAGTTGATTGATGGTGGGTTTTTATGGGTGGAATTCATAACATTTTTATTGATTGTAAATATGATGAGCGAGTAAATTATTTACCAAAACGGCCAAAACCACCAAATTCACCGAAAACACCCTTGAAAATATCTCTCAAGGGGGAGATAATGTGGTTGAAACTGTGGAGAATTTCATGGAAATCCAATTAGAATAATAATTAGGTCAGTTCTTTCATCAAAACATGAGCGAGTGAAAGTTAAATTGCTTGAACTATTCAAGCTTCTTTCTTGAGGTAATTTGAATCCTTTGAATCTGAACAATTGCTCTAGGATTATGTATAAATTTAGCAATCTGTTTGGCTTCTATTCCTGCCATTTGATGCAAATTGCACTTTGCAGACTTCTTGAGAGCTTCAAAGTCTCTCCAAATTGTGCTTACCTTTCTTCTCTCTGGATGAAGTGCAGAAAATGCCTTTTCCAGCATGTCAAAATTACCGCTTCTACAGATTTAAATATTCATCTTTATTCTGTATATCGATAAACATGTTACATTATATCATTGGAGGAGTCAATATTCCTGCACGAACAAACGGAAGAGATGCAGCACAGATGTTATGTACAAAAAAGGAGACCTGCTGAAGAGTCGCAAAATGTGTCCGCTCAGAGAAATGGGGGCGCTTTTGGGGACTATTGGGATTGACTGTCTCGGGGAATTGTCTCTCTCTCTCCTCGAACCAAGAAGCGCGGCGCGCCGCGGGGAATTTAGCGGCGGCCGAACCGCAGGAAAACGTGATCCACGTCCGTTCGCTTGCCGCCTAATTGGGCGGACGTGAGCGACGCGAGATCCTCAGGCCGGAACATGAGGGCGGACGTCTCGGCGCGCAGGAAGGCGCTGAGGGCGCTGGAGAGCTGGTTGGAGTTCTCCAGCGCCACGCACACCTTCTTTATGTGCGGCGGCATCTCCTCCACCACGGCGGGGTCGCACAGCTGCGGAATGGGCGTCGCCTGCACGGCCGCGAGCGCCAGCAGAAGCAGGAGCAGTTGATGCATCTCTCGTGTGTGTTCCTGCAAGGCAAGCAGTCGCTGGCATCAGTTCAAGGGAAGTCAACAGCCCCAGAAGCCCTTAAAGTCTGTGCACGACTTCCTGACCCAGAAATATCCCTTCTTCCCACCATTTCATCATAAAATATAGGTTTAACTGTCTCAAAAAGAAGCCTAAGTTCCTTAAAAACGTAGATTTCAGGTACTGAGAACTGATTTCACTGGATTTCATTATCGAAATAAGGATTCTCGACAAATTGTGAGGTTATGAACAGTTTAAGGAATCTTTTTGGAGCATTTTCTTATCTTTTCAAAGGTTATTAAATTGTTATTATTTCGTAATTCCCCAACGATTATTTATTATCCTAATACGAAAAGATATGTTTGAGGTTATGTTCGATTTTAAGACTATTTTCCACGTTTTGACTGTAAAATTTTCATCAAGTATGATTATTTGAGTGTACAAATCGCTAAAAAGTCCAATTCTCGCCATAAGAAGTGGAAATAATTCTAATTTTTACATTTAATTGCATTTCTGTTAGTCACATAACCTAGAAAATCATTTGTATTGCTATTCTTTAGCAAAATTCCTCAAGAACATTCAAAGAAGTGAGCTTATTTGTTAAAGAAAAATGCTTCTAACAGTCAAATATTGCAAATACCTAACATTTTCTAATATTTCTACTAAACTGTACACCCCTTCTGACCTTTCGGCCGTATTATCTCCCCCTTGCGTCAGTCACCTTCGGCCTAATGAGCCTCTCTTCCCACTCATTCGCCTTCTCCTGAGGGATTAAAGTGTCCCACACATCGCGAAAGCGTTGCATTTTCACCGCGGCTTAATGAATATTTATTGAAACGTCTGTTCGTCTCAAGGCGCGCACTTTCACTGAGAAGATATGAAGCGCCTTATCGGCAATTATGCGGAGATTTTTTGCACAAGTGCAAATTGAGAGGAAAAAACGAAAGTTCAAAAGAATCACAATGAAATGGAAAAGTTTCTATACAAGTTTCACGCGATGCTAAAGCTTTTAGAGACTTTTTATCAAATGATGTTTTCCTGGTGAGAGCTTTTTGTGGGGATTTTCACAATTAGATTTCCCCGAAGGCATAAGTATTGTAATTAGCATTTCGTCTTAGATTATGTTGAAGAGGTTTTGTTTATGCAAAACAAGTTAAATTGTTTACTTTAAATTTCAATTGAAAGATTTAGAGAAACATATTTTCTTGTGAAAATAAACACAGAATTTGGTTCATTAAGGGGGGAAGTTTTGACCATTGTTTTCTCTCTTCCTTGCGCTCTTTTCTTAGGACAAAAGGATAGAAGACGAAAATACAACACAATCAATAATTTTCTTATGGAGAAATATTGAATTTTTAATGTGCTTTGATATTTAATATGTAAATTATTTACGTCATAATCTCCTTTGTTTAATTTGGCATTTTTTCGTCGAATGCAGGAAATATTGATAATAAATTCACAATTGATAATATAAAAAGCAGCCCAAAAATTGCAGGGAATTATTTTGTTGAATAACTCATTGAAAATTAAAATGCCATGTGCAATTCTATAACAAGCTTACAATAATACGAAATCATTGAAGTGCTGGTGAAATTTTATGCCAACGGAAATACAATTAAAGCACAATTTAATCAATTTCGTGGCGTTTTGAGTGACAAGGAACAATTATTCCTTGGCAAAAACACCTCAAATGCACTCTCTCAAGTTTCACTCGACTGTAGGGGTGGAAAAGTGCGGAGAAAAAGCTCATTAACTCTTCAGGGTGTTGCTGAAGTGGCGAGGGGTGGAAAAACATGGGCAAATAGTCGGAAGGCAGGTGGAAATGCATCCAATTGACGACGCGAATTATTCTAATCACGCAATTACCGCTCTAAACACGTTTGTCGTGATTTCCAAACAATTTCCCGTGGATGTAATCACGGATGGAGAGCGCGAAAGCCATTTGTGAATGGGTTGGAAAAGTGTTAAACTTCCCTTTCCTGATGGACTTGGAGAAATGTCCTGAAAAGCTGTGCAATCTGGAGCAGCGCGAGAAAAAGGGTTCATATTCCCACGAACAGCTAAAATGGTTTCAATTGATTTCATCACAAGCGTATCGAGTTCTCATTAAATTCGTGGCACTTTTGGTGTGAGTGACAAAGAAGCGGACTCGATGGCAAATGGTTGCGATGGGAGAAAAGCGATGGAAACTCCTCAAGATGCTTTTCATGCATGAAACTTTAGCTCGCACCGCAAAGTGAGAGAAATTTGGCTTTTATTCACCCCATCAATTGAGTGTGGGAGTTCTTTGGTAATATTGGAAGTGTTTGGTTAAAGTCAAAGCATTCGCAGAAATCATATTTGGCATTTATTGAATAACATTGAGAACATTTCAAAGCCATAACACCCCTTAAAATTCACTCCTTGCGAGCGAATTGAGAGGATTGAGGGAGCTTTTATCATATTTCAAAGTTTTCCCATCGCGGGCGATTCGCAATCATCGACTTCATTTGCAGAAGAGACGCTCTCGAGATGGATTTCAAAGCTTCGCGAAAATTGCGTGGGGGTGGTTTTTTTTTTCTTGCCGCTTTTCGCAGGTGAAAAAGCTCATAAGCAACTTCTTGCGCATCTCTCCAGCTGTTTGGCGGAAAAAGCGTCGCCCCAGCGACAAAATGGGGGCGCTTTTGTGTTTGAAATTTTAATTATGAAATTTATAATCTCCTTGCTTATTAGAACGCATCACACGATGGCAGTTATTTTGCTCATGTCGTGACATTACGGCGTGGCATTCATGGGCACATAATGGCATTAAAATTGCAACAATACACAAATTACGACGACGTCACTCTTCGGCGTCTCTTCTTTTCCTTTCCTGCTCCATTGACACCTTTTCTCAGTGCTGTTTTTCCGGGGTTTTTTTTTATAGCTGCGAAGGAGGGATTTTAGGAAGAAATTTTGCTAACGAGAGAAGCATTAATAACTTGTTATTTTCTCAAACTGAGTAAATGTACGCAAATATTTGTTTGCATTTCTGCAGTTTCTAGGAAAATTACTCACTCAATTCCATCATCTTCTCCATGTATTTTCCATGAATCACAACAATTTTACCAAGAATGAAGGAAGGAATATTCTGCGTTCTTTAGACCATAAAATTAACTGAGCAGAACAAACTGAGCAAGGATTTTAAAAGTCTTATTTCCACTGAATTGTTAGGCTTGAATTGTTCTAATCGAAAGGTCGTGACTTTATTTGTAATGACGAACACAAATTAGCTTTAATGTCTGAAAAGAGAGCAAAATGTTCCCTTAATTGCTCAAAAATTGGTAGTTTTCTTTCACAAAGTCAGCAGTTTTCGCTGCTTTTGCCTTTTCCTCCTCTTTGTGTTGATCCTGCAAATAATTTACAGCACAAGAATCTCTTCTTTTTCACTTGAGTCACTCATTATCATCAAGAAAAACATCAGAAGTGCATTCAAAAATTACTTTCAAAGGAAATTAACGCAATACTTGGAGAAATAGAATTGTTCATTAATTTTTCTAGGTTATGTTATGAATTTAAGACAAACTTTTCCATTAAAAACCCTTGTAAATCATTCATTCTTGCGCCTAAGCTGGTATAATTTACATTTATTGGCTTAATAATTATGAAATCTGTTGAAGATTACAAGCTTTCAGTGTTAAACTGATGTTAATTATTCTAAGATTGATCATAACCTCAAAAATATTGTTTCAGGATACAAAATTTTCTATTTCAAGAGCTGTTTGATTGATTTTCTATTCTGAAATAGCAAATTTCAGCTTAATGTCGATTTATTCACCAGATTTGCGCCCAGATTCGCTGGAAACTTCAAATATTTCTAAAATACTGGTTTTTTTTTCTAATTTTCTGGGCTATTCAAATAAAAATGGCGTCTTTTCAGATCAAACACTCCTAAATTTGAGGTTATGATACTTTAGGCAGTTGGAAAAATCAATAGATTTTCAAAGTGTCATGAATATGACAGTTTTCCATGGAAAATAAAAGTTCAAGACCTAAATTTGAAGCCCTTCTTCATTGTCAACGTCTTTTACATTACTTGCAGAAATATTTTTAGACAATTTACTCTCTCAAAATTCACATCATGCTTATCAAATTGTATTTTTATACGTCATTCTGCGAAAAATTCTCTAACACCTCTGGAAAATCCCCGAGAGAATCATTTCACGGGTGTTCTTTTTTGATTTCCCAATTGAGTTGGGTTGACATTACCATCCAAAACACATGGCAAAATGATCCAAAAAAATTTCCCTCTCATTGTGTGAAAAAAATGCCCATGAAAAACGCCAATATCAAAGGCTCGACGTGTTTTCTCGTCTCAAATGTGCTCTGTTGGCATCAGGATAAAATCAACATTTGATGTTTCACAAAATATCTCATTTGGTCGTCACTCTTGGAGAGCTTTTCAGCAAATACTTTCCATTTGGGGATTTTTACATTTAGAGACACACACAGGAAATGGCTTTCATCTCTTTTCCGTGTGTCTCTTTTAACACATATTCTCGGGACTTTTTTTTTGACCAAATTGTGCTGTATTTTAATTTGATTTCCAGCAATTCGCCATGAGAATATTACCATTAATTTGTCAATGACTCGGCGCGGGTGGGCGCGCATTTCCATCGCCCTCTGAGGCTCCTAATGAAGCGCCTCTCGAGGCGCAATGGACCCCTCACAATTGCCTCCCGACTGAGCAAATTTATTCAATTGGAATGGAATTTGTTTGTTCAATTGGTGAGCGAAATTCCACCGCCCAAGAAATTCGATTTGATGGCGAAGCTTTGCAAACACCCAACGAAATGCCCAAATTAATTGTAAATCCATTAAGGACATAAATAGTTCTTCACAGAAAAGCCAAAATGTCTTTTTATATCTCTAAGAAATGCGATTTGCATGAGTTTACGCTGCGACAAATCCCTTGAGAGGCCAATTAAGGGGTTCTTTTGCAGAGGAGTTTCTATTTATACAGATGCATAAAATCATATATTTGAGATAAAAATGCACTCTTTGAGGAGTGGAATTTGCCCCCATTAAGAAAGTCATTTCACAATCAAATAAGCACCATTAGCATATGAAAGAAACTCAATAAACTTCTGAAGGATAACAAATTGACATTCAATACATCATGTTTGTCGCTCTTTCGCTCAATTGACACAGCAAAGAAAAGGTCTGAATTTTGATCTTCTAAAGTACTTCTTTTTGCGCGCAACACAGTAATCACAGAGGCGTTGTTAAATAAATGATTTTTCTTACTTCTCTTGCAATTCTATTCCTTGTGCACAAATTGCAGCTCAATTTCCGCCTTGATGTGTTTCAGGTCAATTTTCACTGGCACAACACTGACTGAATGATTTCTTCACTGCAGAGAGATCGAATGACACTCGATCTGGAGGACACCAAAAGTGGGCTTTGATGAGCTTGTCGTGCTGTAAATGCGTCTACCTGGCCAAAGTGCAGCTTCTTTTATATCGCCTGTAAATCTCATTCTTCCCGCCTCTTGCCCGAAGCCACGCGGCGGCGCAAAAGGATGCTTCTCTCGCCTCGCAGCCTTCGTCACACAAATGCTTCAACAAATGGACTCCATGGGATCAAATCAGACATCAAATACACCAATTTCAATGCAGAAAGAATGGAAGTGGGATGAATATTCCCAACCAGTAAACTGATTAAGTATTAATTGCATGAACAATTTCCATCAATTGCAGCGCCAGAGCTTTCGATTAGGAGCTTTTGCATAAATGCATTCATCAGTCAGTGCAAGAGAAGCTCAATTGGGTCAACATATGGATGAGGTTTGCACTTGCAAATGCTCTGAATCATGAAATATCGAACACAATGCTTTGGCATATCAAAGAATCCCACAAAGTTTCAGACTTTCTCCTTGAAAGCTTGAGAAGAAGCACAAATTCTCCTTCTCTCGCCACGAGCAATATTTAAATCTTCGTACCTTTGTTTTTAATTAGGGTATTTTGAAGAAAAATGGCGTGGAAAATGATGCTGAATTCTAAGAATTTACATAATTCTCAGCATAAAGATGAATAGCTTGCGAAGTAAATTTTTATCACCCTTCATTTGATGAGATAAATAAGTTTTCAGTCATTTTACCATGTGAAAATACTCACCAAATCTAACATTCTGAAGCTATTTTCTCCTAAATCAATCTCATAAACTTCTTGTCTGGACGCGACTTTTAGGCGAAAACCCACTGGAAAATTCAAGCAAAACTTTTCTTCCACCAACCAAAATGGAATGAATTGACGCTGTTGAGTTTTCTCTGTTGGGAAAAAGTTTACAATTCATCTAAATTTCAGCACGAGAGTGTTTCAGAAGCCAAGAATAGCAGCACTGACAAAGAGTGTGAGCAGGTGGAAAATGAGCTTTTACCATATTCACGAGGATTATTGGCGGTGTGGCAAAAAAGTCATCCTCTTTTGCCATCATTTTCCAGCAGCTCATAATTCTTATTTGTGCCACCATTGCAACACGCAGCCTCGGGATATTTATTGTGGCTTCGCAAAATCCGCACCCACGAACTCTCGTTTGCCTTGAATGTTGGCCAAAACAGGAAGAGCCAAGGGGGAGATAATGCGCCCAGAAGCGGTGTACAATTCAGCAGGAGTCTCAAGAAGCGGATGTCTGTGGATATTTGCAGTTATTTGCTTGATAAAAGCTTCTTTTATACAGATAAAAGCATTCTTCCTTGAATCCTCCTGAGTAAACACTAAAACTGATATTTATTTTGAGGTTATGTGACCAATTTAACTTTGTGAAAGATCTCAAAGAATTACAATTAATCAAATAACCACAAAAGTTGTCAATTCAACTAATATAATTGAATATTATCAATATTTCTTTGATTTTTTCATTCTTATTTAGAAAAAAACTATCTTTATTCTTGACTAGGTTATACGAAAATTTTTATAAAAATTAGTTTGTAAGTAGAATTTTAACAAATTCCAATTCTTATGATGAATTTGGGAGCTTTTCTATTCAATTAATCGAGATTTCAGATATTGTGAGAAATATTTAGATAATAAAAACACTAAAAACTTTCCTCAAATCGAACATAACCTCAAAAATAGTATTTCACCATAGAAAATGTCATTTTTAAAGAGTTTTTTGATCTAAAATACTCAATCTTGAGCTAATTTACTAAGTATTCTTCGCTTTTTGTCCACAATAAGTGTTGAACAATCCTTTAAGATCGCTTTTAATGTTACTTTTGAGGTTATGGTGAAGAAAAACACAAAGATTCTCACTAAAATATCGCCGGAGAACTTCATAAATCAGCTAAATAACGTGTTATAGATCAGAAAGGAAAGAATATCCTGCAAGATATTGGTGTACAGTTCTTGGCAGCATTAACTGCCCCTTGGGAAGAACACAAAGAGGGAAATTGGTGTGGGGTTTCCCTTCGGGAAGTGAGTGTGAGTCGCACACGGGGAAGTCATAGAATGTTAATTAACACCTCTTAGCCCAATATTCACTCTCGCCCGTCAATTTGCCCCGTCGCCAGATTGAATATGCAACAAGTGGGGTTTTATCGATGTCTCTCAACTTGTTGCTCGCGGCGTGAGATCCATCAGAAGTCGCCGCGAAGAGCCTGTCAAAGGGGCAAATTAACACACAGCCCATCAGGCAAGGGAGTGTCAATCCGGGAAATCCTCCTGATACGCGCAGCATTGATAAGCGCAGGGAAAAATGATCGATTCGGTCTAATTCTGTGTGCAAATAACACCCACAGCAGTCCAGCAAATCCTCTTCGTCACCTGGCATTCGCCTCACGTATCGCCATAATGTGTGTAAAGTGCTTAGTTTACAGCACGAATCGTCGTCTGAATTGAAAATGTCTCATGGCAAATCAGAGACTCAATAATGCCAAGACTTCTCTCCTTCCGCCCTAAGCTTGATTAATTCACATTGATTACCAACTTTGAGACTCAATTGCGATGCTCTGGAGTTTCTCACTCTCTCACTCCACACCGAAAACCAATCATCACATAAATGAATATTGAGCTTGTGGTCGTGTTTATCGCCTTTTCTGCACAAAATCCATGACGACATTCATTGCGTAACGTTTATATAGATTATGCTTCGCTGACGCTCGAGCTTTCAACGCCCACGCAGGACTTTGGCAGGTGAGCGGAAAGCTCTCCACTTTCCACTCTCTCTCCAAATTATCCCCACGCAACGAGAGTGTCGATCACTTTCATCTCGCCCAAGGAAGCGACCTCGATTCCTTGCATTGTGGCCGCCATTATCATATAAATTGCACTTGCCAAGACGCAAATGCAGTAAATGATGGAAAAATTAATAACGACTGACGCGCTGCAACCGTTTAACTTTGCAGCCAGAATTGAATTACTTTGTGACCTTTTTCACTTCAATTTCATGGGGTTCAATGGGTTCAACAGATGAGTTTCTTTTGCCAAAATGCTCTTAATAAATTTATGCTGAATTTGATTATTGATTTCGTTGAAAGTGTTTTGCATGCGAAAATTTGTTTATCATTGTGAAGAATATTCATGAAGGGACATTTTCACGGGAGTTTTCTTGTTCAAAAGTAAAGAACAACAATTATGTTTATTGATTTATGCAATTAACCAAATGTTGAATGTGAATTTCCCTTAAAAAATCAGTCAATTTTCACTTGGAAACGCAATTAAAGCAGTGAATGTAAAGTTAATTAGCAATAAACCTTTGGAAAGCTTTTTCCCCATTTAATATGCCGAAAAGGACTTGAAATTATGTAGATTCAATCTGAAACTTGACATTAAACTGCAGACAAAATCATTTGAAAAATAATTAGTGAATTCCATTCGCTTGGCTAAAAATACAAAAGACTTCAGTATGCTTTCGAAAGGATGTTTTTATTTCATTGAAAATCGCTAATAAAAATTCTGTGAAATCGTTGCAAGGAAAGAATGAATTCTAATCATTTCACCAGCCCCCCCACTTTAAAGCCCCCCAAATTTAATAACGAATTGTCAAATTAATCGTCAAAACAATAAAAGATAACGAAGAAATTGCACAGCAATTCAAGAGATTTGGAGAACATTTGTCGGCTGAAAGCAGAATAAAATCAATTGCAATCGAGAGTTTGATAAAGTGAAGGTGAAAATTAAGTGCGCAAATCTTAATTTTGAATAAGAAAAGTGTGTATCTTTTCTTAACGTACAATTTAAGGTGAAGTGAGTGTCATTTTCGGTCAATTTATTCAGTTTAAACAATTCTTTGTCTGATTTGCTGTTAAAGATGAGAAAAAAATCGATAAAATTAGGAATCTTAAGCATTAAAAAGAGTCCTTTTGTCAGAATCTCTTGCAAAAACACTCCCGGAAGTCATAAACAAATTTCCTCCGATGATAACCTTTTCTTATCTCTGCTCAATGAAAAATTTACCTTCAATATCATAATGGGAAGTGAATCAATTTTGCACAGCTTAAATCCCTCGTCAAATGTTAAGCACACAATTGATTTGCTGACAAAGATTTGGTCAAACTCGTTACAAATGCTGGTGCTTTCAGTTTAAGGACTCTGTGTTTTCCTAAGGTAAATTCAATCAGGAAGTTTTCCTCTGGGGAATTGCGAACATGAAATGTTTTGTAGGACAGTCGATTGAACTGTTATTGAGGACGAATGATGAATTGGAGGATTTTGTCAAATGTTAATCAATAGTGGAGAAATGTTAAACACCGAGATTAATGCATCAATTGATGGGACATTCATTACGGGGATTTGCAGATGGTGCAAAATCAAAGGAATGAGAAAATCGTCTCTCATTCGGAGTGAAATCAGCTTTTCGATGTAATATCGCAATTTAATTTGTATAATTACATCATAATATTTGCAATTAATACATTTTATGCTGAGATCAAACACTCACCCATGAATATTTTAATGGATTTTACGCATTTTACGCAACTCTCTTGGGTGGAAAATTCGACTTTTCATCCCTCAGCCAATTTGAGCCGCACGTGCGGCATTTCATAACAGTTTTTATTTTCTGTTACATTATTTTCAGACTTTCGGCGATACTTTTTGTTCTCTGTTGTTGTTAACTTGTAATTCGCACTGCCCATTCTAATGTCCATCGGGAAAATGGTAATTGAGCGCCTGTACATGGAATAAGAGTTAGTGTCGAAGCTGCTGAATATTCAGGCCTTGTTCATTGCTCACCTTTGCGGCCAGGAGACATTGGTCAGTGCCTGAAGTCGAGTCAGTTGCACAACACCTCCAACGCCGTGCGGACTCAACACAGTGCAAAAGAGTGCGGGGAAGGAGCGAAACAAGTGTCTAACCATTGATTTTCCTAGTTCTTTCTCTTCCTTTTTGTGGTTTGTTTCCTTTTTCGCGTTGAAAGTGCGTTGAAAGCCCGCAATCATGCTGAGCTCGTTCGATGGCGATAAGAAAAATGGCAACTTTTCTGCACAGTACGAAGGAAGTAAGATTCACTCGAGTCCTCCAGTGTGTCCTTGTGTGACTAATGCGTGCTTTGTCCGCCACTCAGATGGTGTTCAGTATCCGGACGTCTTCAATCAACTCTACCTGGACACCTATCGGCGCTCCATCGAGACGCCTGAGGAGTTCTGGGGCGAATTGGGTCAGCAACTGATCGACTGGGACATGCCCTTCGAGAAGGTCCTCGATCACTCCAATCCGCCGTTCACGAAGTGGTATGATTGCTGTGTGCATTGATTTCAATGGTCTGCTTTTTGTGTATGGAAAGCAATTCAATGCCGGAGGAAATGAGGGCAAAGGACAGAAGAAACTCCCAGTTCACTTTCCATTCTTCATTGTTGCAAATGAGAAAGTGTCGAAGTAACAGTTCAAAGGGGGAGATAATGTGGTTCAAATCTGTGCAACATTTGATATCTTTCCTTAAACATTCTTTATATTTTATTCAATACTTGTTTAAGGATTCCTAAAGTAAGAGTTGAAATTCTCCTGAAGTATTTTTATTTAAAAAAAAAATGAGAAAACTTTAAAAATAACCTTTGAAATACAACTTTTTAGGTTATATTCGATTTATAGTACAATTTTCAGTATTTCTCTTTGTTGGTTAAGCACAAAGACTCAACTTGTTCATTAAGTTGAAATGTTTTCAGTTTGAGCGTAAGAATTGATGTTTTTGGATCTTATTTACTTACTGAATATACTTTAAATCATTCACATAACCTAGAAAAGCATTACTATGTGATATTTTCTAGAGAAAAATCAAGAGAAAACTTCAAGAAGCACATAAATTGGCCCTAAATTGAGTTTTAAAGCACTGACTATCTTCAGGTACGTGGGCGGCTATCTGAACGCGTGCTACAACTGCGTGGATCGGCACGTGATCGCCGGAAAAGGCGACAAGGTGGCCTTCATCCACGACAGTCCCATGACCAACACGGTGCGCAAGGTGACGTACCAGGAGCTGTACGATCGCATCAGCAGCCTGGCCGGCGGCCTGCGCCAGCTGGGCGTGCAGAAGGGCGATCGCGTGGTGATCTACATGCCGCTGGTGCCGGAAGTGGTGATGGCCATGCTGGCCACAGTTCGCCTGGGTGCCATTCACTCGGTGGTCTTCGGCGGTGAGTCCAAGTGATCCCCAAAAGAGTGATCAATAACCGATGCGTAAACAATAACTTTTGAGTCGCAATTGAGCGGCATGTGCTGGCGCTATTTGCCTTGTAAATTTCAGCCAGAGGTTCTTCCATGACCCCGGGAAGCATTGAAACTTCCCCGACAATTGCGACAGTCGTGGAATGGATAATTTATGTCTCTTAATAAGACAATTAACTCCGTTACTTCCCCTGTGCTACGTCTCCTGATCTTGCTCCGTTTTCCCGCACAGGTTTCGCCGCTAGTGAACTCTGCACGAGGATCGAGCACGCCGAGCCGAAGGTCGTGATCGCGGCCAATTGTGGCATCGAGCCCAACAAGATCATCCCGTGAGTCTGAACCTGAACACCTAAACTAGCCTTGAGACCTTCTAACTTACCTACATCCCTCAGTTATCTGGACATCCTGCACGACGCCATCGAGATGTCGGCCTGGAAGCCCATCTGCAATGTGATCTTCCAGCGCAGCAACGTCCTGCAGTCGCCCATCGATCCCAAGACGGACATTCTGTGGGAGAAGGTCATGACGCTGGGCGAGAAGGCCGAGTGTGTTCCCGTGGAGGCCAGCGATCCGCTGTACATCCTCTACACTTCTGGCACCACCGACAAGCCCAAGGGCGTCCTGCGCCCCACCGGCGGCCACCTGGTCACGCTGGCCTACACCTTCAACTCCATCTACGGCATCCAGCCGGACGACGTGTGGTGGGCGGCCTCGGATCTGGGCTGGGTGGTGGGGCACTCGTACATCTGCTACGGGCCGCTGCTGCACGGCTGCACGGCCGTGATGTACGAGGGAAAGCCCGATCGCACGCCGGATCCCGGCCAGTACTTCCGCATCATCGAGCAGCACAAGGTCAGCGCGGTCTTCTCCGTGCCCACAGCCTTCCGCGTGATCCGGCGCGTGGACCCGGAGATCAAGTGCGGCTCCAAGTTCAGCCTCAAGTCCCTGCGAACGATCTTCATCGCCGGTGAGCACTGCGACCTGGAGACGAAGCTGTGGATGGAGAACGTCTTCAAGGTGCCCGTGCTCAATCATTGGTGGCAAACGGAGACGGGCTCCGCCATCACGGCCACTTGCCTGGGCTTTAATCATAGCCTGAACCCACCGAAGTTCACCACCGGACTGCCCTATGTCGGCTACGAAGGTAAAGTTCACCCAATTCTATTCCCTTTCTGGACAGAACCTCACAGAGTGACTTGTCTTGCAGTCGACGTCCTCCTGCCGGATGGATCGCAGGCAGAACCCAACGAACTCGGACGCATCGTCATAAAACTGCCCCTTCCGCCGGGGAACATGTGTAATCTGTACAAGAACCCAGAGCTCTTCGAGAGAACCTACTTCCGCAAGTATCCTGGCTACTATGACACAATGGACGCCGGCTACAAGGACGAAAGTGGCTACATTTTCGTCACTGCGCGCGATGACGATGTGATCAATGTGGCTGGTCACAGGATCTCGACGTCCAGCCTCGAGGACGCTGTGCTCAGACATCCAGACATCGGCGACGCCGCGGTCTTTGGCGTTCCCGAACCCACAAAGGGCGAAGTTCCACTCTGTCTCTACGTCACGAAGAACGGTAGGCCTAGGCTCCGCCCCTAAGTCTCAAACAGGGGAAGATATTGAGCAATAACAGCACTTTCTTGAGTTTTATTTGATGTCTACTTAGAATTACGACTGAATTTTAGAAAATATTTAATTAATATAGAAACTTAAGGCATATATCTCCCCCTTGGTCAAGTCTAACGCCTTCATTGCAGATGTCACGAAACCGTCTAACAAACTCTCTGTGGAACTGATCAAGATCATCAGGGAAGTCATCGGACCGATTGCGGCCTTCAGACTCGTCGCCAGAGTTCAGGCGCTTCCGCGAACGCGATCGGGTAGGTTTTGTCTCCTAATCTCGGCCTAAATCGATGTCTAAGAAGCCCAAATTGCAGGCAAAACCATGAGGAAATCCATGGCGGACTTCGCGAGGAACAAGCAAGTCGTCTTGCCGGCAACCATCGAAGATGCCACGGTTTTCACAGACATCCGGCGAGCTCTGCAGGAGCTCGGCTACGCCATGACTGCCCCTGATCCGGTCCTCAGCATGAGGAAGATGTGAAACAGCCCTGCGATCAGCACCAGTGTACATAAGACGCCAAACTGCTTCTTCAATGTTATAATTCTTAAGCATAAACGGTGTGTCAGTTACACAATCTTTCACTCATCCTGAACTCTACTTCCTCTCCTTCCTGGCCTTCTTCTTCTGTTGCTGCTGTGGAGGAGCTTCTGTCGGCGCCTCCTTGCGCTTCTCCGTGGCCACACTGAAGCCCTCAATGTGTGGCTTCACCAGATCGAAGAGCAGCTTCTCGTGCTGCACATTTGAGGAATCCAGACTCAGGCGCACTGTGACGGGATCGAAGGCGTGGAAGATGACACTGCCGCTCTGGAGCGTGCAATTGTGCTCGTCGTAGGTGAAGTGGGCGGAGGTCTTGTCCCTGCCCGCCTTGTCCTTCACGTAGATCGTGCCCTCGAGGCCGAACTTGGGGATGATGACTTGCAGAGCGTTCTTCCGCACCAGCAGCACATATCCTTCCTCCTCCTGCGACTTGCCCTTGAAGAAGAGATGCGTGTTGAGCGCCACGGACGCTCTGCCCGCGTACTGTGCCATCCGGTTGCGATAGTTCAGATTCTTGCACAGTTCCGCCGAGGCGCGCTTGTCCAGCAGCTCAGCGTACGTTCCGTCGGCGCCAATGCACGCCGCCAGCAGCCGATGGACGATGATGTCGGCGTAGCGCCGAATGGGCGACGTGAAGTGCGTGTAGATCGGCACGGCGAGGCCGTAGTGGAAGAACTCCTCCTTCTGCACACTTCCGGAGATGAAGTAGAGCGCCTGATTCATGCATCGCGTCGCGATGATCCTCAGCATTGTGTTGAAGTAGGGATTGTCCTTCTTTACAGCCGCATCCAGCGACGTGGCCAGTTCCTTCCCCGAGTTCGTGTTGATGGTGAAGCCCTGATTCTCACCCGCCTTGACCAGCGTCTCCAGATTCGTCTGCGAAGGCTCCGGATGGCGTCGCAGCATGGCAAACTCTGGGAATTCCCGCTCGATCTTCTGCGCCACGGAAATATTTGCCAACAGCATGAATTCCTCCACCATTGAGTTGGTCTCCAGACTCTTCTTGGCCTCCACTTCGATGGGATCGTGCGTCTCGCTGTCCACCAGGAAGCGAATCTGCGGCGAGGCGAGAATCAACGCGCCTTTGTCAATCCTCCGCCTCTTCAGGATCTTCGCCAGTTTGTTCAGCTCTCGCAGGGATTCCGCCAGATCGTCCTGCTTCGTCTTGTCGTCAATGATCAGCTGCGCCTCTTCGTACGTCAGCGCCGCCTTGGAGCGAATGACACTCTTGAAGAACCTCGTCTCGACGACATTCGCCTCGTTGTCCAGCTGCCAGACGCACGAGAAGGCGAATCGCTCCACGCCGCCGCGCAGCGAGCACAGATTGGAGCTCAGCAGCTCCGGCACCATGTCGATGCGCTTCTCCACCAGATAAACCGTCGTGGCTCGCAGCGCCGCTTCTCTGTCCATCGCATTTCCCGGCTTGATGAAGTGACTCACGTCGGCGATGTGCACGCCAACTTCCACGCGATCCGCAGACACGCGGCGCGCGTGCAGCGCATCGTCGATGTCCGTGCATCCCGGCGGATCCACCGAGCAGATCGTGACGTTCCGCAAATCCACGCGCCTCTCGAGATCCTGCAAGCAAAGCAAAGGACGTGATAAGTCAGCTTAATCTAGTGTTCGCAGAGCCTTTGTTCGTCTGCCTTCGAAATTCCCGTCAATCATGGACAAGGACTTGGTGTCGATTCTGGACAGGATCATCGATTTACTGATGAATCTGCAGAACTCAGAGCAAAATCCCGAGATAGTGAACAACATCGCGCAAGAGTGCGAAGACTTCATTCACCAATTGCAAGCGATGCTGAATCAAATGTACGCGGAAAATGGCGTTGAGAAGCAGAAAAAGCATCTCCGGAATCTCGCGATTGAGCTTCAGGGCGTCAAGAGGGAGATCGTCAACTTCCAGGAGAACCAGGAGTTTCTGGACAGGCAAATTGCAGCCGTTGAAGCTGAGATTGAGGAGAGAAGCCGCGAACTCTTGGCTCTGCACGAGGAAGTAGCTGAGAAGGAGCGCAGGAGGAGGAATTCCAGCTTCTTCTTGACCAGATCCAGAGAATTCACCCAGTTTCCAGCCAGAAAGCTGATCACCGTCACTCCAGAGTCTCTCAGCAACATCGCCTTGACCTTAACGTAAGAATATTGGTGGTTTTTAAGAGATTCCCAGTCACTGAGTCTCGCTTTTCAGGCCAATCCTGGACACTGTTGAGGAGACAAGGGAAAACACTTCCCTGGAAATCAACGTGACATCCTCAGCGTCCACAATCGAGGAGGATTTTTACAGTCTGGATGAGGTGGAATGAATAAACTCACCGCTTCTGTGATTCCCCAGGGCATTTTGGGCAGGAAGCTGAGTACTTCCTCCGAGAAGTTGCTGTGCGGAATGTCGTGCTCCAGCAGGATCACCTCATTCTCCGTCTCCTTGTCGCCCAGCGCGCCCAGGGCACGGACAAAGTGCCCCAGCGGATATCTCGAGTGTCTGGGCCACTGATCGATGGCCACAATGATACGCTGGCGCGCCAGCTTCTCCGCCTGGCGCGTCTCGATGCGGATCTTGGGGATCTTCGACTCGGCCGGCACGAAGAGATGCCGCACGGCGCCCGGAAGTGCGCTCGGCTGCAGAATTCCGCAGTATTGTCGCCACTTGCGCCGAATAATGCCCACAATTCTGCCCGTTGGCACTCGCTCGATCTCCTTGGGTGTCTTCAGCAGTCCCGATTCGTCCTCCAGCACGTCTCCAGGATCCTCAGCGTCGTCCTGGATGATCACGCCGCACGGCGCTGACCACTTGTCCTCGGGAAACAGCTCCACAGCCACAATATCGCCGTCCACGGCGCGATTGAGCGATTCCCTGCCCTGCAGCAGGATGGACTTGTCCATCTCCTCCACCGACACGAAGCCCTCCAGGTAGTTCTCGCGGGAGCGCACGAAGGAGCCCTGCAAGAGCTTCCCACTGCGCACGCCCTCGTGGATCTGCGCCGGCGACAGATGCAGAGGGAACAGATCGGGCTTGTTCCCGTCGATGTCTGAGAACTTCTGCGCCAGCTTGTCCTGCAGCTCCGGGTGGCTTTTCAGGGACTTCACGTACTGCTCAATTGTGAGCGCCGTGATGCCCATTTCACGGGATTTCCGCATGTTCTCAACGTCGTTCGTCAGCAGGATGACTTTCAGTCGCTTCTCCTCCGTCTTTCCCTTCTGACTCAGCCTCAAGTGGCCGTTGTACCACTCAATGGCCGTCCGGATGGCGCGATCATTGCGATCGTTGCTCGACTCGCCGGCTTGGCGCTCCACAAAAGTGTCCTTGTGATGCTCATTGACGAACGTGTAAATCCGCCGGCTGCTCTTCGACACCAACTCGCGGAGGCGCTTGTACACCGCCGAGCTCTTGTTCTTCACCTCCTCCAGCACAATCACCGGCACCACAATGTCACACAGGACGCTCTCCTCCAGCACGTCGATCTGATCCAGCACGACGTTCGTGTCCGGCACGATGTAGTGCGGAAAGCTGAATTCGCTGCTCGGCGACGGCGGGCAGGACGAGAGGATCTTGTCGTGAGACATCTGAGGACATACCTCACACGCCGCGGAGCCGCAGAAGATGTCATTCCGCAAGTAGTGCTCCCGGACAATCTGCAAAACATAACCTTCAATCTCTGTTTTCATCCAGATTTCCCTGAATTCGCTCACCTTGAGGATCTTTCCGCGCTTTGTCTTGCGCAGGAAGACTTTATTGGTGGACTTTTCCATTTTTTGGGAATGATTTTGGCCAGGAAATTGCTCTTTGCAGGCAAAATATGATCCGGCAACACGTGAGAATCATCAAAACAAACTACACTGTTTGTTCTTCAAACTCGCTCAACACTGTGAAAAAATTGATGGGAAAAAGTGTCTTTCTGTGTCAATTTTCTTGTATTCTTTCTGCTGTTCTGGTGATTATTATGGATTAGGCGTGATTCAGCGCAGTAGAGCGATGAAAAATAGAAGAGAATTCAGTTGTAAATAATTCATTGGTGCAGTGGAAAAGGGGCAAAAAGATTTCCCACGCCGGGAATCGAACCCGGGCCTCCTGGGTGAGAGCCAGGTATCCTAACCACTAGACAACGTGGGATACATCTGCCATGAGCGCTCGTCGAACACTTTCCCACCGCGAAACCCACCAATTCCCCTCCGCTGGCCGAGAATCCCCCCAACGGTCGGCCAGTGGCGGTGGTGAATTTCTTTGACAGCGCTGTCAATGTCGGAATTTCACTGGGTGGTGTCTTTGGCGTGAGAATCCAGCAACTTTTTCTGCCCTTTTCGCCCCTAAATATGTGACTGGCGTGCCGCAGAACAGTTCCAACGCGTGCGTGAGTGTGCTGTGCAGTGACTTTGCGTGACAGTGCGTGCGTGAGCAGCGAGGCGGCGCCGCCAGAGCGCAAGATTTGCGAGTGTGTTTTGTCATCGGCCAATGTTCTCACCTTTCGTGGCTCCGTGAAGAGCGCCTCTGTTGGCGTCTGTGGGTGGCGCTCCACTGCCGTATTGCAGTGCCAGGCGAGCGAGAGGCGGATTGGGGTCACTGGCGGTAATGCAATTACGCGCGCCCTGCTTCGCCTCTTCAGCCAGTCTCTCTCTCTCTCTGTGTCTTCCAGATTCCCGCGGACAGGAGGAGCGGAGCGCCGGGCGTCCGGAGGGAGTGTCTGGGCTGCAGTGGGCTCAATTGATCTAAATTGACTCGAGCGTGATAAATAAATTGCGCCGACAATGACGGTGGACTTCAATGACTACTTCTGGGTGAGTATCAATTAGTCGGCCTAATCTTCCTCCTCGCGAGCATTATGTAATCCCGGGACGGGCAGAGAATGCTGGGCGTTTATTCTCCGTGGTGTCAGTGCAGAGATCCACCGATAAAATTCCACACAATCGCTTCTGTTGTCTGGAGAAGAGCGCAAGGTCGCGTTGGAATTGAGAGCGCGCGTCAAGAGCGCCTCTGGTCAGGAACGCGAGCGGAGGAACAGGTTTCCACTGGGAATCTTATAGGAATTTCAGTGGCAGCAGATTCCAAAGCCTCAGCTGGCTCTAGTTCTTGTAGTTAACGTCTTCTTTGGGCAGTTTATTTATGAGAAAATGTGGTTTCTGAGCTTCTTTTGATGTCCTGAAGAGGATTATTCAAGGATTTTTCAATAAGACTTGAAGTCTTGATCTTGTCAGACTACTTGAGATTAGCAGTCTTCCTCAGAATCCAAGAAATTTGATCCTTTTCAAGGGATTCTGAGTGTGTTCTCCCACTTGAAGTTGGATTGATTGAAGTTATCGACAAATACCGACACTTATCGATACTAATTGCCTGCAATTTCCTTTTTTAACAAAGTTTCAGGGGAAAAATACAAATAATAAGTCCTTCGACTGTTGATTTCAACTGTTTTTCCTCTAAAATTGTCTTAAAAATAAGGAAATTGGAGACATTTCGTATCAATAAGTGTCGATAACTATCGATAACTTCAACCACTTCACCGTGAAGAAGATTAATTGGGATTACTTACTCCCTTAGATAATTTCTTTTGTTAAAACAGTGCCAGCGACCTCAGTAAAATTTGCGTTCAGGTGAAAAACAACTCATTAGACGCCTTTATTGTGATTTTTAGTCAAAAAGTATCAAAAGACCTAAAAAGCGTTGTGAATTCAGAGTAATCTCTCTTAATCCTGCATTAAAATATTGAATTCCAGTTGATTTAATTGGTATTTATAGAGATTTTCACTAAAATATGGTAATTTTATTAATAATCTTTATAAACTAAATCGTCAATTCAATGTATTTAATTCTCTGTGAAATGTTTATGCGCGATTCTGTTTGAATTAATCCAACAAACTTTCCTGCAGAACACTTTTTTGCATTTTCCCACTTGAAAGTCACAGTGTTTGTGGCATTATAAGTTATCTTCTATTCATTTTGCGCAACAATTTTCGAGTTTCCAATGAATGCTCACGGATTTAACAATAGAGTTTTGTTACACACAAAAATTACACTGACGTCAAGAGAGCTTTGAAAGTTTCGAGTGTAATTTTCTCTTTGGGCCACACAAAAATGACGAAGACTCGCAGCGTGCGCGAGATGATAAAATTTGACGACGTTATCACAGAGTTTCTGCCTTTATCTCCATATGTTTTCCTCTCTTTCTCTGCAATTTGACGAGATCTTCCGGTCGCTTGGTGTGTTTGTGAGCTGTTTTTGCTGATGGGCGTGTTTTTTTTGCAGGGTGAGAAGAACAACGGCTTCGATGTTCTTTATCACAACATGAAGTATGGCTTGGTGGCCAGCAAGGAGATGACGGACTTCTTCCGCGAGCGTGGCAACATCGAGGAGAGCAACTCGAAGATGATGACAAAGCTGGCCAACAAGGCGGGCTCGGGATGCGTTCATGGCACCTTTGCGCCCGTCTGGGCGGTGCTCAAAGGCTCGGCGGAGCGTCTGTCGTCGCTGCACTTGCAGATGGTGCAGAAGATCACGGAGCTGGTGAAGGACATCACGAAGTACGCCGAGGAGTTGCACAAGAAGCACAAGACGGTGAAGGAGGAGGAGGCGGGCACGCTGGAGGCCGTGCAGGCCATGCAGGCGTCCATGCACGCCGTGCAGAAGGCCAAGGAGCTGTACACGAGTCGCGTGCAGGAGATGGAGAAGCTGAAGAAGGACAATTGCTCGCCGAAGGAGCTGGAGAAGGCGGAGACGAAGGTGCGCAAGCACCAGGAGGACTACAAGAATCTGGTGGAGAAGCACAATCCCATCAAGCAGGAGTTCGAGCGCCGCATGACGACCACATGCAAGCGCTTCCAGGACATCGAGGAGGCGCATCTGAAGCAGATGCGCGAATTCCTCACCACGTACATTGAGCTGCTGCAGACGAATCACGACATGGTGGGTCAGGTGCACACGGAGTTCAAGCGGCAGTTCGTGGAGATGACGGTGGACAAGCTGCTGGAGCAGTTCGTGCTGAATAAGTACACCGGATTGGAGAAGCCAGGTGAGTTTGCCCTCATTTCCGGCCTTCTTTCTTTCTCACCCCTCGCAAATTGGCGCGCGCGTGGAAAACACACCCACGCTTTAATTGTTGGTATATTATTTTGAAGAATAATATCTTCACAACAAACAAACAAACACACAGAAAAGTTCTCGTGAGCGCGAAAGAGAGAGAATCTGTCGATTTTATTTACTATATCAACTTTCTGCATTGTTCACTTGCATATAAGTTGTGTTTTTTTCTTTCATCCTCTCTGTTTATTTACCTTCTTATTTCTCACTTGCGCGAGGAGAGCAAAAAACTCTTCAATGAACTGTGTTGTCATCTTTGAGTGTTTGTTTTATAATTTGTGTCTCGATTTGGAGACGAATTAATAACCAAAATAATTGCTTAATTATCAGAAAAAAATTTCCTATTTATGGCAAAAAGAAATGAAGAAGAAAACGAAGAATATGCAAAGAAGGGAATTTCTGCACTATTTCATGAGAATTATTTGCTGAGTTTGACAAATTTGTTGACTTTGCGATTCGACGCAATTTGAAGAGTCATTTTGAGTTGTGACAATAACTGGTCATGATATTAGAAGCAGACATGTTTTGACTGAAATAGTGCAGAAAAGCGCCTTCAAACACTCTCTTAACAGACTTGGCTTTCATTTACTACCTCAAAATCCACTGTAAATTCTGAATTTTCTAGTTTTCAATCACTTTCTAAGAATTTTACGTGTTTTTCACTCTGCAAAAACCAGATTTTTCTTCACAATGTTGAAAATGGAGTGAAAAGCGAGTATTTTTACGTGATTTTACGTGATTTTTCCCTTAAAAACTCGCTTTAAAATGAGGTTTTTGGGAAAGTCAAGTCTGTTTCGGGGATGCAAATGGAGTTCAAATTAATGGCTTGACATAGTGGCATGTGTTATTTTATCACCCCCACATTTTCTATCCCCCTTTTGTGAGTCATCAGCAAAAAAAAAACTGTGTGTCTTGAGTTACAATTAGCGAAAAGGCAAGAAGAAGAAGAAGAAGAGATGAAAAGAAATTGAAGACCAAAAAAAGCTCGTGTGTGTTTTGCAGAAATTGTTGAGCTTGATTTGATGAATTGGCCGACGAGTGCAGCTAACCAATCCACACAAAACACACCATCCGCAAACACAATAAATAACACAGGGACAGTGGAGGCGTCCGGCGGATCCGCCGCGGCCGCGGCGAGCGCCAGCACGACGACTGCCGCGCCGGCGAAGCGCGAGATAAACCTGCGCAATTGGTTCACCTCGTCTTCCTCGTCGTCGGCCGTGAGTGCGGCGGCGGCGGCGGCGGCGCCCGAGCAGGAGGCGGCGGCGGCGGCGAAGGACGCCGGCCAGGAGGACGCAGGAGCGCGCGGCTCGCCGAACGCGTCGGTCGTACCAAGTATGAAAAGCACAAAGTCGGGTAGAGGAAGGATGATTATTGGGGATAGTAGTTTGAAGGCAATTGGTGGTAGGATAAGGGACAGGGCACAGCAGACCACTGAGGCGCCACAGGCGCCAGAACAGCAGCCACAAAAGATACAACAGCCAAAAGAAAAATCTTCCCGCCGCACCACTTCCCTTCTCAATCTCTTCATGTCTAATTCCCAGGGTATGATCATCATTTATTGTCAATAATCTCTTGTTTCTTAACCCACAACACGCACACACACCTTAGTTCCATATAGAGATAGAGAAAAGACTCTTTAACGATGTTTGTTGTCCACTTGACAGACAGAAACACATAAAAATAAAACACGCAGCAAAATCATTCAGGGACTCATTCGCAATTGCACTGTGTGATGTGTTACGCGCAAGTTGTGTTTTATGATGGCCTTTAACACAATTTTAAGAGATAAAACACCAGCGGTATTTTGCGTCTAAAGCACTGAATTGCAGTGATTTGAGCTGATAAACTGAGAAAATGGCTTTAAAATTGAAAATACTCGATTGAAAAACGATCCAAAAACCATAAAACTTTAAAAAAAATCTCTTAATTTTGATTAAATTGATGGAATTTCAACAAATTCCACAATTGACACTTATTTCTTCGGTTAAATCAACAATATAACAGTTTGAGATTTGCAAATATATAAAAGGGGGAGCTCAGCTTATTTTCCGGACATTTCTAACCCTACTTTTTACCTGAACTTGTCTCCAAATCCTGATTTTACTGACTTTTCCTCAATTCAATCCTTTCTGCAGTCTTTTATCAATGAAATTCCTTTCTGACCTAAAGATTTTCTCCTAAAATTTCACTTGCATTTTCTTCTCTAATCTGACAACCCTTTTTCCCGGCTGAACCCTTTTTGGTACTAATACTAGAAAATCTATTCTTTGCAAATCAACTTAAAGACTTCAAAATCAAGCAAAGTAAACTTAAATTGATTCATTTAAGCATTTTGACATAACAATTGTCTGAATACCAACAAAAACGCCAAATGTGTGACTCAGAAGTGTGTTAAAGGCTGCATAACATATCACAGGCTGTGATTGAGAATTGAGTCCTTAGTTTGAACACAAGAAGCTGTTATCACAGTGATTGTTTTGCTATAGAAAAGTGTCGCAAAATTGTTCTCACTCATCTTATTTACGTGCGAACACGGAAAATTTCACGCTAAATTGAACATCACACAGACACTGTTATACTTTTGATCTTCTTCTTCGCTACATTTTTACAAATACATTTTATATTGTTTACTGCGTTAAATTCCAATTCACAGTTTTCCATTTATTTGCTCTGTGCATTTTTATCTTGGCTACTCTTTTACATGTTTTTTACTCAATGTGTTGATTGATAACGCAATAATATTAATAACCTGGCAAAGGAGATAATAACTAATGATTTTTCTAAGCTTCTTTCACATGCGCGTAACTTCGATGGCAGGCAGTGTTTCGATGTGCAGAAGCACAAAATGCGATAAATCAATAATTTTGACTTTGAATTAATGCTGTTGAGCTAATTTTGGCAAATTGAATTAAATTGAAGGCATAAATTGATCAATCTTTCGCAATTCACCAATGCAGTTATTGTCTCCTTGAGTTGTCACAATCATTCTATAAAAGCTATTTGCGGCGCGCTGTGAGACAACATTTTGTAATTAATATCTCGTCAATTGCTGTATTTTCCACATAATAATATTCAAGTGAGTCAAAGAGACAATTGTTCACATGGCGCAATAATATTTTGAGAAGAATTGAAGAATTTTCCATGAGAGAATTTGTCATTTTATTGCTTTTGCTGTTTAATAATTTAAAAAAAAAAATCTTAGGCGCCTTTTGCAGAAATATTTACGCACTTTTTTCCCTTCGATGTTATTTCTTTTATTATTCTTCCAAACCCCCAGAAATATTTCCACTTTGTTGATTTCTTGAAGTCTGGAGAGACGAAAAGTAAATTTACTGATTGATTATGTTGATGAAATTTCATGCAAAAGACAAAAAGAAAGAATTGTCTCATAATGAGAAATTGTGTGTGTCGAAAACATGTTTTGCAGGAAGTCGCGAGAGTCGTGACAGTCGTGATTCTCCATCAATTGAAGTGTTGTCAGCACCAACAAGTCCAACAACTGAGACACAAAGTCCAACAACAACGGCAAGCAATGCACAAATCGGCAGAAATCCGTTGAGGGGATCGAAATGTAAATTTTTCCGTTTGATATCATTTTCTCTTTCTCTCTCTCTGTTTCTTATATTCTTCATCTCTTATAATTTTTTTTATTTCCTTCACTTGTGCTTGCAGTTTTCTTGAGATTGGTTGTTGTTGTTGATGTTGTTGTAATCTTTCTTGGTGGTTTTTTTTTTATCTTCTTCCCTATTTCTAATGCTGCGCTTCTCCGAATTGACAGTGAGATTTTGCAGCGCAAATGAGGTTGAAGTGATTTTGCCTTGATGTTTTGCATTTTCTCTTCCCCGGGAATGGAAAGAGCAAAATTCATAGTTAAATGGATGTTTTCCAGCTCTTTAGTTTCTCTCAAGAGAATTTGTGCAATCGCAAAGTGCTAAGAAATGTAGATATTATGAATATTTATGGTGAGATTTCTTGTTATTCAAGCTTCAAATGATCCAAATTCGTGTTGAAAGATTGTGACCTGGATTTAAAAGTGTTTGAAGATGACTTAAAGCGCCGGAAATGAAATTAGAGTAGAAAATGAGACAATTATAGTCATTCTTGTGTTAATATAGATTGAAAAATATTCAATTTATAGCGAAATATTCAATATTTTGCCAATGAATTTATCTTAAAGCAAACATTCTTGGGGAAAACCGAGAATATAATATCTTTTGAGCTTTAGAACTTTAGTTGAAGCAGTTAAAAATCGAAATTTAACCGAAATATCTGAAATTCGTGACAGAATAATTGTAGAGAGAAAGATAATGGGCGGAGCTTAAGAGTGGGCGGAGCTAGAGAAGTTCTCTTAACATTATTTCGCTTACAATCTTCAATATCAGCTGAATTTCTCTTAATAATTCGAATCGCCAGTGTGAAATTGGAGCTTCTTTGTGAGCTTCTTGGTCACATTTTCTTTCAGCTTCGACGGCCTTCTCTAGGCTAGAGCAATTGGAGTGTGTGAAATGATTTCTTATATGGTTTGATAGCTGTTGTTGTTATTTCTTAAGTGATTCACACTTAATACATGAATAATTTCTCTATGGTTTGTTAATCACATTTTCACTCTTCATGACTTCTTCCCTCTGGTTTTAACACACTCAGTTTCGATGGATCTTTGGTGTTTTCTTGTTCTGCAGCACAAAAAGCTATGCTTGGCTATCAGTTGATCGCAGTTGATTTGAAGGCGTGATCGCTGAAGAGGCGGAAGAAAGTGGTTTTTTTTCTCTTGTTTGGGGGAGAAAATGAGTGTGGAAATTAAGCAATTGATATGTAATTATCGCACCGCTTTGTTTTATGCTAATTGCAAACTCTCGTGCGTGTTCTAGATTTGTTGTTATTTCTTCTATTTTCTCTAGGTTTGGAGAAATTTGTAAGACAAGAAAATCTTGTGGAATTTTTACTCACTTGTGCTTAATTTATTATTTGTAGTTCTTCACATTTTTCTTCATTATGTCGTTCATTTCTTAACACTTTTGGTTCTTTTTTTTCCTGTATTTGTTTCTTTTCTGGTGAAGTGATAAAAACACGTACAAAATCTTGTGGGCGGGAAGTATTTTCTCATGCTAAATTAATCCACCATTTTTGGCACAAATGTTAACAAAACACACAAACACACACACATGAAAAGAAATTCATTCATCATTCAGTGAAATCCTTTTAGTTTTCCATCAACTGCGTCCTTTGTGACTATATATAATTTTCTGACCTGAAAATTAAATGTGAGAAAAATGTCCTGAAAAGTAGGATGATTTTTCTTTCCCATCCCATAAATATAATTGAATTTGACAATGTTGTGCTTGTTGGTTTAATTTTCTTTTCCGGTTGAAGAAGCCCTTATCAAAATTGCGCTACTATTCCCAATAATCCTCCCACACTTTTTTATTTATTTAGTTAATTCTGTGTCTCTGCATTTCATTTACAATTTACACACCAAAAAAAAATAATAATAATGGAGAAAGACGATTTCTTCCACCTTTCATTGTGTTGATTTTTGACTTTTTTTTTAATTGGTTTGTGGGTTTTGTAATATAATTAATTATATTGTAGATTAATTTTTACAAAATAATGTTTTATATTCTCTTTGTTATTGTTGCTGATTTTCTCACCGTGCATTTAATTTTTCACACCTCTTTTTATTTTGGCGTTTTTCGTGTGGAGAGAAGAATTTGATGTGATTGTTTTCTCTTGTTCGGTTGCAGTTTCAGGATTCCTGAGAAAGACGAAGAAGGTGAAGAAGAAAAAGGACTCAACTGAGAAGATTTCCAAGTAAATGTGCAATTTTTAAGGGTGGTTTTTTCCCACTGGAATTTCTCTCTATCTTTTCTCTCTCAAATGATTTTCACAGCGAGGAGAAGGAAGAGACTGTGAAGTCGGAGAGCAGTGCTGTTGTTGCCGCTGCCCAAGTGTCGAAATCTCCGTCTCTGATCGCCCCGACGGCGACGCCGGAAGTGGACGAGGACGGCTACAGTGTGCAACCGAGCGAGCCAAAGTGGGAAACGCTGACGAACAGTGAAAAGGGTAAAAGAAAAACACACTCTTTTCGGGCACTCTTCCAAGGATTCCTCAATCTCTCTCTCTCTCGCATTCTCAGGTGGCTTCTACTCCAGCTCAGACAGCGATTCGGACGACAACGAGCGCGACCGGAAGATTCACGTGGAGATCAAGCCGCTGAACAACGGAACCGCCCCAATTTCCGCCAGTGTCGATGAATTGCGCGCCACTGTGGAGAATTTATCGCTTTCGCCACTCGGCGGGGCGCTTTCTGTGAGTCTCACGTGCGCTTTTCCTCACTCTCTGCCAGCGACATATTTCACTAAACATCCCCTGATTAATCTCGTCAAACGGGCGGAAGCGTTGCGTCAAAAGCCTCCCTGTTTTTGAAGGGTGTTTTTGAATGAAAGTTAGATAAAATTGGGCAAAAATGATGAAAAAATCCCAACAAAGTTGATTTGTTAAAGCTTTCTTTGCAATTCTCATGCAAAATTAAGAAAGAATTCAAGTTTTGTGAGAGAATTTGCTTTACTAAGCAATATTTTTATTGATAAATGTGCAAAATGCTCTGTTTTCCACCCTTTTTGAAGGGGTAAATTAGAGAATATTCTCAACAAAGCAAGTTTTTCGCGATTCACAATAGAAATTTTATTGTTTCTTTGTCTTTAATGTCTTTTCGTTTCGGTTTGAGAGGCAAATTTTGCTTTTTCTGACGTAAAATGATGAAATTAATTAACTTTTGTGTGACTTTAATGCCCTTTTGTGGTGGGAAAAGTTGGGGGATTTTAGTGAATTTGACGCTATTTGTTCCTCTCTTTTTGTGTTATCACACTATTATTTGTGCCAATCTTTTTATTTTCTCTTCTATGTTTGCCTTCTGTGTCTAATTTGGTGACTTCAAACACACACACACATTTTGTTTGTCTCTCTGTTTTATGATGTCTTAACATGCGCTTTTCGGGGGTTGCGAACTCTGACTCTGTCTTCCTGTGTTGTGTTGTTGCGTTGAATGGTGAAGGGAAGGAGAGTGAATGGCAGTGACGAGGCGCGCATGAAGCGATCAAAGTCACTGTCACAGCCTTTCGGTGGTGGTGGAAGTGTTGTTGAAGGAGCGAAAGATGGGAGGGATTTACAGGGCGATCCTTCATTTCAGCAGCAACATCCACAGAGTCCGGCGGCGTCCAACGCTTCGACGCCCACCACGACGCATCCTTACGCGCCACTGCAGAGTCCCACGCTCTCGGCCTCCAACAGTTCCAAGTGAGAAATTATCTGCTTTTGCAGAGCAAAATCACATTTTTCATGTGTGTTTTTGTGCTTTTTTCCAGCAACAAGTATGCAGATTTGGGTGATATCTTCTCGGAGATCGAGGATATCACGACTTCTGCGCCGCCTTCGGCCACACTGACCAAGTTGGGAAGGCAAATTCCCACACCGACTTCAGCCAGCAGCATTGCCATCCCGCGGCCGCCGTCCAGGCGATCAGAAGCAGCCGGTAAGATTCCTGTCAAGTCTCAAGATCACTTCGTAAAATCGATGCTTTTCATGAAATAACAGAAATGTTAAAAGATTTATCAGATAAAGAGTCTTTTTTCACTTAATTTGTTTGAATTTTATAATGTTTTGCTGAATAATGATCTATTTTTGAGCTCTTTTCTGATTTTGAACTATTTTATTGAGTCAATTTGTGCTTCAAATCTTGAATTTAAGTTTAATTTCAGCACAATTTACAGTCTAAATTGTGTTTAAAATGATAGATTGGAAAATCTTGACCAAGAATCACAGTCAAGATGAAGTTTTTCATCAAATTGTGTCCTAAAATGTCCTGATAAGGTGGTGAAATCATGTCTGTCTTTCGCAGGACGCGGACGCGTGAGTCCGTCCGCGATCTCCACGATTTCTCGCGCGGACAGCGTCGGGAGTCTGGAGTTCCGGACTGCTGGCGTGGGAATTGGATCGTCCAGAGGTCCTTCGCCGCTGACGATCGGCATCTCGGACACAATTCCATTGGCTGTGGCCTTTCATGAGATGATTCATGCCTATTTCCGGTGAGATTTCACCTGAAATGACGAGATTTGGAGAGTAATTTGCGTGTGTGTTTTGCAGCGGAAGCGACGAGAGTCGGTGTCAGGTGAAGATGAGCGGTGATATGATGCTGTCCTTCCCGGCGGGGATTGTCGGGGTGTTTGCCAATAATCCCAATCCTGCGAAGCTGGGTTTTCGCATCAAGAACATCCAGAATCTCGAGAATGTCGTCCCGAATAAGCAACTGGTGACAATGTGAGGATTTTTTCTGTGGGTTTCACGCGATCGTGAGTTGATATTTGGGGTTTTGCAGTGATAAACTCCAGTCGACGAGCTTCAGCACGACGCTGGAGTTCAACATGCCGGCGCTCACGGCGCTGCTGCGTCGCCAGTCGGAGCAGAATCCCACGGCGTCGTACTTCAACGTGGACATCCTCAAGTATCAGGTGCGCCAGAAGCTGGGCGCTTCGTCGTGTCCGTTTCAGCTGGTGTGCTATTGGAAGTGCGAACCGACGCACACGGACATCAAGATTGACTACAAGTACAACAGTCACGCCATGGCGGCGCCCACGCCGCTCCTCAACATCTCCATCACGGTGCCCGTGGACGGCGGCGTGCGCAATGTGCAATCCAAGCCACACTCCGCCTGGCTGGGCGAGAGCAATCGGCTGGTGTGGAACTTCACGGACATCTCGCAACACTCGGACAACAACGGCGTCGGCACGCTGCGTGCGCGCCTCGAAGTCACCAATGGACCATCGACGCCGGCCATTCTGCAGACGCAGTTCAACTGCGAAGGCACAACGCTGTCCGGCATCGAATTCGAGCTCACCGGACCGGGATACAGGCTGTCGCTGGTCAAGAGGAGATTCGTGGCTGGTGAGTTGAAGAAACGTTTTCTGCTTTCTTTTTTGCATGTTTTTGTGCTTAAATCGACAGAAATTGAACGGAGATTTTCCTATAATCGATACGGTTAAGAGATTTTAACGTATTTGGAAAGGTTTTAGTGGAGAATCTCAATGAAAATGTCGCAAAAAGACTATCTGTGAGTGAAGAATATCAGCTTAATCGATTGAAATACTTTCAATCTTCAAATCTCGCTTTTAAGTCAAGTTAACAAATGAGTTTTTGCTCGGATTTTCACTTGAAACGTCCGGAATTTACAGTTTACCTCGTATTTTGCGGTAAATCATGGGATAAATCGCAATCTTCGACGCTATTCTGATGTGAATTCAAAGAAACTGAACATTTGAAAGCGTTTTATGTGTAATAATGCTAAATAAACCTGGTTTTTTGTCTAGTTTTATGTTCTGAACGGTGAAATTCTGTCTTCTAACATGCTAATTTCGTTTGTCTGTTTGTTTGTCTTTCGCAGGAAAGTATATTTGCGAAGGCGACGGAATTCGCAGCGGCGCGACGCCGACGTCGCCGCTCGTGAGCTCGCCGAATCCCTACTCGAAGGCGGGATAGCAATTGGCCAGCGAACTTCTCTGAGCTCTCTCAATTCTGCCCGTTTCGCTGTGCGACGAAGTGAATTTATCGTACCTTAACTTACGCCTAGGTTTAATCCGTTGAGTTTAATTAATCACTTTATCATTTTCGCATAAAAAAACATTTTGCGGGAACTTGTTTTGTTTCCGAAAGTGGTGGAAAAGAAAAATTCGATGAACAGAAGTATTCTTGTGAGTCCAAAAAATAGTTTGTAAATCAAGAGAAGAGAGAGCTTGAATTGGCTTCTGTGTTTTTATTTTTTTTGGATGGATGCGGTAAAAAAAGGGCATTTCACTGGCTTTTTGTACATGAATTTATTATTTTGTTACTAAAAAAAAATAGCTAAAAAATGGCGAAAAGAGGAAACAATGAATGATGTTTTAGAGAGGCGTAATCACATTTATAGATAGTATAAATTGGAGAAAAGAAAAAGAAAATGAAGATATTGTGAAGTGATGAACGATGAAATCAAAAGCAGGAGAGTTGATTTTGAGATCCCATCAATTTTTTTAAAGTATTATTCATATATGGAATTGTGCATAATATTTGTTCTGATGAAACACACGACAATATTAGTAGTCAAATCTTAGAGATACTCAATCACGCGCGACAGGATTAAACTGAATATAATACAGTAACTTTGGAGGATTAATTTGTCCTTTGGCAGTGTTTTTTTCTTTCTTTTGAGTTTAGAAGAGTAACACGAAAGATATTCCACTATGTTTTAGACAGACGAGAGAGAGAGAAAAAGGAGAGAAATTAATGAATAGATATCATGATTAAATGTTAAATCTCTATTTTCTCTTCTGCGCTTTTGCATCTCTGATCGGCAATCGTTCTGGCAGACGAAAGTCTCCTGTTCGGGAGGACTTTGAGGATGAGCTGCGCTCCTTCTTCAGCAATTCCACGGGGATTTGAGGCTTTGGCGCGCATCCTTCCAGCTGAAGACGCCGCGTTTCCTCATCCATCTTCTCATTGTCCTTCGGCGCTTTGTAGTCACTCACGTGATCCACTCGCAGTGTCTTTCCCAGCAGCTGCAAAGGATGAAGACAATTAAAGTCACTGAGAAAAAACTCAAACTGTCCGGGAAACTACCTTGATTCCATTCAGATTGTCCACAGCCAGAATCGTCGAGCGCTGATCTTCGTAGCAAATGAAGCAGAATCCCTTCTGTTTCCCCGTCAATTTGTCCCTCACGAGATTGATGTTCACCACCTCGCCGTACTGCGAGAAGACGGCAATCACGTCGCCTTCGGTGAGATCGTAAGGAAGCCCTCCGACGAAGATCCAAGCGCTGCTCTTATACTGATCGTGCCAACTTGACTTCGTGCCGCCGCCTTTCAGGTCGTTTTCACTCAATTTGAGCACGTTTTTCATGTTCCTGCGAAGCCGAGATGGTTAATAAGGACTTGTTTGTAGTTAATCAGTGGATTCTTACGTTAAAGGATTCATTTTTCCTGTATTTTCTGGTGTTTTTCTGCTCTGTTGTCAATGATTCCGGGAAGCCCACGTTTGTTTACGTTTTCGCCTACAGTGGAATTCCGTAAGAGGCGCTGCAATCTTTTGCTATAAAATTCAAAACTGACCGTTTTGTTGGTGAAGATTTTGAATGTATTTTTGCCAAAAATTAATTAAATTGAATCTGAAAAGCCCAAATTTGGATCATTTGATGGGTTATTGTCCACCAGAGTTTAATGACTGACAATTCTCTCATTTGTATTCCAATCGAAATCGTGTCAGCGCAATTTCACAGTCACTTTGTGGAGGGGAAATTGAAGTTGTGCCGATTGATTACGCGCGTAATCAATGGCCAAAGTCAATGCCGCGACTTGATTATCAATTCTGCACCCGCTGCGAAGCTCTTTCGCAAAAAAGCACCACAGCTTCGGCTGTGTGAATTTGTGCAATGCTGGCCAATTTTTCCAATGCAGGCGCGAATTGATAAATATTCATGCAGAAGCGTTCGAGGCACGCAGTCAGTGGTCAAGAGTCTCCGGGTGACGAGCGAATGGAATGAAATCCTCGTTGCTCCTCTTTTTCCTGCTCTCGGTGAGTTCTTGGCGCTCCGCGCGAGTGGATTGAAATTGTCTCTTAATTGCATTCCGCAGCCAATTCTGGCCAAACCTTTCCTCGGCACTCTCTTCGGCCCCAGAAAGGATGCCAGCGAGAGCAATATCAGCGATCTGAGGGACAAGTCAAAGGCTGAGCTGCAGGTGAGAATAAAGGATGTGGAATGTTTGAAAAGAGCTCAAAGAGAATTTTATTATTGATTTTGTATCCAAATTTAGCGACTAGAAAAGCTTTGAGACTCAATTGAGACTCTTTTGAATCATAAAATGTCCTTTGGCAACGATAAATCTGGCGTTTGATGTTGATTTTGGCAGATTTTTGTGTTAAAAAAGGTAGTTTTTGTAATTGTTTAGTAATTTTTAGGGCTTATTTCAAGAATTTCAATCAATATTTAAATTATCGAAGGCAATAAATTGATTTCAAGGATTTCAGTTCATAAAAAACTCTTTTCGGTAGAAATTTAACATTAAGTTAGCGAATTATTCGCTGTGAAATGTTCAATTCCTTGGAAATTCTTCTCAAAGTTCCGCCCTTAATTGCTTTAAAACGCTCTATTTTCCCCTAACCAGCTGGCGGACGATGGGCAGGATGATCCTGCGGAGGGAGAAGCAGTCAAGCCATCGCCGAGTGCAGAAATGGGGCAGAAATTCCAACTGTACGGACGCTTGTTTGGGAACTTTATTGGCGCTCTGCAGCATGGCTTTGGCGATTCTCCTCGCGGAGCTTCTCAACTCAAGTCCGCCCGCCAGAGAGTCCATTTATCATCCGGCCAGGAGCAGAACAAGGAGCAGAACAGCTCGCGAGAAGCCGCAGCAAGAGAAATTGACGGTAATTCTTTAGGGGGAAAAAAGAATTCTGCACACTAAATGAAACTATATATAAGTTTTCTCCCACTCAAAAATTGGGTTGAGCAGCTGAGGAAGTGACTGAGAAAGCGACTCTGGAGGGTTTGAGGGAGAGAAAACTCATCTTTCTCACCACAAATGTCCTGCCCAATTTGGTCTCTGTCTGGCGATCCGTTGTGGAAGCTTTCAATCCTTCGAACGGCGAACTTGAGGACTTGCAGGAGGAGAAAACTGAGGCGATGGAGATGCAGAGACTTCGCCTGGCTCTGGGCTACCTTCCGACGATGGAGAACTCCTGGGCGACTCTCGGGAGGGTGATAAAGAAGTCCTTCGGCGGCGAGATGCCGCAGAAGAGCGACAAACTTGAGGAAAGTCCACCGAAAGTCAATGCATTTCTTATGCTGGAGCTTTTTGGCTCAATTTTCGGGATAACGTGGAATGTCCTGAGCCAAATTGGAGGACTTCTGAGGAACTAGAGAAGCTCGTGGCTGTGCAATTATTTGCTTCAATAAAGGTAACAAGTTGCGATGGGTGGAAAAGTCGTATATTTTCTTAATTGCAACCGCGCGCGAGTTGAGTTTGTCTTTAAGAGAGAATAATCTTGAGAAGTGCCTTTGCGGGGATGATTTACCCTTGTCGTCATTAAATTACGCAGAGGAATTTCCCTCATCTAGTCTAGACTCAGACTTCATGAACTGCCATCGCGAATAGAGTGGAAGAAGAATGTCTTAGGAAAATTCCTCACAAGGTTTTGCCGATCATGAATTTTGTCTCCGCGAGTGAATATTTTTAAGCACCTCTTAAGTTGCTGCAAAGCAGGAAAAGTTTCATATATAAGGACATCACAGAGGAAGTTTCATCACGTGATGTTTATTCGGAGACTCGAGAGCTTAAGCATCCAGATAATGAGCTGCTTTTTGCACACAAAACTCATTCTTCTGGGATAAAAGTGTTGCCGAAGAAGCTGAAAAGTGTGTTTCAGTTCTTAAATTCTCATTCTCTCCGGAGATTAAACTATCGAACATTCCAATTTCCACACTTTTCTGCCGTCAAAACTTTCCAGAGTTTGACGAAATTGAATTTCTTGGCTGTACTTTGCGAATTAAGACTGTTTCTGCCTCAGTTTCATATCAATTGCACATCATGCAATTTCGCCTTTGTTCAAGCAGAAAATATTATTATATGGTAGAAAATTCAAATTATAAGCAATTCGGGCATTTCAAAGCCAAACTTAAGGATAAAATTAACTGAAAACTAACCGAAATTAAACAAAAATTCTAACTAACAACTTTAAATTCACACAATATTCCATGGTTTTCTTCCTCTAATTGCATTTTTGGGTTTCTTTTCCATCGAAATCTCAGAAAACCATCAGAGTTTTCTTTATAGACTTCGTTTAGAATCTATCTAACTCAAATTCGCCGGTTTAAGTATGAAAAAATGAGGTTATGTTTGATTTCAGCCAATTTTTCTTGATTCTTAATGCGCAATTCTAATGAAATGAGAAAAAAAATATTACTTGAAGTTAAATTAAGAAGTCAAATTTATGTCTTGATAACCTAGAAAATGGTTAAAAAGTCAAACCAAATTTCTTACTAATATTTCTGCTGAACTTTCTATTAATTCTGACCATAATATCTCCTCCTTGGTTTTGAATTTCTTTTAATTTCATTTCCAAAAATCAATTTCCAATGCTTGTTTTATCTTTATAGTGTTTTTTTCTGTTATAAAACAAGACAAAATAAAGCAAAATAAACATAATATTCATTGATTTTGCCTCTTCTTTTTCTTTTATTAGGAATTATGATTAAAATTGTATCAAAAAAGGTTAATTTTCGTGTTTTTCGATAAGAATGTCACTAGAAATATTATGAATTTTCTTTAAAATCGTCACTCAATCGCCAGAGACAATAAAAATTATGATTAATAGACTAGAAATATGTTTTTTGATGCTTCTTCAAAATGGTTGAAGTGTTAGAATTCCGCCTAGAAATTGCGGAAGAACTGAAACAAGTGGTGTACAGTTTGCAGCGATTTAATTTCCCCCTTGAACGGCTCTTAATGTATTGTGTTCCCGCGGTTCGGCTGCAACATAATCTGGCCACGCGAGGGTGGAAATGCGAGTTGCACAATTGAAAGCTCGAGAATTTAAGTGGCATGATAACTTTTCCATTTCGCCACATTCAGCATCTGTTCGCCGTGCTTTTGTAGCTTTTGACTCTTCGTCGAGGCTTCACGATGGCTCTGATGTGTACTTTTTCCCTTTATCAACATCTGCGGAATTTGTTTTGATGCTTTTGCTGCACTTTCGCAACACTCTGGAAAAATCTATTGACGGCTTTTGTGGGATTTTGTGTGTATTTTGTGTATAGAGAATATATTTTACTGTGTGTTGTCAATTTTATCACTCATTTGAGAGCTCTTCAATTGGCTATTTATCCAATTGCAGAGCGAGAATTTGAATTATCAAAATTTATTATAATGAAATTCATAAACATTTATGTGAAATTTGCGAAAATTCTATCAATTTCATAGGGCAATTATGAAACTCTTCAAAATCATTGTAAATTTAAGCACCCAGCAAAATTGATAAAATCAAAATATTATTTTTGAATTGTGTTTTACACAAAGTGTTTATTATGATTTGAAAAATAGAACAATTTCAGGATGGGGAATTTGTATATACATAAAATTATCCAATTTCCACAATAAAATTCGCTCAATTACTGAACAAAATAGGCTTGAAAAAATACAAAACTCTCCTGAATTTTCCTACCTACAATTCTGCAATTCATTCTGGGGTAGTTTCCAACGCAGAATCTACGCCTCTTATCAATCATCCCGCATTTGTCATTCAACAATCACGAACAGACGCAAAACCACCGCCAATGAATGGAAGCGAAATGGAGGTAAATTCAATGGGCAACATTTTATTTTTAGGTTTAATTGGAATGGCGTTTTACATAAAAAAAAATAAATCTCTCACGGTGCAAACTGAAGTGGCGGGATTTGACTTACAGTTTTTGTCGTGATGCTGTGCGGATTTTCCAGATCTGCGCATTTTTCCGCATGATTGTTGTGCCATGGAAAGACAGGAAAAAAAACAGTGGCAATTAAACTTTCTGCTATGATGAAAGGGAGTTTATTGCATAAATTCCAACCCCTTAAGCTCTTCATGAAAGCTCTCACTCTCTCTCTCTCTCTGTCGTCAAATGAAGACACACACATTTGTGGGGCAACAATGAGTAATTTATAGTAAGTGACCGATGCATGTTTTTGATGCTATCTTCCATTCAGAATTGCGAATGGGTTGACAAAGTCCCACTCAGTCTTTGTCCATGAATAATAGACGAACATGCAAAGTGCATTTTATTGTGCATTAAAAGCAGGGTGAGCAAAAGCTGCCAATGTTTCATGAAAAAGCTCTGGTAAAAATTCATATTTGCTTAATTAAAAATTGTGGGACATTTGCTCATGGAAAATTACACTCATTTTCACAATTTAATAATCAATTTATTGTTTTTTTTGATGAAAAGCTTAAGCCATAATAAGCTTATTGATGGCAATTAGATTGATTTTCAATTAATATTTGAGTGGGATTTTCTC